AGGAGCGCCAGGAGTTGCACCAGGAATTGCGCCAGGAGTTGTACCAGGAATTGCGCCAGGAGTTATACTAGGAGTTGCGCCAGCTATTACGCCAGAAAGAGTAGGAGCAGTTCTCTGGCTGTTTTATTAGCGATTTGGAAGTGATTTCAAAGTGATCATACTTACAGTTATAGCTACGCCAGGAATTGTACTAGAAGCTGCGTTAGAAGCCTGAGCTTGGGCTAGGGTAGCAGTTAAAGCAGCAGTTAGAGCAATAAGTTGGTCGGCAGGAGCATTATTTAAAGCAGTAGTTAAAGTAGTAAGAATATCAGTAATTGGACTAGGAGTCGGGCCAGGAGTCGGGCCAGGAGTCGGGCCAGGAGTCGGGCCAGGAGTTGGACCAGGAGTCGGACCAAGAGTCGGACCAGGAGTCGGACCAGGAGTCGGACCAGGAGTCGGACCAGGAGTTGAATTAGAGTTAGACGTACTCTGGACAGTTTATTAATAATTAGAAAACGTTATAAAAATACTATATGAATATATATATTATATCTCATACCTGACCTTCAATCGCCCTCCCGACTTGACGAAAATATGCTGTTGTTATTCGTGAAAATTCCTATTTTATTATTAATTACTATTATTTTTAAAATAGGAATAGACTAACAAGTGATACTCTACCACGCGGATGGGTATGTATATGCCACTCTGGATGATGCTTTGCCATATGGACTATTAAGTTTGATGTTCGAGAAAATCGGCCCTATTTAAATATTTAATATATATAAAGTAAATAGATTATAAGTTAACTTATTTACTTTAACAGGGCATAACTCAATCTCTTCTTCACTGTCTACTATAATACGACAAAAGATTTCACCAGGGTATATCTGAATACATTGCGAGTATCCACAGGTAGTATTCTAGTTATTATTAAAAAGTAATATTAGTATTTTATACTTGTTATTAAAACAAATAGAGATTGATTTATTAGCTTACCTGAAGGGTCTCAAAGGCTGGAGAGTTATCAGGCCGCTCTCGAAGATTAAGATAACGTCGATCTGCCATTATTAAAGTAAAAGGACGTATAACTTTATAATAGAAGAACTTGTCGTAAAAGAAAGAAAGTGGGGTAAGTAATTTTTCGAATTTGTAATAGTGGGATTATTAATAATCTTAGAATTATAAGCGAGCGATTACTAATATAAAAATAACATAACGAGATAGTATTTTAGGAACAGTTATTATAAAGATAAGAGACAATTAGTTTATAATTAACAAGTAGTTATAAATTAATTAATTATTATTTTACGAATATTCAATAAGTATTTAATAAATATTTAATAAAACGTTTAACGAGTATTTGACAAGCATTTAATGAAGGTTTATTAAATACTTGTCAAATACTCGTTAAACGTTTATTAAACGTTTAACTAATAAAGCAAAGAAATTAAAATAAAACTATAACTTATAATACTTACTTCTAGCTTATATATATATTCTATTCTATAGTACTAAATATACTATCAGCTTATACCTAAAGTAATATTAGTATATTTTTATTTTTATTCTTTTTATACTTTCTTATATATAATAAAGTATTAAATCACTTAAATTAATTTTGTTTTTTAAAAATCATTGTATTGTATTGCATAATAACCGTTATGCATATCCCATTTGGTATCATCCCACCCATAAAACACCAGCAAAGCAGAGAAAAAGCGTTCTGAAATCATTTTAAAGATGATTTCAAAACACATTCATCTATTCATCATCATCATCAGACCYATCAGATTCATCATCCGGCATCTCAAAAGCAGCCAGGATCTCACAACCAGACGAAGCCCAATTCTGTTTAGTAACATCAGGACCTTTTAGACACAGTTAGCAGACATTCAGAAAACGTTTAGAGATCAAATAGAAATCACTTACACTTCTCACCGCTTCCTTTGCAACCAGCACACTTTGCAGTAGTACGGTTAAGCAGCTTGCGCATAGCAGCAGCATTTGGAACAGCCTGTGAAGTCAGTTAGAAAACGTTTACAAAACAATACTAAAACACATACTTGACGACCACGCTCACCCTTCTTGCCAACCATTCGAACAGGGCATTCAAGTAGCTGAGTGGCCAGGTTTTGAACCTGCTGGCGAGCAGCGGATGCATCCCGAGCAATAAGAGTCTTAGAAGCCTATAAACCAGTTAGAAGACGTTTTGAAAACACTTAGAAATCACATACCTGACCAACAACCTTCTTGCCTGCAGTAGTAGTAGCCTTTAACATAGTTAGAAAACGTTTGGAAAACATATTTGAAGTGATTACCTTTTTGGGGGTAGTCTGAGCTGCCATTTCCTCAAAATGGGTTTGCAACTAGAAAGTAATTAGAAAGCAATTTCAAAACAATGWGAAATCCAGTAACATACACGAGCAGCATTGGCCATAACAGCATCGTAAGCACCAGCAAAAGCCAACTTCGAGGTGTGGCGATCAGACTAAGTAGTTAGAAAACGTTTTCAAAACATATAGAACTCGATTTGCATACGTTCTTCATTCGGCCCTTAACTCCATCCTTGACCTTAATGCCATGACCACCATTTTCAATATCGCGACGAACATGTGCCCGCAAGGCATTGGTGCTTTCATACTTATGCTGTGTAAAACAATTAGAAAACATTTAGAAAACGGTAGGGAATTGAAGGAATTTACTGTAACAGAGCACATAACACCCTCGTCATCTGCATATCTGCAGAACATCTCACCAGCCGGAATCACTGGCATGCCCTTTTAACACAGTTAGACAATACTCAGAAAACGTTTAAAAAACACTTACATCCTCAATAACCCATGCACTAACACCGGTTGGACGATCAGCTGAGTTGGTATAGGCATTGGCGCGATCGTCAACAGACAATGGTGCCATGGTGTAAAACGTTTAGAAAACGGTTGGAAAATACGTTGAAAATAATCTAAAATCAGTCAGTAAATGCACTAAGTAGTGATGGGGACGTATCCAAAATGAGGTAAAGGTGAAAGTGAAGGGGTAGGGCAAAGGTCAGATTTGGTGAATTCGCGACAATGCGCAAAGCCACCAAAGCTGCCATTTTTGTTGTTTTTGAATCTGCGCGTTAGATATATGATATAATTGAGTAAAGATCGATAAATAATATATATTATACTCACTTTGAGGAGGTAGGGGTGGCTGGTGGTGGTGGAGGTGGACGGGATGGGAGAGGTGGAGTTGGTAGGGATGGTGGAGGTGGATTTCAGATTGATTGGAAAACGAGTTGCTGGCTAGGCTCAATTGGGCCTAGCCCTGCATTAGTCGCCAGGACCATGAATTAGGGCGCCACAAGCACTTGGTAAGCATTTGAAAAACGTTTTATAAATGTTCTATGTAGAGTCACGTGTGGTCATCGGAGCTCGGATGACCGGTCATATGAGCACTGCCTAGCGCATTCTGTGTGATGTTTTCTTTTGATGACATTTTGGATGTTTCAGCTGGCATGGTGGAATTTGGAGGTTGAGACGGGAGAACTCTAACATAAATCAAAACCCATTGCCTTGCTTCTCTCCCCAAGATTATCAGTGTCGGACGATGTTGGCACTCCGTTAATCTTTATGAACCAAGGAAATCGAGCTGGGGAGGCTAAGGGGAGCTGAGCTGGAGTGAAGACTCAGAAGTCTGTAACGGATGACGCATAATCTGAGGAAAACAGTATCCCTGGACTCGTGCCACGAGGAATCTCATAGACGGTGCATTGTCCGGGAAGGATAGAATTCGACGCCTCTAGTCAATTGGAATGGAGGCGAGACGTGGGGGAAACGCTCTATAATTCGGTAAGGATAGTATAGAGGCGTTCATGGGGAGTGGTACCCCAGCGCAACGTGGAAAAGAGGCTTGAAGGGTCGATACCACCTGCTGGAAAGAAATTGGTAGAGTTCAAAAAGAGCGAGATACCGAGAGTTGTTGTCAAAAAGATTGACGGGCACCTAGCGGAAATTAACTTGGCTGGAATTACTTTTGCTAATGGTGTACTTTTGTCCTGACGGTTGTCCGGTCACGGTGTTGGGATGAGGATTCGAACTACAGGCACGCGCTGTGTCTTCCAAGTAGAACGCCATCAGCATGACATTCCAAGTCCTGATATAATAATAGGAATCATAGCGCGGCAATCCATGCCCAGGTGGGACTTATACTGTAGGTTTAACATTGCATCTGCTATATGCAGAGCGGTGCGATGGGAGTTAAGTGTTGGGTTGAATGGATATGGCTAATGGTTCCATTATTGCTGAGGCGCCTAGGCGTTTTGCACTTAGACTAGTAAACGGGAGGTAGCCTGTTCAGCTGACCTGATTTTTCTTGGAACGGTGAGCCCGTTCGTCCAGCCGTCTAGTATCGAAGACTTTATTCAACCACTCCACTAGAGGTGTGGAGTCACAAATATGAATGAGTTCGCGGCGCTCCACATGGAAATAGGTCGATTTAAGATGCTTTTGATCTTTTTGAAATCGTGGCAGCAATGTTCCCCCAGACCTCGCCTCCCATGATTTGGCTTTTCCCAGCATGCACGCCAAATTGCCGGACAGCTCGTCCCATCCACCAAGGCCGTTTAGAATTAAGTTCCTTGGTATCCCGGCCATAGTTGGCCAGGCCAAATCTTTCCTTGATAGGGTAAAGACTAGATACTTTCATGCGTGCCACTCTCGGTTTTCCGAGAAGATTCATCGTGGTAATATCAACCTCTGCGTCTTTTGGAAGACTTTTTGAATATCGTATCATCATTTCTCGAGAATGTCGGGCAAACGGAGGCAATCGAAGGTGTATATAATTAACAAAGGGACCGGAGATATACATAATGACAACCATGGGGACGACTCCTGAGAGCATGGCTATTGGGACATTTAGCAATTATGCTACGGAATTCGACATCACGTGAAGGAGTAGATAAAAGGCGAGAATTGATCAACATACCTACGCCCGGGACCCATGGTGGCTGGTCGTCGGCATAGAAGTAAGTTGGAGCCACAACTATACAGAAGAAAGTGAAGATGAAGATCGTGGTGACTTTGAGACACCCAAGAAAGACCGTCCTACCGGTTCCAGCATGGTATATTATAAGGCGCTCAGGATATACTAAAAGTATGTTAGATATATTACTGCCTGGTGCGTCTACGTAGACGGAGAACTTACATGCTCTTTTACCGGCTGGTTTCGCAGTAGATGTAGCTGATATGGAGCGTGCTCGTAGTGGGGAGCACTGCGTTTGGCCTCTCACGAACCTCGCAAGCACATGGGGTTGGAAAGACCGCGAATATTGTGAACGGACGGAGAGAAGTATCCTCTGCGATAGGACGTAGTTTGTTGCCATTCTGAAAAGATAGGACGCCAATATATACAATTAGGGGCCGGGCAGCATAGAAGGGGTTTGACGAGCCTCACCTTTTCTATCAATCTCAAAAGACGAAAATAGGTTTCATGACAGATACGATTGTATTGCCAATATCCCCCGTTAGTGCCAGAAGCCAAGACGGGGGCTGATATGTTTCAGGGGGAAAGCTATGGTGTAGATGGAGAGCGCGTTGGTAACCCGTGATAACAATTTTCGTGAGTCTAACTGGTACGAAGTAGCGCGGTAGAAATCACGGCCACCTCCCCGGAGGCTTGGAATCCTACGGCTGTGGCTTGCCGCCTCGGCTGTACAGCCTGTACTGGACTCGTAACATTCCCGGTTGAAACTGTTGCCAGATAACGACGACGGAAACCACACGACACGCCAGCTCTCGACGATCAACTAATACCTGGCTCGATCGATCATGATCATGCCATTGCCCATATACCTATTGTTACGGTTACGGTGACCGCTCCCAGCCTCTGGACTTCACTAAAAGATGTTCGAGATATCGATATCCCTGATGCGGACGTGGCTCGTCGTGATCAGCATCTTCCTGCAGTTTGTTGTAGGATATACTCCATTGTCCGATAGCACTCTCCTCAACCTTCCTGCCGCAGGATCGGATTTTGATATCAAGACCGGCGAAATTCTTGCCCCAATTTTGATCCCTCGAGTTCCTGGAACACCAGGCTCAACAGCCGTGAAAGAGCATTTCGCCCAGTGGTTCTCAACACATCTTCCCAAGTGGACTGTCGAATACCAGAACTCGACTTCGAAGACTCCTGCGACCGGAGATAAACAAGTCCCCTTTGTGAATTTTATAATCACACGCGATCCGCCATGGGCCAGACCTGGAGATGTTGGGAGGCTCGCTCTTGTTGCTCATTATGACAGCAAACTGTCCCCGGCGGGGTTTATTGGTGCAACGGATAGTGCAGCACCCTGTGCTATGATTATGCATGCCGCGCGCAGTGTTGATGAGGCTCTGACTCGGAAGTGGGCAGCTATGGAAGCAGAGGGTTCTCATGGCCTGGAGGAGGAGAAAGGGGTGCAGCTTCTGCTTCTTGATGGCGAGGAGGCATTCGTGGTATGGAACAATGAAGACTCGGTCTATGGAGCGAGGTACGAGCATGCCCTTCCATTTATAATAACTCTGCTTAACATCTCTAGGTCATTGGCAGAAACCTGGGAGTCAACCCCCCATGCTGCAATGTCAACATACCATAATAAGCTTAGTTCCATCTCCCTGTTCCTGCTTCTCGATCTCCTCGGTGCACCGAATCCACACGTACCATCATTTTTCAAAACCACACACTGGGCATATCAGCACCTCGCTGAGGTTGAGTCTCGAATGCGTACCTTAAGCCTCCTTGAATCACAAGTTGAGCACCCCTTCCTCCCCCAGCACAACAAAGACCCGAATTCATTTATGTCCTCGGGAATAGAAGATGACCATATACCCTTTATGACCAGAGGTGTGGAAGTACTGCACATCATACCTAGCCCGTTTCCTGATGTTTGGCACTTGCCGGAAGACGACCCGGAGCATCTGGATATGCCCACCGTCCAAGATTGGGCGAAGATAGTCACGGCATTTGTGGGGGAGTGGATGGATTTGGAGGGCTATTTCCCGACAAAGGAGGAAGCTGAAGCTCGGATTAGGAAGACGAGGTCTAATCCGCTGAGTAAGGATGAGCTGTGAGTTGACCTCTGCTGCCCTCCATGGACCCAGCTTAATTGTATATAGTAGCGGTAGTATGTAAGATTCTCAACATGATATCGGATATACGATATTAAAATACACCAGACAAGCCTGAAATTTCTAGTTTTTCTAGATTTTTATTGTTGCTATTCCCTGCCGTGCATTTTAGTTCGCCGGCCACAAGCCTGTGCCTTTTCAAATATCTCGTGTACAAACTTGGAGTTCATCGAAGGAACTGAGAACCTCAAGGTTCCGCGAATGCCAAATGACAACCATCATAATGGCTGTTTTCCCTGTCAAGCCTGTCTTCTATAGTGGTCGATGCATCAGTGCTAAGATGCAATCTCCTTATTGCCGCGCCCCTTTTGTCGAACTAATCACTGGAGTTTGGGTGAAAGCTTAATGCACCACCTTAGCGTTCCCTGTGCTGCATGGCTGGGGAGGCGTTTGCGGCTACCGGCGAGTAGAAGCAGAGCCAAGTCTGATTAAAAGCGCTCTGCTTAATGAATTTGAACCTGGACATGAGAGTCATCGATCCCCTAAGCCCCCTCATATTTAGATGGTATCCGGGGCAGTCAGTTACCCCCACCGCACGATGGCCTGGCTTATTCGGCTGTAGTATCAGTTGTAGGATGTGGATTCATGAAGAGGGCGCAACTGGATGTGGAGGCTTGGTCAACAGAGGAATTAGGAAGTGGCAACAGTAAGCCATACTCGGCCAGCTCTGGAGGTAGAAAGGTGACAGAGAGGAGTACCTGCCAAAGCCCAGGATCACCAGAGAGCATTCGCACAGGCAATGGTGACAACGAGTCAAGGGGCAAGGCTGGACTTTCCCAGCTTCTCCAAAGGCTCCGCCCCAGTGGAAGAATACGGAATGAAGAGAAATATGGAGGATTTGCTTGGATTGAACAAAAGCAGAGTCTCAACCCAGCCACCTCAGTTCCCATTGGGCGGTAGGACGCCATCCATCAACATAGACTCGTTAATTAAGCAGTTCCAGGGAATACCCAAGGACCCTCTTCAACACAGAATGGCACCTCCACAACACCAGACATTTAGCGATTCCTTTGTGCCCACTGCCCCAGGGCCGAAAAGCGAACACGCCTGTCGCCATCAGAAGCCGGCACAGGAGGTTGGATACCAGCAGCTGGAAGCAAGACACACCGAAATACAAAGGAAAACAGAGGAAACTTTACTGGGGAGAACTGATAAGGGGAGCGTGGAGATGGAGAGCAATGTTTCCGACAAAATAGATGTAAGAGGGCAGAGAGACGAGCAAAAGAACAATAACTTCGTAGCCAAAAAAAAAAAAAAACAGGAAAATCAAAGGTGGCAGGGTAAAACTTCCCCGGGCAGGACAGGTCGAGGGGTACAAAAGCGAGAGGAGATGGGGATGGTCGATGCGAGAGGTGATGCCCTGGTTGGTAGAGCTGCTGGCGTGAAGCAGCGCGTGAGGTGGAAATAGAACCCCCCTGCCCCAGCAAATCTCATTTCAGATGAGGTCAAGACGGGGAAAACAGCAAGATCTGGCCATGTCGCATTAACGGACAGATACTACAGCGTCGATCGGGCAAAATACTGGGGGGCGCAGGTAGGTACTCTTTAGAAGAGGACAATGAATCGGGGGACGAGATGGATCGGGAACTGCGGCCAAATTCATCGACTGGCTGCCGGGAAGGAAAGAATAAAGGGGCAGCCGTGTAGGTATAGGATAGGTATTGTATTATGTGGTACGCAAACCAAAGCCGACCAGTTCTAGGCAGGTATATATAGTAGATGTTTTAAAGAGTACTTCGTACAAGAACCTACACGTAGTCATACGCAGTATATACAAAGTGCAAATTACCCCTGGATTCCCCCCTTTCTTGTGAGTACCGGATGTCACGTGCACTGACTAGGACGCGCAAAAACACGCTAAACGCGTCTCCCACCACCGCTGGAGCAGCGTGCCCTGTCAATATCATCGAGATAGGAGAGCTACTCCTCTCTTCGACCCGCTCCCTCCAGCTTCAACAACAACTATATCTCGCTGTGTTGGTGTTTTCTTGGCTCTAGTACAAATTGGAACTTATCATAGCCATTCACCGCCCACAAATCTTCCAAAATGGCCAAAAGCCAGGACAATTCAGCGGCGACACCCGCTCGACCTCCATCCACGCTGAAGAAGCAGAGTTCCAGCTCAGGACCGGCATCTGGGCAACGCTCCATACATAGCTTCTTCACAAAAGCGCCAGCGGCTTCAACTCCAACGCCGAACTCTACTGCTGGTGGGTTACGACCCAATGGCACCGGAAACACCGCCAATGCCATGGCCAAACACAAGTCATCTGCTTCGGTCAAGAAGCCGACCTTTAATAAACTCTCAGTCAAGAACGCGACGCCTGTTCCCAGCAGTGATGCAATGGGCCCACCAAGCTCGCAGGAGAACGAGAATGGTGGGATCCCAGACGAGGTAGAGAATGGTCTGCCCTCGCCCATATACCCCCGGCTAAGAGTGTCACCCAGCAGGTAGTTGGCAGGAACGTTATGGTTATGGGAAGCAGCCCCTCAAGAAAGGTACGCTCCTTACTCCGAATCGCACGAAAGGAATTATATCTAATATTTAATGTTTTATCAGGCAAAGAAGGTTGTTAGCTACAACGAGGAGGATGATGACGAGGACGACGACGTATTCGATCCCGCCAGTATATCCACCCAACGGCGAAGGGCACGGATACCCAAAGCCCTAGATGACGACGACGAAGAGGATGTTTTTAGTGGTGGCCAAGATGAGGCCGAGGATGATGATGGTATGTGGGTTATCGCCCGCCGCTAAGTCGAAAGCTAATAGATCTAGACGATATGGACGATTTTGTCGTCGACGACGACTCGGATGCTCCGGCGAAGCCATCAAAGAAACGAAAACGTCCTACATCCACAGCGCCGCCACGAAAACGCTCTAATATCTCACCACCGCCACGCTACGTAGATGAAAATGAGGATGATTTGGAGGCTCGGCCGTCCTCGACAGCGCAACAATGGAAGTATGATCCAGATAACACAGAGCCGCTTCAGCCTCGATCTACCAATATCCCCAAGAAGCCGTCTCCAAAGCTGGGCAAGGAAAAAGCCTGCAAGAGCGAACCAGAAAAACGGTATCCTTGGCTAGCAGATCTTGCAGATATTGACCGTCATCCAGTTGGGCACCACGACTATGACCCGCGGACTGTTTACATCCCTCCTAATGCGTGGAGGAACTTCTCGCCGTTTGAGAAGCAGTATTGGGAGATCAAGCAAAAATTCTGGGATACCATCGTCTTCTTCAAAAAGGGCAAGTTCTATGAGCTTTATGAACGCGACGCTACAATAGGTCATCAGCTTTTTGATCTTAAGCTCACCGATCGTGTAAATATGCGGATGGTTGGGGTACCTGAAATGTCTCTTGATCATTGGGCAAATCAATTCGTTGCCAAAGGCTTTAAGATTGCTCGTGTTGATCAAGTCGAATCCGCTCTTGGGAAGGAGATGCGTGAAGCTGACGGGAAGAATAAGAATGTAGGCAAGCCATCGAAGGTGGATAAAATTATTCGCCGAGAGCTTGCATGCGTCCTGACAGGCGGAACTTTGGTTGAGGGAAGCATGTTGCAGGATGATATGGCAACATTTTGCGTTGCCATTAAGGAGGCCATCGTTGACGACCTACCAGCATTCGGGGTCGCTTTTGTGGACACTGCAACGGGACAGTTTTTCCTGTCTGAGTTTGTGGATGATGTGGACTTGACAAAATTTGAGACCTTTGTCGCTCAAACGCGACCCCAGGAACTTCTCCTTGAGAAATCTTGCATCTCCACCAAGGTACTGCGGATCTTGAAGAACAGTACCAGCCCTACCACCATTTGGAATTACTTCAAGCCTGCGAAAGAGTTCTGGACAGCGGATATTACCCGGCGCGAGCTTGATTGCAGCGAATATTTTACCTCCGGTGAATCTGGAGGCGCAGAAGTCTGGCCGCCAACGCTTGAAGACGCCAGGCATAAAGATCTTGTCATGTCTGCTTTTGGTGCCTTAACGCAATATCTAAGGACCCTGAAACTTGAACGGGACCTTCTGACCCAAGGCAATTTCACCTGGTACAATCCGATTCAGAAAGGGACTACATTGGTTCTGGATGGCCAAACACTTACTAACCTCGAAGTCTTCGCGAACAGCTTTGATGGCGGCCAAGAAGGCACACTATTTACATTACTGAACCGCTGTGTAACACCTTTCGGCAAGCGGATGTTCCGGCAGTGGGTGTGCCACCCTTTGGCAGATGCTTCAAGAATTAACGAACGGCTGGATGCCGTGGACATGATCAATGCTGATCGCAGCTTGAGCGATCAATTTGTGGCCTCTATGACGCGGATGCCGGATCTCGAAAGGTTGATATCTCGCATACATGCTGGGGTGTGCAAGGCAGAAGACTTTGTCAGGGTTCTTGATGGTTTTGAGCAGATTGAGTATACCATGGGTCTCCTAAGAGCTTTCGGTAGTGGAGATGGAATTGTCGACCGCCTAATAAATACTATGCCAGACCTTGCAGAGCCGCTGGAGTGGTGGAAAACGGCCTTTGATCGATCGAAGGCCAGGGACCACAAAGTCCTCGTACCAGAACGCGGTGTTGAGGAAGACTTCGATAACAGTCAGGACCATGTGGAAGAGCTTGAGGCGGCTCTTGAATCATATTTGCAAAAGACACGAAAGCTTCTCGGAGGCGCCCCTTCCAAAATTGCGTACAAGCACCTTGGCAAAGAAGTTTACCAGCTTGAAGTCCCTGCCTCTATCAAGGTTCCCAAGGACTGGCAGATGATGTCATCTGCTTCTGGTTACAAGCGATACTACAACGCCGACCTGAAAAAGATTATACGACAGCTGCAGGAAACCCAAGAAACCCATGCCCAGATAGTGAAGCTAGTGGCTGGTAGATTATATGCCAAGTTTGATAAGCACTACGATATATGGCTACAGTCTATAAAGATCATCGCTCAGCTTGACTGTTTGGTCAGTCTTGCCGCGGCCTCGGCAGCTCTGGGAGAGCCAAGCTGCAGACCGCAGTTCGTGGAGGCAGAACGAAGTGTAGTTGAGTTTGAGGAGCTTCGGCATCCTTGTATGCTCCCGAACGTGACTGACTTTATTCCGAATGATGTGAAGCTTGGCGGAGGTGCCGCAAACATTAACTTGTTAACTGGTGCCAATGCTGCCGGTAAATCAACGATATTGAGAATGGTATATCCCCTTTGTACACCCCACTGCATCTTTTTACTAACACCCAATAGACTTGCGTTGCCGTCATAATGGCCCAGATTGGTTGTTATGTACCTTGTGTTTCTGCGACACTCACACCAGTGGATCGCATTATGTCGCGCCTTGGAGCAAACGACAATATATTTGCAGCGCAGAGTACTTTCTTCGTTGAACTTTCCGAAACCAAGAAGATACTCTCTGAGGCCACACCCCGGTCTCTTGTAATCCTTGATGAGTTGGGCCGTGGGACGAGCTCCTATGATGGTGTAGCCGTTGCTCAAGCTGTACTCCATCATGTCGCATCCCATATTGGATGCACCGGGTTCTTCGCCACGCATTATCACTCTCTCGCCACCGAATTTTCAGGCCACCCTGAAATAGCTCCCAAGAGAATGCAGATTCACGTTGATGAAGACAATCGTTGCGTAACTTTCCTTTACAAGCTTGAAAATGGTGTAGCAGAGGGAAGCTTTGGTATGCACTGTGCAGCCATGTGTGGCATCCCCTCAAAAGTCATTGATAGGGCAGAAGTGGCAGCAAAAGAGTGGGAGCATACAAGTCGATTGAAGGAGAGCTTGGAAAAGGCCCGAAGTGGATGTTATATTCCTTTGGGTATCCAGAGCGATGTGTCCTGGATGCTCAAAGGGGCGATCGGTGATGAGGCTGAGGAGAGAGGATTGGATGTGCTAATGAAAGCTATCGAGAGCTTGTGAGATATATGACCTAATTTTTGATTGCTTGCTGGTTGGCTTGGTTGGGTTTGAGAGCCTGTTCTTGGCAGTTTGGTGTTGCGGTTTCTATTTTTGTGTGGGACCCAATACGAGTATATATCTACTATTAGCTGGCACTTTGTGGAAACCTAATAGGATGTGATTTGTGTCACTTATTTCTCCTGTTGCACAACGCAGTTGGTTGTGACCATTCACAGCCAGACCGGTTAGTCATTGTCACACTTAATTCTCAATCACACACTACACCAATCACACCACCAAGACCAGTACCTACATATTTCAACTGGGTCGAATGTGTACACACCGCACTAGCCGTCCCCACCATCCTTTCCAACAAAATACATTCACACTCACTCTAAGAACAGCACCTAGAAATTTATACCTATCACTTCCCGCTTTTTTCCCTGCATCAACAACTCCGCCTCCGACCTCGGAGTCGCTGTACAACTACCAAAACTCAACGCATCATGATCATTCCTAATAGCCTTGCCCTCTACATATACCTTCAATTTATATCCACCGGGCCTCAACACACCATGGCATCATCCTACCCAGCCCCCTTTATAATCTCCCCGACACCACCAAACACCCACCAAACAACCCTCATCCTCCTCCACGGAACCTCAACTACGGGTCCAGAATTTGCATCTTCATTCTTGTCATTCCCGTTTCCCCAGCCCCAGCCCAAGACAAACACGCCAATCACTCTACAGCAAGCGCTCCCAAACACAAAATTCGTATTTCCTACTGGAAAACTTCGCAAGACCACAGTTTTTGGGGGCAGAGAAACAAATGCCTGGTTCGACGTCTCAGATTTTGGCGATCGTACTATCGGCGAAGATGCCATGCGTGGGGGTATTCGCGAGAGCATAGTTTACCTGACTGGGATTGTCGAGGATGAAGTTAAGCTCCTGGAACCGAAGTCTGAGTGTGATGAAGATGGGCAGGGGAGAGGAGATAGAAGTGGAAGGGTGGTACTAGGCGGGTTTAGTCAAGGGTCTGCTATGGGTGTTATGTTGATTTTAAGCCGAATGCTTGAGGCTAGAGGTCTTGCTGCAGATATTGGAGGATTTACGGGGTTGAGTGGGTGGTGTCCATTTCGACTAGGGCTGGAAGAGAGTATTTTTTCCGGAATTCTGGATGGGGATGCGAGCATAGAGGAGGGTTATGAAGGGAGGAGGGAGAAGGCAGCTTCTTATCTCAGGCAACTCATAGACATTAGGATTGATGGTAACGAGGAGGAAGGGTGCCAAGGCGAGAGCCTTCTTGATAAGAAGATTTTCCTTGCGCATGGAAAGGAGGATGCAAAGATGAAGATTGAATGGGGGGCGCAGATGAGGGATCTCTTGAAAACCTTAGGTGGTGATGTTTGGTGGGAGGCTTATGTGGGGTTAGGACACTGGTATGGCGAGGAGGAGATGAAGGATTTGGTGAGTTTTTTGGAGGGCGTTTGGGGCGGCACTGCGATAAGGGAGTAGTGAGTTCGCTAGAGAAAGGCGGAAAACCGTGGCTCAAAAGCAGTAGGGCAAATGGGCTTATGAAATTTGGACTTCACGTATCGCAAATATCTATTATGCGTCTATGAAACTTATAGAAGCGAAGAGGCAACGGGGAAGTTGATGGAACATCAAATTTCTGCAGTTTGCTATTCAACTTAAACTTAGTGATCAGGCTCTGTACATGAAGACTCTCGGTCTGACATCCCATATTCTAAAACCTAGACTGTTAGTGGGCGCGATTAATAGAAATCTTGACTTCAACCTCGTTACTCCATCCGCTCTTGAGACCCATCTCCTTCCATGCTTGCTCGGTATCAATCTCAAGCACATGCTCGTCGACTTCGCTAATACCGATAGTGTGGATCGGTATAGCTCTTCCTAGGACCGTAATCATCATCCTATCCTTCCACGATATTTCTGGTAAATTGGAGATATAAAGTCCTGCGGCTATTAGTATTAATATTGCCTTGAAACCCCATTGGAACATACCAAGGACACCGAGAGCTTTGATATTCGTATCGATGAAAATCATCCCGTTCTCAAGTTTCGTGATGCGACTATCAACAACAGCTGCCGCACCGGCCATTTTCCCCAGAAGCCCAAGATTGGCAATCCATATCGTTTCTGCCCTTGATTCATCTACGAAGCCGCGTAATGGATAAGCAGAAAGAATATCGTAGCCTCGGATTCCGAGAGATACGTAAATTAAAGATGACGAATCGACTATCTGCATTGGTTCCGAGACCAAGCCGCTGGAATGAGCGCGGATGATGTAATACTGAGCTTCAATAACACCAGGGAATTTCGATAATGGAATTAATTCGCTGAGCGGACGCTGAGAGACGTTGAAGAAGCCGATAATGCCTGTTCCTGTCACCGCTGGACCTAATCAGTGATTAGTATACGCAATGTCAAGGGAATTATTGAACTCGTACCGTGATAAGTGCCAACAAGAAGTAGGTTATGGTCATCATAACCATTGTACTGATCCAAGCTCTTACCCATCACGCTGGGTCTGAATATTACCGTTTTTCCTCGTGGCGTAGGACCTGTCATCTGGTTGATAAGATTAAGATCATGCTGCCCTGGCACATCAGTGATATAAATCGGCCCCCCGCTGACACATCTTGCTGCAGCATGGAAGCCGGAGTAATCATGAACCGTTTGAAACATATCCCAATCGGGAATTACGTTCAAGTGTTGGGTAAATAATGCGTTATGTGCATTTGTGAAGATATGCCAAGGATGACTAGTTGGCACCTCAGGAAAGAAATCATCTGAGTTTCGGACAAGGAGCGGAGGTTTATTTTGTGGCAATTGAGAGTGGAAGAGGATTTGGGGCGTTTGAGACATGCAGGATATTGCCTTGACGCTGAAGTGCCGGAGGGTTGATATGGTCCAGGCGTCTAGGTATGTTGAGATCAGACTGGAACGCGCTTTCGCCGAAACAAAAGTGTCGAGCATGAATTGGGCACTGTGTAGGTCAGCATAGGGGTGCAGATTACGGAGGAAAGTCAATACTCAGTCTTGACGGCATCTACACCACAAGATGCGAGAAATCTGTAAAAGTCATCATAGAATCTGGGGACATCTTCCTCATCAACGACAGTCATCTTGCCACCAAGAGGGAGGTTTCGTCGCATTGCATCCTCTCGTACAACCTCGACAGTTTTGTAGGTCTTCGCAATTTGCCCATCAGGAGCGAGCCCACCCCAATATCCCAGGATTGCATGCCAGACCGCAACATGTTGAATACTGGGAAGTTTTTGTCGGATGCGCGTAACTGTGTGTTTTAACCCATTCGGAAATGCTTCTCTTTCGGCTTCGAACTCAACCCATCCATGTTGGAATTGGCCGTGCCCTCGGTAATCAATTGCTTGCCAGTTATCGTCAATTATGAAATTTGTCACATTTATATTATTTTCTGCCAGTGTTTCAACCGCCTTGATAAGCTTATCTTCTGAGAGTCGTTGTCCAATCGCATTCCAGGTGCCTAGGACGTATCAGCGGGGGGTGAATTATTACGACTTTATGGATGTCCCCACAGTAAGTTAATCCATCGTACCAATTCTCTGCCCAAAGTTTGGTAGACTCGTCGCCTTCTTTCAATGCTGCAAGTTCCCTTTGTTGCTCGCCACTTGCGGTCTTATTTTCTGCAACGATACCTCTAGCGTGATACATCACAGCAGCATTGGCTGACTCGAAATCATCTCCTAGACCAACGAGAACACGCGACACGGACGTATTCTGGCCATCATTCCGAACCTATTTATGTCAACCAAATTTAACGTACCAAGCTTCGCTGACCAAGACAACATACACGCAAGATAACATTTCCGTCACTATCACTCTTGAAAAGAGTCATAACATTATCTACTCCGCTGATGGCTAGGAGAACCAAATGTTTGCCGGAAAGGCTGAGAAAAGAGGACATCACTGCCTCTTTATCGAGCTTGAAGATGGACTTTCCTTGTCTTGGCGCGAGCCACGGAGACCAAATCCGAATGAGGGCAAACCATCTTGTTGATTTCAGGTATCAGTCAAGACATCGTTCACTGGATGCATCGAGGGTCTTGATGATCGTAGTATTCCAACGTAAAGCGACTGCTTACCTGGAAATTTTGCCTTTTCCCCATGGCAGGCCAAGTTTGATATCCCTAATTGCTGGCTTCTCTCCATCGGCTGCTTCGATCGGGGCCTCAACTAACCAAAGGCTGGCACCAGGACACTGACTGCGGGAGTTCTTTGCCTTCAGAGCAGGATTGAGGCCTTCGATAAAATCACCTAGGTCCCCTGAAACGGCATCTTGAGAAGTCACAGTCCTCATCATGACCGTCCCATCAGACGTTCCCTGATGATCCCGCACCCACTTCCATGGCTGATCACTACCGGCACGGAATTTTATAGTGAAGTGCGTGGAAAATCGAATTGCAAGAGGAGTGGTGAAGTAGAGGCGTCTGAGCGGGGATCCTGAGCTCTCTCTAGCCGACTGGAGGGCCGTAGGGTGGGCCGAGGAATTCCTCACAGGGTCCATAGGGCACTCTACCCATTCTTTCCCATCTGAGTGCCATAACGAGAGTTGCCATGGATCGGAATTGCGGCTCTCATCCACCTCCAGCAAAGCCGTAAACGTGCTTGTACTTTGGTCAATCTGAGTCACCTGACCTAAGGGAGGGAATGTGCAAATGAACGCCTTCATGCTTGGATGGTCCAGCGCCAACGGCGATGTCTGTTTGGGGATGTACTTGGCCTGGAAGACCTCGTTGCCGTCTGCACCAGAGATAAAAGTATCTGTGTCTGCCATGATGAATGATAATGCTACCAACTGAACGAAAAACAACAGGGAGAATGGGGGACGAGATGAGGAGGACTGAAGTGCCGAAAGGAGACGGGTGGTCTCTACATACAGAAAAGAGTCAATTCTAATGTTAATGAAGTAATGTAGAGGTGGAAAGTACTCGAGTAGAGGTACATATATATATATGTACAGGAATGGATGCCAACACATAGGAACAGGTACAAATACCACAGAGGTGGGGCAGATCACATGGTATATCACGTGAAACAGCTCCGCCAGACCAGATCGAAACCTGCGTGCCTGAGGCTGTAAGCTACCAGCGGCCAAATATATCGCCGCTTCCGATGGCTTGCCACATTCGTTGCGGCTGCAGCCGCGTCTTCCTGGCCTAAACTTTTCTAATAAACAGAACCTCACGAACAGAACCCATCATCTACACTCAGCCCTCCCTAAGTACTACTTTTACCTGCTCGGAATTATACACTACTCTACTCAATTGATCATTGGTGTTCCAATTCTCATGGTTTTATTCTTATAACCGTTCTTTCACCCGCCATCATGGCATCACCCTCCTTACTGCGAAACTCGCCTCGATCGAACCTTTACGTTTGCACAAGATGCGCCCTTCGAACGGCAAAATCCCAAGCCCCCATCAAGACGACCAGGCGATGGATTGGCATGAAGTACCTTGCTAAGGTTGCGGATGCGGAATCAGATTGGCAACAGCGCGCGGTTGAGATTGAGGCAGGGAAACGCAAAAGTATGCTGACCATACTGGAGGAGAGAGGGCTGGTGCAATCTGTCACCGGGTACGTCGTCTCTTCATTCTAATTCCTACGAGGCCTGTGATTTTAATTGTACTTTGCAGGAACCGCGACGTGGTCGACCGAAGGATGACTGCAAGACGGCTGGGTGCCTACGTTGGTATTGATCCTACAGCCCCTTCCATCCACGTTGGGAATTTGGTGCCGTTTATGGCGCTGTTTTGGATGTATGTGCATGGCTATCACACTGTGACTCTCCTTGGAGGGGCTACTTCAAAGATTGGAGACCCAACTGATCGTCTAACGACCCGGGAGCGGGAGAATTCATCAACTCGGACAGCGAACATGGTCAACATGCATTACCAGCTAAAGAAGTTGTGGATCAATGTCGAGGAGTATGGGAAACAGCACGGCTATTATTATGAGAGGGACTGGGCGATGCACCGGGAGCTAGTGAACAACAATGCGTGGTGGAATAAATTGCCCATGCTAGAAGTTTTGCAGACCCTTGGCCACGGAATGCGATTGGGGTCAATGTTGGCTCGGGACACGTGAGTAATAGGACGGGACTTTTCCTTTATTTCCTCCAGTGCTGATCTATTTTCTAAATAGTGTTAAAAACAAGATGAACAAGGGTGATGGGGTGTCATTTGCTGAGTTCACATACCCGATCATGCAAGCATGGGACTGGTGGCACCTGTTTCAGTCGAAAGGAATCCATATGCAAATTGGAGGAGCGGACCAATTTGGAAACATCACGGCTGGCATTGATGCCGTTAAACATATTGCAAAGAACCACCATGACCCTGTGATGCGCGAGAAGGTTGCACCTTTGGGTGATCCATTTGGCTTCACAGTTCCGCTTCTCACCACCTCATCTGGTGAGAAGTTTGGGAAAAGTGCGGGTAATGCGATATGGCTGGATAGCGAGCACACAAGCACCTTTGATCTTTACGGGTACTTCTTGCGTACTTCTGATGCGGATGTTGGAAAATTTCTCAAGATGTTTACTTTCATGCCTATCGATGCAATTGATAAGCTGGTCAAGGAGCATCTAGAAGCTCCAGAACAGAGAAAGGCACAACATGCCCTAGCTCGGGGGTTAGTAGAACTAGTGCATGGTGCTCATGAAGCGAAAGTTGCAGAAGAACAGCACCGGTTCCTCTTTAGGAAGAAGCCAGAGGAGCCTCTGACATTAGAAGTCCCTGCCGACGCTGATGCTAAAGTCGGTTATACCACCCTCAACAACAAACCTCGTGTCAACGTCCAACTTCCTCACTCTGTTGTTCATAAATTGAGCATCGGGCGTATTCTATATGCCTCTGGTCTTGCTGCTTCGGCTTCCGAAGGCCATCGTCTCGCCCAGCAATCTGCAGTATTTATCGGCGGTATGCCGCACGGGAAGAAAGAACCCATGGTCGATGGCTTCATCAGTTGGACCAAAATAAAGCCGTGGAAGTCTGAAGATACCAGCAAATTCCTTGTACATGGTGACCTTCTCATGCTGCGAAAGGGGAAGCACAACATCAGAGTTGTTCAAGTCGTTCCCGATGAGGAGTACGATACCTCTGGCAAGACTTATCCAGGCCAGAAACTTCGCCAAGGACCCCTCAGCAATCTTGAGATGCGGAACCGGAAGGTGATGGAGAATCTCCAGACCCCCAGAGGCAAGATTGAGGAAGATCGATTCGATTAAGTGGTGCAAGTCGGTCAATCGACGGGGTCAGCCAGCCAGAAAATCAAGCATCCCCTACAAGCCGACCAGCCTCCACAGGTATTGAGGATTGTGGTGCCCAGCATTTTATCTGACTCATGTTAGAAGTCCATGCCCAATTCTGATCCTAGTCTAGGATGTATGATATTTTGTACAGTACATTACTGTAAATTAGCTGTACTATATACCCCTCATTATCCCGCTAAAGCTCATTCCCATTCTTCTACTCAAAATTTTGCTCGGCTCTCCCTCAATCATCCGTTGAATACTAGCACTCACTCTCTTTCCTGCCTCCTTGTCATTTATTACCGCGTCTATCTTTCTCATGGAAGTCAAAACAGAATGGGCAGATTGCTGAGATACTTTGGGTCTTGGACCGGTCAACCCGGATTTGGATCCTACCTGGTTGACCAGGGAGCGGTGCGTGGGCAACTCGTGCTTCGTTATGAAACGTTTATTCAAGAAGTTTCGGATAACCTCCCATATCGAGTCCGCCCTTGCCCCTTTTTCGATTGTCATGAGCATCAAAAAAGCGAGTAACGTTACAACAAACCCAGGGACATCTCTTTCAGTCCACTCAATCCAACACCATATTCACGTGTTCCCCGAGATGCTGCTCTACATTTGTGAAATCCTTGTATACATGCATAAAATGATATGGCACAGTAGGAATCTTGGCATACGATTCCGATCGGACGAATATGAATCAAACTCTCCGACGACCTTCGAGGCTTTCTCGATGTGTAGAACATGCGACACTACCATAGTTGTCCGACAAGCTCAAAATCCCTGCAAAATTGGGGTGTGATCGGTTATCCTGCGTGTGCTCCGAAGCGCGTGCAGGAAATGTGGAGTGCATGTTTTCTTCGTTAGGAAGGAGATCTTTTGCTTGGTTTTGTCATTTATCCGCTATCAGTCTCGCAGTAAACCTCGCTTTGTTCTCCATTGCCCATGGAAGTATCGTTTGGTCCGCTAGGAGTTCACGAGCAACATGGAAATGGGGGTAGCACCTACTAGCTATGTACTTGCGATGGTAGAGCAGCTAGAAACAAGGAAATAACAGGCTCAATATCTAGTAGAGAAGTATTTTGGTACTCTCCCGAAGCAGCCATAGTGTGCCTCTTTTAGAGCATTGTACTACGACTGGGAATTCCCTCATGAGGATTCTGGATCATGTAGTGGAAGGCAAGATGCAACATTCCTACCTTTTTTAGTCGAGAATAATCAAGTTTGGCGTATGATCCTGGTACTTCCGGCCATCTGGGGAGGCAGATATACGCCAGAATAGTTTGTGTGGGGCCAATGCCGCAATTACCTTGCAATTATTCTACAAGTAAGTTGCTCCTTGACATTGAAACATCGATCTATTACGTATGCCATGCTCTAAATCAGTGCCCATATCTCATCTCTGCTTAGTATCATGGGCTGGTGACGTTTCCATGCGATTCTGGCAAATTGGGGGCAAATGCAACAACAATTCTTTAAGTTTGATAATATAACGGATCTATACACACCATGTCGACTTTACGCGTACAGGCATGGTCGATGAATAGCTTCACACTGGTGGTTGGTATAATGCATCCGACACTGTCTATATAACCAAAGGCGGAAGCTAGCTAATTGCAGATGCCAAGTGTGGCAATGGTGATGTAGATCATGTATTTTTCCATGTTAGCAAGGCAGTCATCAGATATGCTCTAGTACCGGTTGTGGAGGCCTTATCAACCGCGCCGGGCGAGTGCTGCCTCGAGACAGGTCAAGACCGCGGGGGGCTGGCCGGCGTTGGAATGTTTCATTTATACCATGGTGGGTTCCAACAGACCCTATTGTTTCAATAGCAGGGACCTGAAGATGTCCTCTTGACTTGAACAAATTGTTTTGCCGCTGGCGATGTGGCATTTACATTCCACTTTGTCTTAGACCGATGCTTGGGGTCAAATATAAACCTTCCCAGCCCCTATATAAACTCTGATCTGTTCCAGCTGCTTCTCCTGGGTTGGCGATGCAATTATCTATTCACAAGTTCCCCACTTCCTATCCCTATATGTACCTAGACTTATAAGATGCATATCTTTAATAGTTGTGTTTTATTTGTGTATTTGCTCATTACCCTCCCTTTAACAAAAGCTGGATTTAATCCGGTTTCTTCGAGCAATGTAGCGATTTACTGGGGTAAATATTATATTCTAATGAGGCATTCCTGAATAGTTTCCTGACATGACCGACAGGGCAAAACTCGGTTGGCCAGGCCAAATCTCAGCAGAGGTTGTCATATTATTGTGAAAGTATGTGGCTCCCTTTTGTGCAATTTTGAAACCACGCTCAAAACATCTAGATACGGACTTTCATGTATGCTCTAAAAAGCACTCTAGTTTCTTAATATGAATAACTTAACTAGCATAGATCATTACCCTAGCATTCCTTACCACGATTCAAAATCCGTCGCTTAATTTTGCAAGTGCTGGAGATCTTTGCACCCCTATTTCCAACTCATCCCTGTTTTACTGCTCACAGTTGGAGTAAGTTTAACCTAAATCAGCATGGCCATGCTACAGCCTCTCATCATAAGATAAAATAACACCCATTTAGAGCAGACATCAAAACATGTCAGCAAGAACACGGGAAATCAATTGTACTGTCCATCGGTGGCGCCACCTACTCCGAAGGCGGGTTCTCAAACGCGAGTATAGCAACTTCAGCGGCCAACAATATCTGGTCTATTTTTGGACCTATAGTACCTGGAAGAAATGTATTCCGGCCTTTTGGCTCCTCGGTAATTGACGGTTTTGATTTTGATTTCGAAAGCAATGTTCAGAATATGATCCCATTCGCCAACCAATTACGAAGCCTTATGGATGCCGATATGGTTTCAACAGGCAAGCAGTGGCTCCTCACTGCCGCACCGCAATGCCCATACCCAGACGCTGCAGACGGGCCTATGCTTGCTGGTAAAGTCCACTTTGACGCCATCTGGGTCCAATTCTACAATAACTACTGTGGCGTTCAATCCTTCATCCCCGGTGCTAGCACACAGAACAATTTCAACTTCGATACTTGGAATACCTGGGCTAAGAACGTATCTCTAAACCCAAATGTCAAGGTCTTCCTCGGCATACCTGGTGCTTCAGGCGCAGGGAGCGGTTATACCTCGGGCAGCAAGCTGGCCTCAGCCATTTCTTATTGTAAAGGCTTTCCTAGTTTTGGTGGTGTTATGATCTGGGATATGAGTCAAGTCTGGGCGAATTCGGGGTTCTTAGACTCTGTTACTGAGGATTTAGGTGGATATACCCCGTCTCCTTCAACGACATCTTTTACATCTCCCGCCACGTTAACCACAAAAACAACCCCCCCGACAATAACAACTAGCCCGCCTTCGACGACGAGCTCTCCGGGCTTGCTCGGCCAGTGGGCTCAGTGTGGTGGGCAGGGCTATAGTGGGCCAATAGTCTGTCACCCCCCATACAAATGTGTAGCCTTGAGTGTTTGGTGGTCACAATGTGAATAAGCCCACTCATTGTGACTATTCTGGGTCTTGGGATGGTGTGTTCGTTGGAACTGGTCAAGAGGACAGATGTATTTGTTGTGTAGTAGAGTATATCTTTATTGTTCGATGTATGTATTCATTCCTCCGTGGCTCATTATTTTGGGCTGCAAGGGTTTGGCTAGCTCCGAGTTCATAGCTGGGAATTTCTAGGAGATTTACATTTTAGAGGGATATTGACCTCTCCGAAGGACAGCTAGTAATCTTCATTTGTGAAGAATTGTATTTGAAAATGGGCTCATTTAACATTTCACCCTATACGAGCACAGGTATGTTTCTGAAGCTGTATCCATACAACTAGCTAATTGTATGTATTTCGTTCTACAAACTATCCTCTACCTCCCTTCCTGCCTCCTTCATATTCTGACGAAACACATAAATATGGCTTGTGTTGAATCTAAATTGGACCTAGTGGAATATACCTTATGTTGCTCGAAGTTTGTTTATACATCACGAACCAATTTCAAATGTCAGGTCACGGTGCGACTTCACAGAATAGTTTGTCGCACTATCCTTATGATGCGGGTAGGGCAGTGTAGGAGTAGCTTAGAGCTCGGAATTTATATCGTCTATTGGCAACTCTCATTTATATCGTTTGAAACGACGTGCAAATAGGCTTTGACCATTTATCAATGCTGTTTAATATAGGCTGTGTAATAAAGGTCTAGATTTCCATCATGGCGGAGGCCATTTGTCTGTCACTAGTCAAGGGCGGAGACGCTCCGAGATTGGTCGCTACTGCGCTGTTGGAGAGAGAAGAAGTTTCACTTTTCAGTATCAATTTCCGCCGACCCTGATTGAACCTGCCCCAACTTCTTCAACTGCCCAATTCTTCCAATATCCCTCAATCCCAATATAGTGACCAGGAGCGAAACTGCCATAAGAGCAAAACAAAGCCATTCAGCAGCCCGCAAGCCTTCTAGAAGCGCATATGTTTCCCCGTGACCATTCACGGTCAACTTGTTCTGGGTACTATATTGGACAGCAGCGGTAACCGGTAAGAACATCGCTCTCCCCATCGAGGCGACTGTTTGGAACATTGCACCGGCCACACCTTGATCTTTCCTTGGTAATGCCTGAGTTGTGAAGAGACCGATACAAGGATAAATCGTATCCGCTCCGACAGCGGCAAAACACATAGCTAGGAATCCATATGCGAAGTAGGATGTTGAGGGCGGAATTGGAACAGCAAAGAGCAGGTTGGACAATGAAGCTAGTACGAGCCCAAATATGAGGATAAAATTGCCACGGACTCGTGATAAGAGGTATCCGGATGCAACTGTGCTAGCCACTGGTCAAATTAGACAGCTGGTTTAAAAATAGGAGTGTAAAACTTACTCCCAACTATTCCAAGGGGTATGAACCGTAGAGTCGTTTGTATTGGTGAGAGAAGTTGGTAGTCTTGGTAACTGTGGGAAGTTGGCTTAGGGAACGCAAAAACCTGGTAAAAACAACCTACAAATATGTCGAGTATACCAAATAATTGGTGAATCCCCCAGAGAAAAAGAATATTATAACCATTGCGAAGGAAAATCTAGCAGTTTTGAATGTTGAAACATGCATCAACGGCTCTCTTAGTGATTTAGTCTCGAGATAGTGTTGCCAATAGATAAATACAGCCAGTAAAATAACTGATACAATAAGAACGGCAATCACGAACGGTGTTCGCCAACCTTGGGATACGCCTTGCGATAATGCAATGAGCAGGAGGAGCGTACCCGATGTGAAAAGGAAAGCCCCAGTCCAGTCAACACCCGAAGCACGAGGTTGATCATCGCTAGGAGCTTTGCTTGCGGGCTCCTTGGGGATCACAAAAATTGCGATAATACCAACAATAAAGGACACTCCAGCAATAGCAAAGAAGACAACCTTCCAGCTAGTATATTCAGAGATTAACCCACCCTAAGAGCCTTGAGTCAGTATGTTCTCGGATGGAGAATAGTGCGTCACTCATTACCAAGAGGTTACCTAAGACCTGCCCAGCAGGAGCTCCGCCAGAATAAAACGCAAAACTGTATGTTTTGACCCGCCCCGGAGGAATGGTATAGCCAATGATGCCAATAGCGCTGGGAATGGTGGCAGCTGATCCCTAGACTTGTATCAATATACCTCGTTATTTACACATTCCAGAAATGGCATACCAAACCATGCAATGCACGCATGACATATGTAACGAGCTCGATGGGGGAGAAGGCCGTCGCGAGTGCTGTCACCGTGACCCAAAAACACCCTAAGATAAAGAAGGCTCTCTTCCCGTAGACGTCTCCGAGCTTTCCAAACAACAAGAGGAAGGAACCGGAGGTTAGGGCGAAGGTTGAGACGATCCATTGTTGGCGGTTAGGTGGTATTTTGAGATCTCGGGTCATCTGGGGTAGCAAAATGACCACGGCTTGGTTTGACACCGTCTATATGACATTAGTTTACAACGAGCAGGTGCTAAGGGCATAAGCTTAGTTAAACGTGCATTGAGAAAGGTCGCAGCGGTCAAAACCAAAACCAACGGAGCAACCTGCCGAATCCCAAGCTCTCTCGCGTCTGCTTGGCTTCCGATACGAGATTGTCGAGTAGAGATCGGGGCCAGCTCCTGCACCAGAACCTTGTCCTGCGCAGCGAGACCGGGCGGCGAGGTGACTGGGACTTGTTCAATAGGAATGTCACTGCTTGTGTTGGTGGTATGGGAAGTAGCCATAGACATTGCGGCACTGCAACGCTGTCCAAGAAGCTGGCGGCTTGGAGAAATGACCGGACCGGCGATCTGGACAGGAATATATAAGGCTTCCCAAACTCAGAGAGGTATGGATAGGCATGGATATTGAGTTTGGTTACGCCATATGAAGACTCAATAACCCACCACTCAATACTTAGCCTTCTCCACCCCACCAACGGCGGCTCTGGGGCTGTCGCGAGCTCAAGGCCGGCATTAATAGAGTTGTGCGCTTTACTCGCGTGTGAGCGTACTGTAGTATTCGGTGGCCCCGGTGGCCCCTTGGGGCCACTCCGTACACCGTGGATAAATGCCCACTGTACGGGATCTCTACCTACCGCCCCACGGCAATGGACGACCTAGGATGTGATAAAGCCATGAAGCCATGCATGAGAGCACCAGCTGGAGAGTTCATGAAAAGAGAGCCAACAGCCACGTCGGAGGTGGCCATTCTTACCTACCTAGGTACCTAGGTACCTAAGGTAGGTAGAAATGTACTGTACAAATGCGGTATTATAAGCGAGCCCTCGACCAATCCCCTTCAAAGGTTTCAAGCTGAAATCAACTACAATAGCTTCATGGTTCCGGGGTAGGATGAGATGAGATGATGTTCAAGTCTTCTCCAGCGCTGCCCAAACTTCTCCCAAGAACAAGAGCTATATGCCAGGGTTGCCTGCGCTCAGTAAGAGTCATGTCACCTCCTCGACGTTGGTTTTCGAAGCCCCAGGAGCGATGCTACGATGTCAGACCCCCCCTCTAGATATATACCACCACATGCTCACTGAAAGGAGTCTTAGGATGCCGTCGGGATGCTCAATACTCTCCAGACACCGTACCAGATCCTGAAACAGCGGCGTGAAGCCGGTATCAAAACGGATGAGTCCTCGAACCAAAATATGCGGAAATGTCTCGCCGCAATTGGTTATTCGGTTCAGTCCATCCTTGCTACTGTTTATAAAATTTCGTAAGAAGCTATGCTCACAATGTTTAATATACATATAGCAAAACGACCTCGCCAAACTGAATGTCATCCATGTAGCCGGTACAAAAGGAAAAGGCTCAACATGTGCCTATGTAGACTCCATGCTGTCATGGTATCGCGCCGCTCATGGTCTCCCTAAGAACATCGGCCTCTACACATCTCCGCATTTAGTTGCCGTGCGTGAGCGTATCCGCATCAATTCGGCTCCTCTCACCGCTCCGTTATTTGCAAAGTACTTCTTCGAGGTTTGGGATAGGCTAGAGGCCGCTGCCAAACAGGAACCTGACCTCGAGAAGCCACTCTATTTTCGGTATCTAACGCTCCTAAGCTTTCATGTTTTTCTGCAGGAAGGTGTAGACGCGGCCAGTTATGAGGTGGGTGTAGGGGGGGAGTATGATTCTACGAATATCGTGGAGCGTCCCGCCGTCACGGGGATTACGACTTTGGGTATTGACCATGTTTACTCTCTCGGGGATACGGTTGGCAAGATCGCCTGGCACAAGGCTGGGATTCAGAAAAAGAGAGTCCCGTCGTTCACAGTTGCGCAGAACCCCGATGCCCTGGATGTCATTGAGAAGCGGGCGGCCGAAAGGCATGTCGGGGCTCTTAAAGTAGTTGATTTTGATTCCCGACTGGAGGGTGTCAAGATAACGCCCAATTTCTCGTTCCAGAAATCGAATGCAAGCCTTGCGCTGGCCTTGACAGAGACGGCTATTTAAAAGCTGGACCCAGCCTACCCACCCTCCCCTGATTCTATTCCCAGGGAATTGAGCCAGGGAATTGAAAAGGTCGTTTGGCGAGGTAGATGTGAGGCTAAGACTGAAGGAAATCTGACGTGGTATCTCGACGGTGCCCACACAACGGATAGCGTTGAGGTAGCCACTAAATGGTTTAGTGATGAATCTTCGCAAGAGTATGTTGTTACCTGTTACTGACTCAGCCATGCACCTGAAACCTAACACGTCGACTAGACCCGCATCTCGTGTTCTCGTCTTCAACCAGCAAGGCTTTCGCGAGGCAGTTGCCCTCCTAGAAGGTCTCCAACAGGCTATCGCACAACAGGGTCTGGTGAATTTTGATCATGTCATATTTTGTGCCACTGACCAAAATAGCAAAGGCCAGAAGAAAAAAGGTCGCTCCGGATCTTTACAACCATTTCCCCTCACCCTCGCTAACTATATTAGATTTTGTCAATAACAATGCCGATTCAGAAGCAATAGCTGGACTTACACTGCAGAAGTCCTTTGCTGAAAAATGGAGAGAATTGGATCCTTTGGCTTCCTCTACCATCGGCGTTCTCCCAAGCGTCAAAGCTGCACTTGCTCATGTTAGGAATCTGGCGTTGGAGCATAATAAAGTTCATGCATTCCTCACAGGTAGCGTACACTTAGTAGGCACCGCGCTATGTAGCTTTGAAGGCGTCGATGCGTTGTCGACCGAAGGCGGTTGTTTACCTTTGAGCCGATGGAACCATGGTGGGTGAAAAGTGTCTAAAACAAAATTTTATTTGTTGGATATCAATGTCTATTTATGGAGGTACCACAGACCCTTTTTGCGGTACTTTGTTCGCTCAAGTTTTGCAGCAATGCTCCAGCTAGGTACAAGCTCCCTGTGACTAGAACGAGAACCCTCTGATGCTCGCCATCTGAGATTCGTCTTGCAAATCGTACGGCGTCTTGGACACTTCCGTATAGCTGGCACGATGACGTGCTCCCCGAAGATTGGTACATTTCCATCAATTCCCTTTGGGCAGATAAGTCACGTACGGATTCGCTCTGAGAGGATGCAAACGGAATATTCGGACAGAATGCTGCGTGATCGAATGTTCTCGTATATGTTACAGGGCCTTGTTTCTCTTTTAGATCTGTGAGTAAACTTCGAAGAAGAGGACGCCCATCACGGTCATCTTGGTTGAATATTAGCATTACTGCTGTGGGCGGATTGGATTGCAAGAAAGCTTCGTCCATCTTCGACCGGAACCACGTAGCAACAGCTTGCATGCCCTCATGTGTATGCGCACCGTCAATGTACCATTGAATGTTACCTTCCTTAACGATTTGGCATCTTCCGGGCCAACAAACATTTTCCAAACCACGAATATATTCATTTGGGAGCTTGAGGTCCCGGTTCGCTATCTCTTGTAGTCGAGGAATACCTTCAGTGACTCCCATCTGGTGTAAATAGGAGGTGGTAATGGCTACTGCAAGACTAGCATTGTCCTTCTGAAAGTCACCCAATAGCCCGAGCTCTATGTTGTTCGCATGTATTGCAGGTAATCGGGGCACGAAAGTAATATCAGAGCCCTTCTCCGCTGCCCTACTTCTAAGCACAGCGGATGCTACTGGTTGCTGTGAGGTTGTAAAGCTGGGGACCCTTGGCTTTATAATTCCTGCCTTGTGCCATGCTATATCCTCGATTGTTTCACCAAGCATTCCGATATGGTCAATTTCCAGCTTTGTGATGGCGCTCACAGCGACTGCCTCGGGGGGCAAGATATTGGTGCTGTCATGTTCTCCGCCTATGCCGCATTCGATGACGGCGACTCGTACACCTTGTTGCATGAATATGTGGAGAGCCAGCAGTGTCAAAAATCGGAAATACCCAGGGCGGGCTTCTGCATTATTTCCAGTCAGCCCTATGAGGGCATTCCCCTCCTTAGTAGTGGCCGAAGCATGCTCAAAACGAGTCCAGAGCTCCCAGAAATACCGCGTGAAGTCGTCTTGGGATATTGGGCTGCCATTTATGCGTACTCGTTCTCGCACCGTAACAAGGTGTGGTGAAGTATAAAGGCCGATTTTGCCCACGGGGATCCCCACCTTTGTGTTCCGTTGCTGGTATTGCAGCAACATATTCTCCACCATCACGCAGACGCTACCCTTCCCACTGCTGCCAGCAACATGTATGAATCGCAGTCCAGCCTTTGCGAGGTCTTCTGGTTTGTATCCCGCCCGCCGTAGCCATTCTAGCATCTCTGGAATTGCATTATGGTTTTTGTCTCCGGGCGACTGGGCGACCGATGATCGTATCGCGCGATTGGATTGTAGCGTGTTAAGTAGCCTAAGTGCATACTCGTAACTGATTGCTTGGGGCTTTCGTAGCTGCCCGAGAGATGTGGGAGAATGCGATGTTGCGAAAAGACGATAGCCTCGAGTTGCGGATGAGGTTGTAGATGCACAGGAAACGGCTGCTATTGGGAAGGTTGGGGTGATGATGGCACTGCGGACAACCGAAGGAAGAAGGTAAAAACTTCGCATTGACACTGCAATAATGGTCAATTCTGGCCGAGTGTGTTGACTTGTATTGGGTTGTACCGATTTTAATGTGTTCTCGATGTTGTCTAGAAGCTCGGTGCCGAGGGAGGCTCACCTTGGAGAGGTCTGGAAGCTCTGGCGTGCACCTAAGCCGCCGGTACAGTGGCAGGCCGAACATCATCCTTTCTGCTACTCTTATATTCTGCCCCTTATCCTTATGCGTATAGAACTACAAACTATAGATGGGAGGAGTGGCTTATGGAAGGACTAAAACGGACTATAGGGCAACATATTCTATAAACTGTACGTTAAGCTTGATAGCCAATCAGACTATCGGCGAGATCGCAGAAGCACACCAAGTACCATGTAAAGCAGTCAAGTATAATACACGTCTATTTTTCTACCTCATACACAAACAACAGCCTTTAAGGGCGGTGCCTATCTGGTTGCATGCACAAAGGAAATGCCCATCTATTCGACTCTCAAGCTCTCTAGCCTTGCCTCTGTAGCAATTACCTATATTTTGTTAATTTACTAGTTCAACATCACTCAAGGATTACTGGGGTTTGATGCTTACATCTAAAGCCTGCTGCACCTCCAAAACTTTCCTCACATCACCAAGCCAGTCTCTGCTTATTGTTTTCGCCCAGCCTTTGAGGCCATTCATCTCTCTGGCCGCCCCGTCCAGATATCCCTCTTCCAGGTATGTCTCCGCTCGCGTCAAGATGCTTTCTACATCATCACCAGTAGCTAGGCCCTTCTTCTTAAACAACACTTTGCTTAGGAGGTAGCTCGAAGCATGGCTGGCAACGCCTGCATCTTCAGGCAAAAGTGAGGCCTTCCTGACTTCTTGGGCAACGCGTCGGAAACGGTCGATGAGCTGAGCAGAAGAAGGAATACCACGTTGATAGGCGGTGGGGTTTATTGAGGCAATGGCCGCATTTACCACTGCGTCATCCGACGCGATTTCCTTCAATGCTGCAAGTTCTCGAGTAAACGGCCTGGGCATCTGGCTCTTCTCCAGATTTGCACGGACCGCCTCGACGGCAACGTGAAGGTGCTGGGTCTTAAGATTCGCATCGATCACCGAGTTCCAATCAGTGGCAAGCTTTTCAAGGTCGTTAACCGTCTTCGAGAGATCTGTGAGTTTGCCCAAGCGGCTATTCCGCTCCTCTTCGACGTGATCCTTTACCTCGGCAATAAATTTCTGCTTCATTTCTACCGCCTGTTCCAGCAACTCGTTACGGAGTCGTTGCTCGTTGACCTGATTAGCTCGGTCAATCTCAGCCTCTAGCTTCTCTTCGTATGCTTGCTGGATCTTTTGGCGCTCATTTTGATATTCCTCTTGCCATTGAGATTGCTGCTGCGCCATTTCAACCTCTACGCGTCGGATAAGTTCCCTAGCAGCACGGTCGAAGTCCTCCTTCTCACTCATGATTTTGGCTTCCGCATCCTTTTGTGCTTCAGCTTTCAATGCTTGAATTTTGACTCCGACTTTGCTGAGCTCATTCTTCGCCTTGCCAATAGTGCTGGAAAATTTCGCGTTGCTGCCGTCGGCATTTACAACAGCAATGATATCGTTCAGAATCTTGACCAAATCTTGAGCTAAAGGTTCATTGGCATCTTTAATATTGAGAGGGTCAATGCGGGTGACCTCCGGAGGGAATATCGAAGGCTGGTCAACTTCCGGTGGTGCGAAGGAAACCGGCTCTGGAGATTTGGGTGCTGGCGCCTCTTCCAACACTGGATGCCCTGGGTTGGGGGCTTGTTGGATCTCAACTGATTTTGCAGGCGAGTTGGGTTTGCCAGTTGAAGGCACAGGTGTTGTGTCCTTCACAGTCTCGGCGGCTTGGACTTGGTCCAGCGACTTTGCTTCCGGTGACTTCGAAGGTGTCTGTAGGGTCTCTGTAGGTTTGGGCCCACCCGGTTTTGTCGCATTCGCATGACGTGTGTCCTCAGCTACTCTCCACGATACCCCACTCTGGCTTGGAATTTTGACCCGATCGCCTGTATCGCGCGGACGGGTCGAGCGATTGCCAATAGATGGGAACCGTTTTCTGAACTCTCTCTCCTCAAAATATAGCACTGCATCTTCTCCGAAGGGGACATATTCCGTAAAGAAGTCATGGAAGTTGTCATTGATGCTAGAGTAATAGATCCCCCCTCCGAACCCCAAGGTAGTTAGCAGAAGAAGTGTGGTTATGAATCGGCGGATTCTGCGCTTTTTCGGCTTTGGAGAGGGCGGGGGAGGCGAGCTACTCGATGTTGGTGGAGGTGTCGGGGGCACACTTCCAGGTGAGATCGGAGAAGTCGAGCTTGGTGTAGCTGGTGTTGGACCAGATGTTGAGGGAGGAGGTCGTTGCGGACTAGTTTGGATCGCGGAGCCACGGGGAACAGCAGGTTTCAGGTCACTGGCATTGGCCTTGGTATTGTTGGCATATCCTCTCTAGAATTGCACGGAGAAAGTTAGTCCATGTTCCCTAGCCGCCCGAGGTTGGGTTCAAAGGCTCATTCATACCAGGTTGGCAGAACCCCCCAAGATCTCTTGTGTCGTGTGCCATTGATGCCCGGGGCTGGCAGCACTGGGCTTGTAAGCCAGCGCCCGGCATGAGCGAAGAGAGGCGCGCAGCATGGCGGGCTGCGTTGGGCGACAAAGTGAGTTGTGGAGGGAGGATGTTGAGATGAAGTTGGCGGGCGCGGGCGCGGATGAGGTTGGCAGAAAAGTCTCGTTTCGGTTCCGGCCAGCACCCGCATCTCCAGCTTCTCGGCTGGTGGTGCTTGGCTGGGAGCGAGGATGGGAGCTACAACCTTATCAGCTCACCCACTACGGTGCTCGTTCTACGTAGGTATTCAAGCTTAAGTCCAGGCTAACCGTCAACCCTCGCCTCAGATTATAGCCATTGTACATGTAATGTAAGTTAAAGCTATTGTGCAGCTTCGAGATAGTTCCTGAAACCAGACGTACAGAATTAATATGTAATATATTCGCGATGCGATAGGAAACGAAGGGGGTTATCTCTCCAGTATCGACATGACAGACCGGATACCTTTCAGCAAGCGTTGTTGTGGTTGATTGTGGTCTATTGCATATCGTACAGGCCAAAATGCTACGCAACAGAACATGATAAAACCATTCAATTCATTTCAATGAAAACCGTCACGCCCCGCAGGAGAAAAGCCCTGCAACCGCAACCGCAACCGCAAGCCCAGGCCAGACCAGACCGCGAGAGTTAACAACATCAAGTCAAGGTATTAAAAACTGCCCTCGTAATAATGTCGGGTTCAGCGTATGCATCCACACTCCTGTAATCCTTAAACCTAAGTAGGGTTCGTTCTGATCGAAGAGGTCGATGTTCGTGCCATGTGGCAGTTGGACATAGCTGATTCCAAACGATGGAAGATATCTATCACCACCCAAACCATGCCCCGAATTCCGCAAATATTATCAGCATGATCATGTCGTATCAACAGCTACATGCGCCAGCTCCTTGTGTGCCAGGTCCCTCAGGCCGCAGCTCCACACCCCCTCTTCCGCCAGATCTTGGATTTCTCGGCCCCGCCTGGTCTAATGGCAGTTTCTTTGCGATCGAGGTAAAAAGTTCTCTGACATTTTCCGCAGTCTTTGCCGATGTCTCGAAGAAGAGCAAGCCGGCTTCCTTTGCATATGCTTCGGCATCGGCAGTTTGGATCGCACGCTTATCAGGATGCTCGGTCACCAAATCGAGCTTGTTTCCCGCCAAGGCAATAATTATATTCTCATTAGCCTGTCGTTGAAGCTCCTTCACCCATTGCTTTGCTTTATCGAGGGAGGACTAGCCACACACATATCAGCCACGCTTTCGAGGTTGCTATAATCAAAGAATTAAGTGCTGCCTACAGCCTGTGTAATATCATAAACAACGACGGCACAATTGGCATTCCGATAGTACATTGGTGCGAGTGACTTGTATCGTTCTTGGCCCGCGGTATCCCATATCTCGAACTTGACGGTTGTATTTTCATCGAGCGATATTGTCTGTGTTAAGAAGGCCGCACCGATGGTGCTCTCCCGGTACGAGTCAAATTGATCCTGCGGTAGGTGAGACAGGGTTAGCATTGCAGATATCAGCATCGGAGCGTATATTATCGATCCTACCTTGACGAAGCGCAAGACGATGGAACTCTACCTAGATGTTAGCATGGGAGTTCCCATCTGAACTGAGACAAATCAGGCGTACCTTGCCCACGGCAGATTCTCCTAGAAATAAATGTTAACTAGTGAACTGGGGCGATGGAGGGTGGCTAACTAGATTCCACATACCGAGTAGTACTAGCTTGAACTGTGCAAATCGAGAGTTTCCCACACGGGAGCCTGCTGGGCCTCTGGCAGCCATACTGATACTGGGTCGAGCACCAAGATATCCAGCCGAGGGAAAGGTACGCGTGGAGCTCGAAGTCGGCTTGGGGCGTGAAAGGGACGAGTGCAGCTGGGAACCAGACGATGTAGCCGAGTTCGAGATGGCGGTCGTCAAGGTGGTGTGGACGTATTTGTGGCGTTATATATTGAATGCTGTGTCTTGTATGCTGTACGTGTATGTTACGGAGGATGTTGGCTCTGGTTCTATGGCGAGCGTGTGAAGTGTGAAGCTCCAGGTTGCAGTGACGACGAGAGACGGAACGGGGGACAAATGCCGCTAGAGGCATTCACGTGGTCTGGGCATTCCGAGAGTCAGCCACACTTAGAACACCCAGCCACAGCTCTCTGTGACGCCACACTGCCTGTTCGTTGAGAGTGACACCCTGGCAGAGAGCGTTCGAGATAGCTTCATCTCCAGCTCAAACTCGCCCCTCCCTTTCCTATCACTGTATGGGATCTTAGGAGCTCCATTCTTCTCGCTCTCCTCTCTCTCCCCCCCCTCTCTTTCTCTGCCCATCATGACCGCACGCTCTCTCCCGTTCCGCGACATCAACGTCCATGCTTCAATAACACATTATGCCTTCACCTCCCCTTCCTCCCCCTCGGCCTCGACATTGGTGGTGGACCGCCCTTCCGGAGACCTGCGCTTAAGTGATGGGGCATTGTTGGGCGGGAAGCGTGTCTCCAGCATTGCTGGAATCCTGGGCATGATCAAACTGAGGCTGGGTACAGTACTTCCTACTTTACAGGCTATGCCTGGGTGCAGAGATGGGGAATGCTGACCGTCGCGCTCTAGACAAATACATCATTGTTATCACAAAGGCCCAGCCCATGGGCAGATTAAAGGGCCATATGATTTACAAGGTCATTGCTACCGAATTCCTTCCTCTCCGCGAACGGCCGCTCCACGACCCCGACGAAGACACGTATCTTGCCTTGCTCAAAACTTTCATCAAGTCAGGACCCATGTACTTTTCCTATTCATTCGACATTACCAACACCTTTCAACGCCAATCCCAACTTGATCCTTCCCAACCTTTATGGAAACGTGCCGATGACCGCTTCTTTTGGAATAGATTCATACAATCCGACCTCATCAACTTCCGAACATCAGGGACCCGGCACCAGCATGGCCAGCAGCCAGGTGTGGATCCGTACATCTTACCCGTCATGTTCGGCATGCTCGAAATTATACCTACTAGTATAAAGGGTACCCCTATTACCATATCCCTCATCACACGACGGTCACGGCATCGAGCAGGGACCAGATATTTCTCGAGAGGGATTGATGAGCAGGGACATGTTTCGAATTTCAACGAGACGGAGCAAATCATTGTGCTAAATGACAACACCAGTGGGTTAGGAGGTTTTGCGGGCGGCGGCGGGATGCAAAATGGCAAGGTTGGCGGAACCGGTGGAAAAGAGACCCAGATCAGTTCATATGTGCAAACTAGAGGAAGTATTCCCGTTCTTTGGGCAGAGGTTAACACGCTGCACTACACACCTAAACTTCAGATACGTGGGGTGGAGTCCGCAGCTTCAGCCGCTAGAGCACACTTTGACGAACAGATTCGACTCTACGGCGACAACTTCTTGGTCAATCTTGTGAATCAGAAGGGTCGAGAGCAGAGGGCAAAGGAGGCATACGAGCAGATGGTGAAATTACTCGTCACGTCGCCCAGAGAAACGAGTCAACAAGATAATATCACCGATGAAAAGTTCCGCATAATCGAACCTGGGGGGCGGCAGGAGATGGATCGATTGCATTATATCTATTTCGATTTCCATAATGAGACTAAGGGGCTAAAATGGCATCGGACACAACTATTGCTCGATCAACTCAACGACGCTCTAGAGCGACAGCAATACTTCCGTGGTGTTGATATGCCTGCCTCCTTCGAAGGACAACTCGAGGTCCGTAATCACCAAACAAGCGTCGTCCGTACAAACTGCATGGATTGCCTGGACCGGACCAATGTTGTGCAAAGCATGCTGGCACGGTGGGTACTAAACCGTCAACTCACCGACCTAGGAATTCTCGCCCATGGCGAGACCTTCGGGTCGGACGCTGGATTTGAACTTCTATTTCGCAAACTGTGGGCAGACAATGCGGATGTCGTCTCAAAGTCTTACTCTGGAACAGGGGCCTTGAAGACTGATTTTACGCGCACGGGTTTGCGCACGAAAGCAGGTGCGATGCAAGACTTGCGAAATTCCATCACGCGATACGTAAAGAACAACTTCTTGGATGGTCCACGACAGGATTCTTTCGATCTTTTCCTCGGTACCTACCTGCCTAGCACTTCACCACACATGGTTTTTGCAGATAGGCGACCACTACTCATTCAGAGCATTCCTTACATTCTGAGTTTCAGCTTCTTCTTTGTCCTTGTCGGCATCTTTACTCGACGCTTGCCCGACGGTGCGGTATTACCATTGAGAATGTTTATTTTGTTTTGGTTCGTCGTTGGGTGTTGGTGTCTTAGCTTCATTTATAGCAACGGAATGCTTTATGTAAGAATTATTTCGCCGGCTTCGCATTTTCTATTTGATGCTAATAGCGATCAGGTTAATTGGCCTAAATTGAACCCCCGGCCTTGGGCAACAGAAGGCTACCACGAGACCATCAAGAACGTGCAGAAAGATAAAGTAATTGGACCCTTAGTCGCAAGACACGAACGAGGCCTCAGTACTGCTCGGTACACAAATGCGGAGGAGGGTAAGAAGAGGATCGAATGACCGAAGTCCACTATCCCCTGTTGGTGGTGGAATCTGCTTGTTGGGGAGCACAAGAGGGTAAACCGGATCTATCTCCCCCCCCTCACACTTAAGCAGGTTAGATGGCTGTCTTGATCAATTGTAACACTACATTATATGTTTCCATTCCTTGTCAGCTGGCACTTTCCCCTTTTCCGATACTAATAGGCATCGGCTTTTATTATTTATTTGAAGATCTAGAGCAAAACCACTTGAATCATTGATTCCAATAACTTATTTATATTGGGTATCAGAACTTTACTATTATCGGAAACCCTCTCCCATCGGTTGTCTCGACCTAGAAGCATGGCGGTAACCCATCGCATTTATTTGCAAGCGGCACGCCTAACAAGCTGAATTCATATTTTTGGCGCATTGCATCGTTCATTGGCTTCTGTCTCATTCTTCATGAGGATTCAGGCTGCAGTACGGCAGAGCACTCTTAGAGCTTCCGGATCTATCTTCCACACCAGAGCTAGCAGGTGTCGCAACTGCGGTCCATGGCCTAGGAATGGTCGTGTTGTTTTGCTGCTGGCATCGTATGGTTTCGGCATATTCAAGGGTTGAAGCTCAATTGCCTGCATCAGTTGCCTAGGCCCTGTTACCGTGGAATTTATATTGTCCACGTGTTGCAGTTGCCTCTTCCCTTCTGAAGTCATTTCCAGCGTGGGGCTTTTGCGCCAAAGGTAGCGCATGCTAGCAATAATAATACGCCCGGTACTTGTATGCCGTGCAGAATACTTTGTACCTGTCAGGAAGACGCATCTTGCGTTTCAGCAGTTCAGTAGTTCTAAATCCGACTCCAACCACAGGCGCACCTAGGGGATCTGCGTTAAGTTCACCAGTCGATTGCGCAAGGTGGGGCTTAGATCACCACATCGTCTTCCCCGCGATACTAGACCTTCCGCTTTATCCGTTCATTATCTTGGCTTTTTGGGCATGGGCACCGGACAGGAAACTAACGTTGATTATAAAGATTGATTATGCACCAGTTGATATCACCAGCTCGTCAATTGCGTCTTCAATGTTATCAAGATCGCAGATATAACGACATTTTACAATAGCTCTTAGTATTGACGGCCGTCGCTCCTATAAACTCAACCCAACCCAACTCATTCCCTACTTCAAGATGATATCAAGTTCTCTATCTCTAAGAACGATAACCCAAATATTGCATCCCCATCCCCAACAACACCCACCAGCAACAATACCCAAGTCCATCCCCCACATAAACGACAGGGACCAACAATGGCACCGTCAGCTACCGGATCCGAAACCGTCACTCCAGTCCCAGTTACCCCAGGGAAACTCGGGCAAGCCAAGCCCTGGCTGAAGAGCACCGGCATCCTTGACCAATATGAAAGCTTCGAGGTGACGCCAGTTATAGGGCGAGAATATCCCCGTGCGAACTTAGTGTCATGGTTGAATGCCGATAATTCAGACGAGTTGCTCCGTGAACTTGCACTCACCAGTACATGATACCACTGCCGAGTTGGTTTAAACTTGCTGACTGGTCGATGTAGTTTCTCAACGTGGAGTCGTCTTCTTCCGTGCACAAGATGATTTGACCGCCGATCTCCAAAAGGAACTGGTCCAGAAGCTTGGTCTTCTCTCTGGCAAGCCGGCAACATCGGGCTTGCACATCCATCCAGTTCTCAATTCCGAGCGCGAGAACTATCGCGTGTCTGATCCAGAAATTAGCACCATTGATTCGGAGCTCAACAAGAAACTCTACCTCAACAACTCAAGAATCGCCCAAAAGAAACAGAATTCGGGTCAATGGCACTCCGATATTGCCTTCGAACCGAAGCCAGCTGACTACTCGTCCCTGAGGCTAGTAAATCTTCCAACGACAGGCGGCGACACGCTGTGGGCTTCCGGCTACGAAATCTACGACCGCCTTTCCCCTCCATATCGGAAATTCCTAGAAGGACTCACGGGGACATTTGAGCAACCTGGCTTTATTGAAACAGCCGCTCGAAACGGCTTCCAGATATATGATAAGCCTCGTGGCGCACCTGAGAATATCGGAAAAGAGCTGAAAGCAGTCCACCCGGTCGTCCGCACTAATCCTGTCACGGGGTGGAAATCCGTGTTCCCCATCGGTGGCCACATTTCCCACATCAATGATGTGACTGAGCTGGAGAGCAAAGCGCTGTTGGACTGGTTTGTGAGGCTGCTAGTCGACAACCATGACTTGCAGGTCCGATTCAAGTGGCAGAATCCGAATGACATTGCTATTTGGGATAATCGCTCCACTTTCCACTCCGCTACTTACGATATTGAGGGCTATGGCGAGAGATATGGAGTGCGGACTGTGAGTGTTGGAGAGCAGCCGTTCTTTGATCCCGAAAGTAAGAGTAGGAGCGAAGATTTGGCCGCAAATGCTACTGTGGCTGCTGCCAATTAGACCAGTCGTAGGTCTTGTTCTCTTAGACATCTTGTATGTCCGTGACTAGCTTGACTTTGGCCTTTGTTAATTGGTTCTGAGTTGTCAATGATGAACATGCTAGAATCTGAATATGATTAGTAATTACTATGCTCGTCCCTACATAATTTTCTCTTTGATGTGAATTCGGAATTAGTGTAGTTAGAAGTGGCAAGCCAAAGCATGCAGTGTAGGCTGCTTGCTTTAAAGCTTCCCTATTGGTTACTCGGAATTGCTTAGTGATTTCCGTTTAAGCAGTATCGTTACCCAGATGTGTGGGTATGATAACAGCCAAGGAGGATTGCGATGTGCCTGTGCCTGGAACCAACTGGCAGTATAAAAGAGTTTTAAAAAATACATGCATCTTCTAACCTCAGCTCCCGTATTTCCCGCACTGTCCGTTGCATTTCCCAAGTGTCGAGCTTGATTTCTAAAATGGTGAAATGCTTATAATTTTGTTATCGGCCTCCCCAATACATCTTTCACACTAATACATAGAACGTCTACAAGTGTCCTAGTTGACGCCCCAGTGACTAGCAGTGCAGCTTCGGAAGCACCTGACTGGATTTTTGACTACTATCTATTATAACAAGTTTACCCCACGTATACATCACCTTCGGACACAGAAATCAATTCTTTGGCATCCCTGTACTCCAATAACGGTCCCCCCGGCTCAAGGCTGTGGCCACGTCCCGGACGATTGCTCTTATCGAGTGGCGGATTGTCGAGCCCTTTTTCGATGACTCTAGGGTGTCATTTTCCTACTCAGAATGAGATCGTCAACCCGCTACCTTCTCCAACTACGGCCTTTCATCGAGAAGGACATCTGCTGCAAGTAGTAGAGATTGGATAGAGCAACAAGTTTAACTCGACCGTACTCTATATAGCTAGGAAGACATAAATCGCCAGCTACACAGGAAATTCAAATTGAAAGTGTGCCGGATCTAAATATTCTCGTCAATGGCGATGCGGTTTATAAAGAGTGTAGTTCCTGATGGCATCCAACACGGCCGAGCTAAGGAAGCAGTGGTGCAATGCGATCGATGAAGCGCCAAAGATTCTAGTGCCAAGCCGCAAGCAGGGCTGAGATTGATCTGGACCGGATAACCTGGAGAAGACAAAGAAGTATATTAAAGTTTGGGATAGGGCACTAGAGGGATACAAGAATGCTGCTGATCTCGTTGGGAGGATGACGAAAGCCTATCCACAATGTATTGGAGAGTTCATATTGGACTGTAATGCCAATGGCTCTTTCACGACCTAATCGCTTCCTCTCATGCTCTGTGGAGAAGAATTTAGACCCAGATCTGTGGCACGAGTGTATTGTTAACTTAGAAGGGTAGGCCCTTCCTCGACAAACACAAATTGTATATATGATAGATACGCGGTTTTGAAGCAAATTCAAAACGTAACAAATACGACCTGCTACACCCAGTTTACATTATAAGCCGGGAACTCCTCGTATCATGATGCCACTAGGACCAGGATTTCGGTCCAAAAGTTCCGTTGGCAAGCGCTGTCTGGGGGGTCCCGCTCCAGTCGACATTGTTTTGGAATCCACCGCCAAAACCACCCCACCACCGAGGAGGCTGTACCTTATCCGGAAGTTGTAGGACAAAGAATATGAACAGAATGCAGATGATTGTGCCACTGTCCAGAGCCGCCGACGTGATATAGTTGTACTCGGTCCACCAGCCTGGGTGTCGCCCCTTGATGAGCTTATTGAATACCGTGCCAACAAATCCCCAGGTAGCATAGATCATGACTGTTGCAGGTGGGATATAACCTGTTCCACCAAAAATGATCGGGGTAGAGACGTATCTCAACGGGCTTCGGGGCCATCTCCGGGCAGCGAGCCAGACTACGACGGGACAGACTGCACCGAGGAGGAAGAACCAGAGCATAGCATTATATATTCCGCCAGGGCCTGGTTCATGTTAGAGACAATAGCCAGGCAGGGTACTTTACAACAACGACAAGAAAACCTAACTTACCAAATATCCTATCTGGACCAATAACACCCCAGATTATAGAGGCCGTGAAGAAAACATGCGCATTGGGGCAGCTGTAGTGATTTGGTTGATCCGGGGTACAGACACCGTCGATCGAGCCTAGGGCCCAGTTTAAGACGGCGATCTGGACGAAGCATGACCAGAGTGTGGCCACAAACTGAGCCCAGAATGTCACCCGCTGGGGAACTTTCATGTAATGGGCTAGTTTGATATCTTGAGTAAAGTAGAGGCCTTGGTAGCAGGTGATGTAGCCGTACATCTTGAACATCTGAATGACGCCAAGTTAGCCGGAGATTAATATTTGGAGGGAATTTATCTTCTTAGAGTTCATCATACCATCATCGCCAATGGGCGTCCGGGTTGCATGTATCCTATAATGAATTCGGTAATAACGTTTAGACCAAGTTGGACGTTTGTTGTTGCTTGAATAATGCCAATGGGGAGATAGAAGAAGAAAGAAATCAGCAATGCGACGATAAATGCCCACCATGTCATATGTGTATCCCAGGCCAGACAAGTGGTAAATCCCAAAGCAAGGATTACTACAAACGTAACTGCATACCTAGCATTTAAAGTCAGCAAGATACTATACCAATTGAACTGTGAACGAAACAGAGTTTAGAACATTGCGTAATGCCTATGGATTTCACGTACCACCACCAAGGCGCATCGGGATATTTCATCATTAACCGCTGATGGATATCTACACCCTCGGTACGACTTGATCGAAGCTTTTTCCAGATATCTTGGCCATGGTAGAGATATGTATGGATAATGACAGCGATAATGGAGGCAAACGATAAGCCATAGGCGAGAGCGAAGGTTGTGGATAGAAACAGCGGGGAGTATGCAGCGTACAGTTCTTTGTCGAGAGTAAACTCGGGAGTTAAGATTTTCGAGACATTGTACGCCGCCCCGGTATTATCAAAACTTCCACCGGTTGACATAGGAAGATATTCCGAATACAGTGCGCCAGTGTAGTGGATTCCGAGGGAGGTAATAACCGTAAAGATCACCAGCCCAATCAGAGTGTTGGCAATAGCGTGGAAGGGATAAACCAGTGGGCTTAATACAAATGCGGTGATAACACTCCAGTCAAATGAGATCGGAATAAGACTTAGGCCTGTTTGCCCACCAAAGATTTGGTTCACGACAATATTATTTGGGGCAGCCCAGCATACGAACGTAAACGTAGCGAGGAAAGGGGCGATCCAGAGCGGGAACCATTCCCAGACAAATATCGTAGCCATCACAATGAGGAACCATTTATAGCGTCCTATCTTCCATCCACTGAGTTGAAGAGCATCTGGTGTTTTTCGGGTGTGGATAGTCTCGAACATGGTGGTTGTGATGAGATTAGAGGGCCAGATCATTGCGGCGGGTTCCACTAGCCATTTTCGTGTGAGTCCTGCAAGCCCGAGTCCAAGCATCTGGCAGGTGATTGTGAGAAGTAACTGGTATCCCCAACCAAACCTCTGGCCATAGTAGACTTGTTGGGCGAGAAGAACATCGGTAGAGTAGGCGAAGGTACCCCCGAAGGAGGCGTTCGCCATAATGACAATAATGGTATGCTCCTTCATATTGAACGGACCAGTATTCAGGGACCATGTTGTCCCAAAAGTCCTAAACGTGCGCTTCGGCATGACTATTCCGACATTAGTTGTGGGAATTTGCAAATTTTGCCCGATCGGATTAACATACCATATGCCCAAGCTACACCAAACGGATAGGAGAGCAGCAACGTCACCACAGGGGTGAGGGCGATGGAAGGATTGCGAAGTGAAAATAGCATGTTCACGGCACTCCCAATCGTTGTCCAGAGTAGCCCAATAACCCATGCCCGGATCGTGTTTGCTGGAACTTCCTCGTCATAATTTCTTACGGCGGCGCGAACCTCAGGGTACGGTGAATTTTCTTCGAGGAGCGTTGTCTCAACGGCCACCTTCTTCTCTAAATCGCCGACCTTGAGAGCTTCTGAAACAGCTTCAATTTCCTCCTGAGGTAGGTTTGGGTCCCATTTGTGCGCAACTTGAAAGGCCTCGAGCTCTGCCTGAACAAACATGGAGCTATAGTCGGGTTGTAAGTTTACCATACATAGGAAATGGATGCGATTCTTACGCGTCAACGCTGGATGCAACTCCGGAATCTGAATTCTCCGTGTCATGAGTACCCGCCGTACCTCTTTTCAACAAGCCGAGAACCATTGTGGCAACAATTGAATCACTCAATTCGGGGCGGGAGAATGAGGCAGGCAGACTTTGTTGTTGTACACCACTGGTTGCTGCGCAAGAGGGGAAGACCTGACATGATGCTGAATCCCGACACCAACTTTATATGAGAAGTAGGGTCAGAAATAACCCCCCACGACGCGCCAAAAGGGTAGGTGACCCTGATCAATATACTTGGTTGGTGGCTGTTCATCACGACCCTACCAAATAGGAATGCCGTTTAGTCGATGACATTATCCCACGATCAATTTGTTCTCCGTCGCGACAAGTGGACTCCCGGGCAAGGGTTGAGTCGTTGGTTTTATATTGTGCCTGCCGGTTTGAGGCCGCGACCGTCTGAACCCTAACTCTCTGGACAGAGCTGGTAAGTCAATTGGCTGGCACGGTTATCCGGTTATATTGCTGTCCTGGATATTGATGTATGCACCCCGATAACCGCAGGTTGTGGCATCAACACATGCCGTTTTGTAATGTGACACCTTCCTGATGAGATACTCCTACCTAGTCCTACTTGTCTTTCCGCGGTTATAGCAACTACCTGCGCTGTATCGATATGGAATTCCAGCAGTACCCCGTCATATTCCCGCCATCCTGTCGCGTGACCGAGTAGCTAGAGACGAAGACGACGACGAGAACGAGATGGAGAAGGGGTTGTTTCTGTGCCTCTCGTCTCGGCGTTATAGAGTATATCGCATCCGCACTGGGATGGGTCATATCAAGCTTTCTTAGCGTGCTTGGGCAAGCCAGACTCGCAGCGTTGCCTCCTGTAAGTCATGTAGTACAAGTCTGGTACGGATCCATGATAAGCTCGCTGGTTCTGCCACTCATATAACGGATGCCCTTCGTGCATCCCAGCTTTAGCCTCCCCGCCTTCGTCTCTTTCCGTAGAGCGCAGCAGCGTTCAATCTTAGATTGCAGTGAGCTTTTGCCCAACGTCCTCTTCGTGGCTTGCATATGGACTAACCCTAAAGATCCATGGTATAGATTCGGCAGGCGAATGTTCTAACGTTAATATATTTATACGTAATCATAATCAATTTCGGATTTAGATTGAGAGGAAGGATATTAAGGGCTAAGTTTGGATTGGTATATTGACCTGAAATCTAATCAGAGAACAGCATAAGCACTGGCATAGCTGACTGATGACCCGCCAATATCAACCACATCATCGCTCCTCGAGTACTGAATGAATTTGAAGTCTCCGTGGCCGAATGGTACCTTTCCCGCCTTCTTCAACTCCTCAATTGCAGCCATGACAACACCAATGGGATGTCTTCCACAAACCGTGTTATCGGTCTTTTTTAGGTTGTCAAGAAACTCATCGTGTGTCCCACCTTCAATTGCATCCATCGATGATCGATCAAGTTTGTCAATACTTTTGTGAATTGGCGGGTCGGTCGGATTGGAATCTCGGCGTTTTCTGAGGCTGTAACCGCCCCCGTTCCTCAGTACTTCGGACGTCGGGTTGTTGGGGATATAATATGTATATTGGAACCTCTCCCCCCAGTGGCAAAAGTCGGATGAAACGACGAAAATCGATGTCGGATCTGCTAGATAGGGAGCAAAGAGCTTTCCATAAGCCTTTTCCCGATCGGCAGAGGTATTGCCGACCATAACGGGGATAATAGTAGGATATTGGGCGGGGTCGTTGAAGTGGAGAGAGACCATCTTGTAAATATATGGGCATTGCTGCTCAAGACTGTGTTCCTGCTCATCGGTATGTCGAGGTATGGTATCAAATTTACCAGTCGCCTGCAGCTCGTTCACCGTCTCCGTATCAACGACTAGGTCTCCTAGAGGTGTGGCGTACTTGGCATGACCCGTAAGCGCGCATCCGGGCAGATGAAGCGTATGCGACGGACCGAGGAGGAAGATGCGTTTGGCCTTGGTCAGATCGAGAGCTTTGTATGCCCAGGCAGCAGTGTCGGCGCAGTACGTGTATCCTGCGTGGCTTGGAGCCGTTAGCAGTATAAATGGGGCTGAGGCAACAGTAAAAAACCATACTCACGGAGAAATGATGATTCTCGCGCCCGGTATTGGCATAGGCTGTGAGTCCACGGTCAAAGGGACCTGCGCAAGATACTGATCAAGCTCGGCCGATAGCCTGCCAATATCGCCGGAGTACCAAGAGCCCGCATGAGACGCGGGTCTAGTTGTCATGATGATGTTGGCCAGCAATCGGCAGGCAAAATGAAGGAAGAACTTATGGTCCTGTCGGTAAGTGTATTCGATATGTAGAGGGGACGAGGATGGTTGCGACTGTTATAGCTTGGTTGGCTATCCTAGTTGTAATGACTGGGGCGGCGGGCAAATGGGAAGCGAGAGAGTGTGTTGCAGGGAGTTTAATGCGGAATTGAAATTGGAACTGGAACGGCGTCTATGTATTTTATATCTGAGCGCGGAATGTTGGACAATGTTGATGGTGAACAGCGGTGGTGACCAAGCATGTTGTGAATAATGACAGAGGGGTGCGAGGCTGTCTGGGTAAGGCTATGCGGCTACTCGAGTAAGGCTCCAAGGCACCAAGGGATCGAGACAGGAAACTTACTAATAATTCATCATTCCACAGCGCTGGTTCCAACGGCTCGGGCTCGGCTTGGCTCCAGTGGAGAGCCCTCGACCGTTTGATTGACCGCCAATAGATGGATTTCCATGGCTTCGAATGGCCCCCCAAACTCCAAATGCAGGGTACGTTTCAATATTCAGCCGATAGCAAAGCTTTGTAACTTGCAGACCATTTTATTCCTGATTAAACTTACAAACATACAAACATACACGCTAATAGCAACAGCTTTATCCGCAACTGTAGAACTCTATTGTTCTACAAGTCCCAAAATCTATCGTCGGGGTAGCATCGCCTCAAGCCATATCCTGTGGCGATGCTCTAGATGCAGATCTAGAAACAGACTTCGCTCCTTTATATCCATATTCAACCGTTACTGTCTCTGTGCACACAATATCGTTGCCACGTTCTAGGATGAACTCCTCGCTGGTATTGTCATTGCCTCCAACGGCCGTTGTGACCATCGAGTTACCTTCCTTCGGCCGCAATTTGATCGGCGCTGAGTCTTTGAGTTCGTATCCCGGACCGCTCTCATCGTATTCTCCCCTTGAAGATACTCCGCGAAGTTTGTTGTATAGAGGTCGCAGTGTTGGGATAGTAGCGGTCAGAATTGTGAGCATGAGCTCTGTAGACGACCAAAGAATCAAGCCGACAGTATCATCTAGCAGGCTACAGTTAGCAACCTGCCTGGCCTACGCCTCCATAACACGGGAAAATTAGACTTGATTACTCACACGAGTAGTCACTTCTCGCATTAAGTGCTGTAAGTGAGATGGCTCTGAATATACCGCAGATCATGGCCCTAGAAGCGCCATCAGCTTGTTTTGTTATCATAGTTTGGACATTAATGTGCACTTACAGGAATCCAAGACTCATAGAAGAGGCGATAAGTATCTTTTCTCTTCGCTTCATCTGCAAATTCCAAAGAATAGCCCAGGGCAAAGTTGCTAGAATGAAGTCTGCAATGGTCGATGCAACTGGAAGTTGTTAGTATTGAGCATGTAATTTCTGACCCTGTGGAGGATAGGTACTTACCCCCAACCGTGATTGAAAGGGATGCAAAATCTTCATCCGAAATAAAGCATTTGGCGGGGAGGGGCGGATTCCATACGTGCGCAACAGGATCGCATCTCACGAAGTCGAATAGGGCGCAGAAGAAGCAGATGACACTCACAGCTAGCATCACGAAGTAGAGGATCCATCTGTGCCATTTTACAATGGTAATTCGAAGCAAGAAGATTGCCACGGAAGCTTTACTAGCCGCGATGCCGATGATACAGAATCTGCAACGCCATTAAATTAGCAATAGTCTTCCAAGAATTTCCCATTGCACGTTCGAATGGCCGATGGCTCGGTAAGCACCAGGGAAGAACGAACTCACGTTTGGCCGATGATTTCTGCTCTCGTAGCTGCAACGAACTGCTCTGAAGTGAGGGTCGCTCCGTGCCGACCAAAACCTTCCAATGCAGCAGCAGTGCAAGCCGCAGTGTATGGCATGAGAAGCAACTGGTGAAGTCAGCCAACGATAAAGTAATCGGGTGCCAAATATTGCTTACCCAACTAAAGGAAATAAGATAGTCATCCCATCCAGCAACTCGATTAATTCGGATTCGGGTCCATAATCTCATCAAGACAAAGATGAGAGCCAAAGCTGTCTCGGTCCACATTACTGCGATGACCGTGGGGCCAAGGCCGCCGAGTTTGTTCGCCATGGCTGGAAAGAAAGGATGAATTGAAAATTGACAAAAATCACCATGACGATAACTATCCTGTCTAAATAGTATCGGGGGAGATAGCAAGGTGTGAGAAAAGGAGGTGGTTTCGAAAAAGCATCACTTCTCTCGCCCATTGCTTTTTCATTTTGCACCGTCGATTGATGCCATTTCAAGTCTCAAGTGTCAGGGTAAGGATCTACATGTGTAAGGATGTTGATGGAACGCAAGACGGTAGAGCGATTAGCTCCAACGGTCAACCAATCCTTAGTGCCGGTAGGAAGCCGTTCCCCGAGCCGGAGTTGACCGCCACATTAAAAGAAAAACCCTAATGCTTTTTTAAAACAGCAAATAAATACGCAGGATGCCCCACCAAACAAGCAAAATATCTATGATGCCCGTCAGCTCCTGGCCAGATTAAGTGAGACAAATACATACTCTACGTAGCAGTACCGGGATATCACTCCGTAGCCACGGTGTCATCCAAGATTCCGTTCGCCCCCACCCTACCAAACTTCTTATATGCACAGCTTCCAGACCCTATAAGCCGATTATGTATAATTCCTCCGGCTCTTATTCTACCTTCTAATAACTCAATATATGCCTCGATAGTAGCTTGTATATAGGCTTTAGCGTAGTGAGCCGTGCGCCAAATGCATTAGACAGTGTCAGTGCACTACATGAGCTGCGATGTTGGGTGGCGGGTGGCGCATATCACTTATCGCGCATCCCCTGGCCAATGAGTATATCAGGTGGGAGTTAAAGGGGGTATTCTAGTTATTCGGCGTGGCATCTTGCGTATTTACCGTTGCCAAATTCAGCTGAGGTCTCCATGGAGCCCACTTGGATCGTCCAGGCTCTAGCGAGGGTGTTGCCTTGTTCCTTGATTTTGGGTTGATGGAACCAATTGAGAGCCATCAGTTTGTCTTGGGAAGCCATAATTTCTGCAGCGGCCGTTCCATCTCCTACTCCACATGCAGCCACAGCCCCGGGGAGCAGGGATGTGGATACCCTGGAACGGCCCGGCCAACCCCACACGTCGGATAGACCAATAATCAACAGCATGACTCGCAACTATCCTCATCGGTTGGGAGGTTGTCGACCATCCCCTTAAATGACCGGAGGTCAAAATGCCCTGTCTGGAGCCTGTTTAATCTGTTGCCATGTGTTCTTCTCCCAGTCTCCCTTCCATCCATCTTCGAGTTTCACACAGTCGATCCGTTACTCGTATCGGCGTGCAGTCAACATGGAAATAATAGGAGCAGTGGCACAGTTGTTCTTTTTCTTCGGTGCATTGGCTCTGGCCAATACACTATGGGCATACTACCAGTCGCCAATCAAGAAGATTCCAGGCCCGTTCCTTGCAAAATTCACAAATCTATGGCGTTTTTTCGACAACTGGGGAGGCAGACCAGAACTGACCCATCAATTACTCCACGCAAAGTATGGGTCAGCTGTACGACTTGGCCCTGACCTGGTCAGTCTCAGTGACCCCGCGCTTATGCGCAAAATATATGATAGCAGAGGACAGTTTCGAAAGGTAAGTAATCGGCGGGCTTTTATGTTAACGGAAGCTGACGAAACCTATGCAGACCGAGTTCTACTCTGTGAACGACGCCAAAGTCGGTAGCACGATAATCTCCAATGTCTTCAGCACCCGCAGCAATGCGGATCATACCCAAAAACGCAGTCTCCTCACACAATTTTATAAAATGTCGCATCTCCTCAAATCCGAATCCCTGGTCGACGATACTATTGACTCATTCTGTAAACACCTTGACCGTTTTGCTGATGAAGGCACGGTTTGCAAGATGGACGAATGGCTGCTCTTCTTTGCATGGGACGTTATCAGCCAGTTGACATTCAGTAGGCCCATGGGCTTTATGGATGAAGGCAAAGACTACTCCGGCCTACTTGGTACCGCAGACAAGGCTCTCGATTACTTTTCCGTCATTGGCCAGATTCCAGCGCTGGACAAGTGGCTTGCCAAAAATCCGATTATGCCCATTGGGCCACCTAGCTTTGATGCCGCGGCTGGTTTCTGCGCCCAGCAGTCCATTTCCCGTCAACAAGCTGGCGAGAAGACTGAAGGAAAGAGAGACATGCTTGATGATTTCCTCCAACTTAAGAAGCAGAATCCCCTGACGATGGACGACAATGGTGTCATTGGAGCCGTCTTAGTTAACGTACTTGCAGGAGCAGACACAACAGCCATCGTCCTCCGGGCAGTAGTTTACTACACCCTGAAGAACCCAATAATCTATAGGAAGCTACAACAGGAACTTGACGATGCCAATTTGACGGCCCCTTTGGCATACGCAGCAGTATCCAAGCTCCCGTACTTCGACGCTGTAATCCGCGAGTCCTGCCGATTTCACCCTGGCGTTGGTCTTCTCCTCGAACGTATCGTCCCTGATACGGGTCTTCAACTTGCCGACGGCACTTTCCTTCCAGCAGGAACGAAAGTCGGCATGAACCCCTGGGTTATCCACAAGAACAAAACTATCTATGGCCAGGATGCTGAATCTTTCCGTCCTGAGAGGTGGTTGAGGAACGAAGAGGGTGGAGAGACCGACGAAGCGTATGCGGAGCGACTTGCAACAATGAAGAGAAATGACTTGTGTTTTGGGACGGGCAAACGGGTTTGCATTGGTAAAGATATCAGTATTATGGAGATGTACAAAACAATGGCGACCTTGTTTAAGAATTACGAGGTAAACATTCCCTGTCTTCACCTTCTCAGATTTATTTGGTCACGCCCCGACAAGAGTTTGAAAGACATTTAGCTGATACACCAGTTACTAGATGAATCTAGTTGACCCAGAGAAAGAATGGCATGTTCAGAACTCATGGTTCGTACGACAAACTGGTATTAATGTCAAGGTTCAACGCCGAAAGCCTATCATCGCATAAGTTAACATTAGCTTCTATTTATGCTACATTGCTAGGTGTGTTCTTTAAAAAGATTAGCTTTGATTAGATAAACGAATATCTATTTTCTCCCGTGTTTGCTGATCCTCTCTGCGCCTCATTGCTTGGGTCTTGGACAGTTTCAAACCTCGTCGGCCAAGTTGTAAGAAACTACTAGTATTTCAGTAGGCACATTAGGACCAGGTTGTAAGAGTAGGAGGTCATTAAACAAAAGTCCATTTGCCCTGGTCTGCGTAGTAATAAGGCCCTGTTAAGACCTTGTAGCCTAAACACTCCACCCGCACCAAGGTCCACCTGTGGGTCGTTGCACTGTACAACTGCCATTAGCTACCTAGGTACGGAGTAGTCATTGCTGACGAAAATCGCTCCCCAATCATCACGTTCCTCCAATATCTGTTCCTTGCATAAACCCATCCGGCGGATTCTCGACAGGAGTAGAATCCGACTCTGAAGGGGTAGCGAATTTTAGCGGAGACAACTTGGCAGCTTTGCAAAACCGGGCGATAGAAAGTAGGCGATAGCATCTGCCGAAGTCGGACATCCGGCATAAATTCGGGGCTCTGGGTTTTCCAAGCCTTCGAGCCTTGCTTCGCCATATACTCGCATGAAGGTGTGCTCGCCGAAAAAGTGGCAGGACTTGAGGCAGGGTATCACACACGTACCATTTTTTGGAGTGGGAATACCTGTGGCCACCAGGTAAGAAATTTCGATTTTGATTTTTAATTTATTTACAACTAACTAACATGATCTGTCACCTCCGTCTTAGCACCTCGACCACTCTATTGCACCCCATGGAACAAAGTTCGCATTCGTACCGTCTCCATCGTTGGCATCTCCCCAAAGCTGCATCGATCCCACCGGCGACGAACTAGTCCCTTTGGAAAGACTCACTCTCCGATCAACCACTAGGATGCCGCCACCGCATTTCGAGGTTGGGTAACTCGTACTTGGTGCCGGATCGGCTACACTTGGGTTGTCGTTGCGGGGCCCGGTGAAAGAATATTGAACGACGCCCTAGGTCACTTGATATCAGCGGCGCTCATGAACTCTGACGCAGCAACAAACGCACCCTCGCCTGTCCTGTCCCAATTATATCATATGTTGTGATATACGATGCGGCTACCCCATCCCTCAGATTGACATGCGCCGTTAATTTAGTATTGTGTGGCTTAACGGTGAACTTCCAGCCTGGATCACAATCCAAGGAAATCTGCATCAGGCAGTTGTTGCTATGGTCGCTCTGCGAATCGCCCGGCGCGATGGAAGCTGTTAAGTCCGGGAAGTAGAATCTGTTGCAATTGACTGCGGCATCGAACCCAGACGTGGCGCTTCCCTGGGGACAACCTGAGCCAGCGTATCCGAAGTCAGCCAACCGGGCATTGGCCTCTGCTGGCGCTCCGGAGACAACCTGGGCGTCGCTGGTCGCAGGCGCTGGTGCGGCGGTAGCGAGGGTGATACCTAGGAATAGCGCAAAACTGCGTGTGGAGAAGGGACCCATCGTGTGAGCTCAAGTGGACTAGTTTAAGTTAATTATATTTAACGTGGAGATGCTCAATTTAAGTAGGCGAGGCGTTAAAGGAGTAGTTGAATAGTTTATTTCTCGGTATTGAGCGAGAGAAAGAGGTCTTAAATATATAAAACTACAACTATATAGTCTATATAGCCTATCAAATTTAAGAACAAAATAGATTGGATCGGTTTCCTCCGGAGGGAAAGTTTGCTACCTAAAAATAAAACATGCCGACTGGCGCGTTGGGTAATGTTTAATATACTTTGCTGCTATAACTGGCTGTTGGAGTTTTCGCTAATATATCCCCATCGCCAAGGGACACATATATTATAACAACGGCTAGGCAACTAACCAAGCAATTTGGGTATAAGGCTAAACCCATTTGTAAAATACAAAACTCTAAAACCAAGGGAAATACGAGAAATTGCCCCTGTTGCAATAAAAAAGGCCTCGCCGAAAGTCATCCTGCGCGTGCCTTAAATGCCAAGTGGTGATTTGCCCGTTGCCAGAAAGCTTGATGGAACTCACGTAGTCATGGGAGAGCAGATGTATCTAGGCAAGCATTGATTGCAAGCAATATAACAAGTAGCACTTTGCGACAGTGTATCGTCCCCGCCATCCAGATTCGCGGGATCATCGGTCACAATGGCACAACAGAATCAAGTGAATTATGTAGGATATAGTAAGCCCAATAATCCTTCAATACTCGTAGGTCTAAACCGTAGGAAGCAGCGAGTCGGGAATGATACCCGATTTTGGTAGCAGTGAACTTGCTCAAACGAAGCGGGATATGCCCCCTAGCTAAACTTTGCAAAATGACCGATGTTGATAATACGATGCACCGGCTGTGAAGCAAAATTAAAGTAGCCTAGAACATAATTTGGCTGAAAATAATAGTATGCGAACGGATCATTAACGGGGAGGTTGCTATCGCGGCAGCCTAGACGTAATATAGGATTTCTTAAATAAAATTAATATATATTTCTAACTCACCGGTTATTAAAGTAATATCATTTAAGAAAAGCAGCCGGTATAAACAGAGTATTAGGTTACTATCCGGGAAGAAATAGTACTAGGAATATGAAACTACTATGTAACCTTACAATATATTTATACGTACAATCGTGTAACATTTTATAGAGCCTAAATAGTTTAACTACCTAAGAAAGTTTTAAAGCGTTCACGTTTCAAATTATTCAATAGAATTAGTAATAGTTTAAGAGGATCGTACTACTTTGTAACTACTGAAGTTTAATGAAATTAATAAACTCTATACTAAGAGTTAAAGCTTTAGAAGTCTTCTTGAAGTTATATAATTTATAAACTTTAAAAGACACAGTTGAGAATACTACTAAGATACTCTACTTACTCTTTATTCTATATATTTATAAATGCCCCGCTCTTGTTACAAATAATATTCGCCGAAAAACTCGACTTCAATTTCGCTACTTCTAGGGCATTTCTATAGTAGCTCGCTGGGTTGTAGTAGCAGGGCTTAAGGTTATATACTGTTAATATTAAGACCGATTCAAAATTTGAGACAGTTATTCTCTATCGTGCCGCCTAGTTTTTTTGTATAAGTATTATTACTAGAATTTTGATATCAATACCCGCATCCTCTAAGTCGTCCAGGGAAAACCAGTGGTAGGAGTGTTTCATCCCTTAGCCACGGGTCCTCGGAAAACCTCTGTAGAAGCTATGTGCGGCCTCATTTTGAGCTAGTCACGCGGTATAATAGTTGAGCACATCGGTCTGGACTCTTGATGTTAGAGCACCTAGTGGTGGTGGTGGCGGCATTGTAACGATTGGTTGCGGAGGGGCAGGTGCCGTTGAATTTAGTTCGCGCCAAGGATCATCCAGTTCACAGTCGTCATTCTTATATAGTATACAAGCTATCCAAGGACTAAGGTAGTTAAAATTCCAAGACTGTTGATCTGGTTGAATCCAGCGCCTGATTTATGTTCAAGTGCGGCGTTGCTATGCCCAATTATGAAGTTTAATTCAGCCAAGAGAGCTTCAAGATGTCTCGAGTAAGGAGACGAAAACTACTAACTACATTTCAATATAATATTAAACTTAAGGTTTGATGACGTATCGAGCGTTAATAACGGCTAGATATTTGCCCCTACATTACCTTGTGCCACAGCCAACGCCTCTAATTTATTGACTGTCATAAAATCATGAAAGGCAACAGGTTTGATCGTAGCATACTCCTGGTTGTCCAAGGCATCCGATATATAAGCCTGCCCATTTAGACAGTAAAAATGATAAAATCTGCAAGGTTGGTTAGAAACGGGCTCTCTAGAGTAATAGGGCCTTAGCTCACAATGGGAGCCAAGAAAATATATTCTCGGGGTTGTTTTGCCGTGTCTTGTGCATATGTTTGTAGAGATCATCCAGCGACCCAAGATTTTCTAGCACAGGTTTCTTGCCATATGTTCCCTCGAACAACTCAGCGATTTGACGAGTAGTCTTTTGGTCTCCTAGAACTATACGTCTGTCAGTTATTATCTAACGCTCTCTGTGTCGTTATGAGGATAGAGATGAGCACTTACATCGCTTGACACCAACTGCCTTCTCATCTAGTGCTACTTCGGCGACATATTCTGCTGCATTTGCATAGGTTGTTGATGCCCACGCTTCTTCGCCCGTACCCCAGAAAGCAAAGCCCGTTTTTGATTCATCCCAAAGTCCGAAGAAACGACTCCACAACGTCTCCATGAATACACCGATTAACACATGAACGCCTTTCACGTTCTTCGTCTCAAGGTACTCTTTGATATACTTCATGGGATCTTTTCCTGGGAGTTGGCCAAATTCAAGTTTGGTAAAATCAAGACTGTAGTCGCTCGCAATATAGCGCTTGACGCCCTCCACCTCGCACGCATCGATGAAATACTTTTGTCCATCGAGCATCAATTGATTATCGCCGAGGTAGCAACAAATGACAACGTCTGCTCCTTTGGCGAATGAACGCAACGCATCGAAATTGTTGGCCTCTCCTTGGACAAGGTGTACGAGAGGGGAGGACGAAATCGCCGGTGAAAGCTTCGTAGGATCGCGCGAATAGCCTCGGATTTTGATGCCCGGGTGCTTTAGGAGGTCGGCGACCACAGAACGGGCAAACTTTCCAGTTATACCGGCTATGCCAACAGTGAGTGGCATCTTGGGACGTGAAAGTCCTTGTGTAAAAGTTCAGTTTGAGTAGGAGAAGCTGGTTTAGAGTAAGGTAGTTGTTTGTTTCAATTGTTGTTGATGAGACCACGTTGAAATCTAGGAAAGTTTACTAGTATATATAAATCGAGATAGCTACTACTTAGCGTTACTTTCGAAGCCGAAATACCGAAATAGTAATTTACTTATAAGAAAAGCTGAACAATATCGACTTACTAATAAGGGAAATTATCGTCTTCAAGCGGCCCGAACTAAAGGAGAGTGTAAGAAAGTACTTAGTACTACTAAAACCTGAGCTTTCTCTATCCCTAATTTCTATTCTTACTTGTATTTGAAAGTCAGCGTTTCTCGGAGCGAACTAACATCCTAGTTATATATAATAGACTTTAAATTCAAGTTCTAATTACTCGAAACTCTTTATACTTTATAGTATTAAATTATTAATATAATATTTTAAATATTTATATAAATATAGTTAATAGTTAATTTAATAGTTATATAAAAGAGTTTACTAAATATTATAATTATAGTTTCTTTTAATTTACTATTCTTTTATTAATTTAATTTAATATTAATATAGTTAATTATAAAAAAAGTAAAAGTTATAATTTAAAATAATATATAGAAAAGTATATATTTATATATATTTTAACAGATATAACTGGAAATCAAAGTAGTTCCGCTATTCTCGCCGGGCGTTGATATGTAGTTCAAAACTTGACAAGTAATTTATCTAAAGCGATAGTAGTAAAGTACTATAAATTATATTGTTAAAGTTATCTCTGATCCTCAGAGACTAAGACAATCTTCTAAAGTGTCTTTTAGGATGTCTAGCAAGGCTTCTTACTTCTGACTAACGACGCGAAGAAAGAACTCAGCGAGAATATAACTTTTATCAAGGACTATAGCTATTGCGGTGAAGGTACACTAGCTAGGTAGAGCGAGAGCGATGTCTATATTAAAGTAGTAAAAAGATAAAAATTGACTTTCGTGGATGAATTTGTTCAGGTAGGATTGAACGGGAGGATTGTACCTAACAGGCAAAATTTGTATCTATATATATTGCACACTTGATCGCGCTACAAATAATTTGGTCTTGTATGACTGGCATTAGCAGAATGAATAATTGAAGGAACTATTTATCTAATTCGCTCAATGGCTGTCTGCATTTCCTTGATAAAATCCTGACGAGAAAGTCGCGTTTAGGTCTGGGATTTCTTTGGGAGCTGCTACTATATCATTCCAAAGATCCCAGCTAGTAGAGCTCCACAGTGGTGACGGTAAACTAGTTGTGAGAGACTGGTCAAAAGATTGTTGCACCGTATTAGCCGATGAAACGTTGGCATAAGTAAATTCTTTGGCATTCTGATCTCCAGTTCCCATATCGGCAGAGTGGCTGAGGAATATTCGGCTCTGTGAATGAGGAGCTTGGGATATTCTATCGGCTAATAGCGACCGCATCTCTGAAATGAAGGATGGAGGGGCGTTGGCGACCGGATAGAGGCCAAGGCCCACCTCGCGGATCTCCCATGCGTTGATCGTAAGATGTGCAAGCGTCGGATGCATTAAACTTACTGGATTCGTAGGCTCGTATTGACGATTATAATAGAGCCGATTATCGTAACTTTCAGCCAGCACACGCCAGGCGCGTTCGGTGAGATCATCTGAGGCTCGAGAGCGGAGAGCACAGAGAAGATATAAGTGAGCTGGAAATGGGTAATTGGTGCTGATGAACCAGAAAAACTGCGTCAGGGTATTGCACCCCATCATTTTATTATGAATTTCCAGCAAGTTGAGACTGTGAGCAAATAGCTTCTCCTTTTCCTCGGTGGACGAAATTCGATTGGTAGCCTGTACATGGGGCTGACGTGGGCACATTCGGAGTTTTTCAACCTCTGAGCTTGCCATTGTAACGGAGAAGAAATGTAAAGGAACCGAAAGGTCGCAGAATTTGAGATACTTCTGCTGGAGGTGTTCTTCTAACTCGTCTATTCCCTTATCCAGGGAAGCGGCATCTTCGGTATGGCACCCAGTAAATAGGAATCGCTGAATAGCCTCACATCTCGGCAAGGCGTACACCATCTCAGTAGGTCCTGGATACTCCAGTGGCCAGTCTCGCATACCCGGATAGAGGTCGCTGTCGTTGATATTTGTAGGAAGATTTGTTGTCCAGCCGCGATGAACAATCGATGGGCCAGAGCCAGAAACCTCAGAAGTTCTACAATCAAGAATGATAATTTGCCACCATAGGCGCCGACGCATTTCCGTCTCAAATGGGGCAAGGCCATAACTTGTTCCATCAGAACTGAGACCCATCCTCCGGGCAATACGAACCACTATACCCGTCAAGCAGCACAGTGATCTCGCATCAACCGAGACGTGCAGGCTTGAGAACTGAGCATAAATAGTTTTAGCTTGAGCACGACCGATTGGAGAAGAAACACCAAGGATAGTCTGACGTATGGCTTACCAGGAGTAGGAAGAACGCTTGGAGTACAATTAGCTCAGAGGACCTCAGGAATCCTGCATTCCGAAGCGCCTGTTTTGCACCAGCTCGATATCTCGATAATAGGGTTGCTTTTCGATCACCCAACAAAGACATGCAGGCGGCCTCGCACAGTGAGGTGATAGCTACGGCATAAACACTGAACATCAGTGCCTCTACCCCTTTTGGTACATTTTCCAAGTCCGCACTAGCATCTAGAACTTGTTGCTGCACAGTGGGGGCGTGCAACACCTTGATTAAAGGGTTGACGTTGTCTAGAAATATCTGCCACAGTCTAAAAATATGAACTGTAGGAGGGTGATATTTGCTCAGATCAGATATGGCTTGGGATGGGAAAAGGATATCACTCTCATCTGTAGTCAGAGAACTGTGCGTTTTCGTGTTTGCTATGTCGAATAGTTCGTCGTCCGATGACCCCTGTAGGATATCTTCTGCGTCTTGGAACTAATAAATTAAGTTAGAGTAGTAGCAATTATAGAATTAAATTAATTATAGAAATATAGGAACATGATAAACTAAGTTTGAAATGGACGGGGAAGCTGCAAGATACTGTTACCTGGACAGTCCATTAGCAAAGCTGAAGCTAGGACTGAACCAGACTTTTACAAAAATTGATCGAAGCCATCGATCGCGAATAAAGTATTGGCAACTAGCAGCGGAAGGTGGTCAAGTCACTAACCTCCTCATTTATTGACAAATTACTGTAATAGTCAGTTATATATTCGTAGGGCTTATACTTAGAATTTTAACTTACTTTTGAACGTGTTTTAACGATCGTTTGACCGACAAAGACGCTCTAGGATGCAATTTAGCAAAGCAGGGAGCATTTTCTTTGGGCGTCGTAGCACCATTCACGTCGATTCCACCATCGCGGTTTATGGCGTCGATATCGGCCCCATACTTCCGTAGTTGATCCTCGTATCTTCTTATCCGAGCTAATAGCTCTGCTTCCGGAAATCTCTTTTTACGCTTCTGTAGAGGGGGAGTGGTAGCAAAGACACACTCGAGGTGAGCCCTGGTACAGTTGGCGCATGGAGCATTCCTATCACACTTGATCTTTCGGCTTTGGCATAGGATACAAGGATGTCTACGGTTTTCAGAACCCTTTGCGGCGGCAGTAGACCTAGTAGAGCTGTTGCCAATCATCTCAAACGCTCCGGATAATAGATTACAGCAGCGTATAAAAATTCTAAGATGAACACTTTATAGAGTTAGCCTAGAACGAGTGAGCTTATAGGGTATTTTTCCTGAGGGACTTGCTTGATACTCACGGGTAGCTGTAAAAGACTAGCGTCCACGTTCCACGCCAAGCTTACCGGGGCAATAAAGGGGTTGATAGTGTGTTCCTTGGGATCCCTGTCGTGTTCTATAAGTCTCTGAAACGAACGTTGGTGAGGTAGCACACCTGACAGTTCTGATAATTCGGGAATATCTAAGACGTTTTCCAGTATCAATTAGATCGGAATAAATTTGAGAGAATCTAGTGCTATAAGTTATGCGAGGTAGTTCGGACCGGACTATTTCCCGAGACTTGTGGCGTCGTTTGTAAGCAGCCTATGTGGAGAGGAGTGCATTGACCTTGGTGATAAGCGAGCTATCTGACAAAGCAGCCCAGATCTACTACTTGACGGCGTGAACATGTTAAGTACAGGTACCGAAGTGAAGCTAAGTCAATCACCACGTATAATATAGATGTAGGATTAACGAAGAGAAATTATATACTATAGGCTTTTGGCCGTATTACTTATCCTTAAGTCACAGGAAAAACTCGTAGAACTTGATAAGATTAAGGACTAGGGGCAATCTCTGGCATCTCATGCAGGAAGAACGGACTACGATGGAGGACTAGGCATCTCATGCAGGAAGAACGGACTACGATAGAGGACAGTCGGTTTTGCAATATATAATCAACCGCTCAAGTTTATAGAATGAAGATGCATACATTTTGTGCTGCTCGGAGGGCAGAAACACCGTGATATCTTCACTACTACAATTTCTTAACAAGACTAGCTCTGTGCTCTGCTCTCTGTTTTGTAGCTTCCATAATCTGCTTCACAGCAGGCCTAGCTTGCAATCTCTCAAGCCAAGCCTGAAGACTTGGGAACTCCTCCGCAGGGTCAAACACTCCTTCAACCAAGCCCGTCGCTATAACCTGCCAGGGAACCCAAGCGATATCTGCATATGTGCACTTGTCGCCGACGAGGTACTGGCGAGTTGCCAGGTGCTTATCCAAAACACTTGATACCCGACGAACTTCGTTGATGAAACGGTTAATGACGCTGTCCACCTTCTCGGGGTGAAAATGTTTAAAGAAGTACACCTGTCCGTAGTAAGGTCCTTGGCCTGACATTTGGAAATGGAGCCATTGTTTGGTATGGTAGAACTCTGGGGTACCAGGCGGGAAGCTGAGCTTGCGCTCGTGGTCGTATTCAGAAATCAAGTATTCCAGAATTGCACCGGATTCCCAAACAGTGATACCGGTGTTAGGATCCTCGAGAGAAGGAAGACGACCATTCGGGTTGATCATTTCATACTCTGGGGTTTTCGTTTCGGTATGCGGGATATATTTGGGAGTCCACGGGAGATTGAGCTCGTCGAGAACCATGGCGACTTTAGGAGGATTCGGGCCGTCGACGCCTCCCCATAGAATCAAAGGCTGTAGTTGAGAGGACATAATATCCTCTTCCGGAAGATGTCAAAAATAGAAAAGAAACGAGATAGCCTTTCTGCCAGTGGATTCTCACTTATCAAATGCAGGAGATAGGATGTGGTGTTAAGGTTATAGGACCTAGAATGGAGGATTGCATTGATTGATTATTATTATTTGAAAAATTCGCAAGCCTATATATAGGTAACTATGGAAAATTAAACCAAATGGGTGGAATGAATAAAATCTGCTGGTATCCGTGCTCTCCAAGCTTTGCATGACCACGCCATTCATCAGAGTACTAATTGTCAGAAAAGCAGTCCGATTATGCATTTTAGTCATTGCGCCAGATCATGATTATCGGGAGGCTTGGCAGGAGGCTTGGGTCTTGTCAGAATAACGAGCCAAGGCTATGACATGGTTATTCGGAAGCGTCTAGTCATCGGGAAGTGAGGATTGTCATCATCAGGTGCGTATTAGGAAAGGCCAATCGTCCATCGACCTACCAAGGGCAAGTTTCGATTGCTACTGTGGAGAAAATATGGATCTCACCGCCGGTCCAAGACATGGTCGGAGCGAACAGATGCCCGAGCTGTACCAGTACGAGTAGAATAGTTCGGCGTACTCTCGGTCAAGAAAAGCCCAATTTTAAATGTCACGTCATAAAAGACATAGTCCTCCGACTCTACCCTAACTGTCTATAGATGTATGCTACTAGAGATGGTGGGATTCGGAATTTTACACAAATGAGACAAGAAGCGCTTTGAAATCACTGCCACGTACGCGAGTAGGGATTAAGGTACGTATTCTTTTACATGTGGCTGGCCAGTCGTTCCCCGTCCGTTAAAGGACGGAAAGGTTGAACGCGACGAGAAAACCCCATCAAGAATTTTCATTGCTTCCGAGATAGCGAATGGCTCCACCTACTCCTATCTTTCTAGCTCGTCCAAGTTGCCTCTAGCCTAGGCGAGGTCGATCTGAACTGCGCTATTAGTCAATATTTTTTAGTTGACTAATCAGCTCTCTAATTAGTTAATATACTACTTATACCTCAGTTTCTCCTACTTCACGAATATACTACTTTATTACTCAATATATATTGACTTCTAAAGTAGTATATTAAAAGGATATTAATTAATAAAGTTATTAATTATAACTTATTAGTTAATATAACGATTAGTTAATTAGAAGAACTTTAGAAAGCTTAAATCACAGGATCTCCGCTTTTATATAATAAAATTATAAGATCTCCACTTCTAAGAAATAGTTAGTTTGACTTTTAGATAAATTTTAAATACTCTGATTCTCTTAGAAATAATAGTTCGTAAATAAATATGTTAGTATTTTTGGAAGTACTGAAACAGGTAGAAAGAGTTGATTGATTCTAGTAACAGAGGTGGAGGAGAAGTCCTTGTTATATACAGGTAAAAGTGAGTCATATTTGCCACATGTAGCGTACACCCCAAATACCCCTGATTTCGGCATCGCCGAAACTCAACAAAATATTATACTTATTATTATACTTAAAGTAAAGTATAACTTCCTGATTTTTCTATACTTATTTACTTAAATTAATTATTTTTATATAATAATATAACTTCTACGTTCTATCTTTTCTTACTGAAACACCCTGTAGTATTTCTTATAGCGAACGTCTGCTATCTCAACCGCTGAACATCAGCATCCCATAATCATCAAACAGTGTCTGCCAATACTCCCAATCCATCTCTCCCATATCCTCAGTATCAAACGGCACATACGTCGACGGCATATCCATCTCACTCCACTGCCCAGGAAAACCGGTGACATTCTGCATCTGTGGAATATCCGCTTGATTCACAAGGTCCATGTTCATTTCCGAGCTCCCAGTCGTAGCATCCGCCTTTTCCTTTACACCACGCTGCGAATACAGCTCTCTAACACAAGCTGGCCTCCTCAGCTGAATAGCACCCTGCTGACTCCTTATCCCTCTAACCCGCTGCTCCCATGCCTTCAAGCACAGATTCCCCACCGCAAACCACAGCTTGTTTTTCGTCTCGCGGAGTATCTCTTCATGGTTTGCGTATGTCGCTTCAACGAGGTCCCACGCCCACTCAACCTGCTTGCCCGTCGTGCGAGTACGTAATTCGGATAGCATGTATATAAACGCCTCGAGTTGGAAGAATACACGGATATGCCACATGAAACCCTTCAGCAATTTACGTGTAGAGGGATCATGTCCGTCTTTATCGTACTCCAGGATCTTTATCGCGGTGTGGAATGCGATGTCTTTTTCCTCCTTTGGCTGAGGGGGTGAGCCCGCGATCCGAGGAGCTGAGTACACGCGGAGCCGTATTTTGGACAGTGCCGAATGAGCGGCTAGCCTAGCCAGGTAGTGCAGGGGGATTGAGGAATCGCAGAAACGGATGAACTTTTGCTGTAATATGTCGTCGAGGTCGTTGAGGGCTTTTATTTTCGTGGCGATTTGCTCTGGACGGACAGGCATAGCACTGATGCCGGATTCTTCGCCCGCGAGCATGTGCGACCACATGAATAGACCGATATGTTGTCTAATGCAGCAGAAGAGCATTTCTGTGACTGCTGGATGCTCGGCCGGTGGCTCTCGCATGGAGGGGGAGAGTTCGCTGTCGTTGATGTTGAGAAGGCGGTGCCCTTGGTGGGAAAAGAATGTTGCTGGCGCTGGGGAGCCCGAAATAGCTGAGGAGTGGCCCTCGAGAGTGAGAATTTGCCACCACAGTCTTTTGCGGACTTCTGTTTCCAGGACCCCCAGGTTAGTGCCGGTGGATTCACGGTGCAGGCCCATCCGTTGGCCTATTCGAGCAGCGAGGCCAGAAAGGGCCCATAGAGTGTCATGATCTGTGAATTGTCGGATGGCAAGAAGATAGAGGGTGAAGGCTTGCAAAACCATTAAGTTGGAAGTCCGCAGTATGTTGGCATTGACTAGTGCCTGCTGAGTTGCTGTTGAGTACTTGGAAGCCAGAGCTACTCTTGACTCGCTAAACGTGGTCTGGCACTCTTGTTCGTCCATGGACACGATGGCCGAGTGGTATATCGAGAATAACAAGGCTTCGGTACTCGCTGAGACCTTATCCAAATCATCACTTGCATTTAGTATAAGTTCTTGAATCATAGGGGCGTGAAGGATCTTCGTGAGAGGATTGACGTTGTTTAAGAAGAACTGCCATAGTCGGAAGATCTGTATTGTATGCGGATGGCTTGATGTTAACGAGTTGCTGATCATCAAGCGCCCGAAGAGGAGACTGCTGTAGTCTGAGATAGGGATATCTGGTCTCCCGTTTCGCCCTCGGACGGTTGTTGCTGGACTAGGTGAAAAGATTCTTCCCTGACCTCTGTATTGATATGCTCCCAAATGGAGCTGCACAAATGTTAGTTAGCCTCGTTGATAACTGACAAACTAGGGATGATTTACCTCTCAAGATGGTGACTTTGTCCTCTTTCAGCAACCAGCTTTCCCAGAGGTTCCATTGCGGCAAGCCTTTGTGGTTTTGTTGAAATCGTTGATTTCTCCACGTCACTCTCCATCGTCCTGCCACTTTCACTTCCTTCGCTCCTTCAAGGTATTAGTCTTAGCCTTCTTGCAAACAGTTGGTTCCAGTGGCATAAGTACCCACACGTAAGCTTCCTCATGATAACCCTCGACCTTGAGCCCTGCCTTGCTGATCACGTCCTCCGCTCTCTTCAGCCTCTCGGCAAGATCCTCCTGCTTCCTCTTCTTTCGTCTTGCAGGCACTACTTTTGCAGCAACACACTCAACCCGGGCCTTTTGACAGTTTTGACACGGGTGCTGCCCGTTGCATTTTATCTTACGGCGCCGGCAGAGGCTGCAGGAGTGGCCGCGGGTGATCTTGGCCTGGGCCGAGGGTGGAGCTCCAACACTGGGACTGGGTGTTGGGAGGACTGAAGCCATGATCGAAGGAGCTGGTTCTATTAGCACAGGGGTTCGCAGATAGTAGCTAGGACTGTTCAATTATATCTCTGAACTCGGTAAGATGGAAAGCTCCGTGATGTGCTGGAAGCGGAGTTAATGATCATGTGATTATCTGACTGCTGACGGCGGAGCGAGTCCGTGGAAGTTGTGTGAGAGCCACGACGTTAAAAATGACTCAATGCCTCAATCAACAAGGACACATGAAGCAGGAGCGGAGGAAATCAAGCCAGAGAGACGGAGTATGAGATTCTTAAGTGGAGGAGGTCGGAGGCGGAGTTGATGAGTTTCCTCGGGACCGATAGCGAGCTTCATCTCCGAGATGCCTAACCACATTCAGAACCACGAAGGCACAGCTTTCGTTAACTTGTTCTACGATTCATATCATCCTTCAAAATTGAAATTCATTTACTTACAGGAAAATGTGCATCAGTAACTTGAGTCTTAATAAACGCACCTTCGTATTCCCTCGAAGCTCGGACCACAAGCAATATCAAACACAATCAGTTGTCGAACGAAGCTAAGGTCAAAATACGGCGCCGTCATCTCATCTCCGAACCCGGTAACGATGCACGAGGACTGAGTAGTAAGAGCCGCCCATAAAAAAAAGCACTCCTACACGTTAGCCACAACAGCAGCAAAGGGGGGGGGGTTGCTGCTGTCTCTCTAATTTGGAATCCGACACGCGACTAGGATTTACATTTGCATGCTACACCTGCTACCATTCTGAATCTGTTCGTAATATGGATGGAAGGATGCTTGCTCTGCCATCTAATGCCCTAGTCCAGCTTACACGACGGATTTCTCTCCAACACCTGCTCCAACAAGAAGCGGCGAAAGTGCCTTGAGACACATTTGGGCAGTTTGGTGGTGTGCACAAATATCACCGACCATTGTGTCACATGTGGGCATGGCAAGTGCTCATGGGGATTTAACAAACTGAATCCAATATTCCCATAAGAACTTGAAGATGGACAAGGAGCGCTAAGTTACCACCAAAGTTTTCATTATTTAACGCCTACTATTCTCAGAATGTCGACGACTCTTTCCTAGAACATATACTAATGTTTTGGAATCCCCTGATCCATTCACAAGCCCCATAGAGAATTCTCCATCTATTCTCTGACGGTGGACTCGTGCAATGATCGTTTTATCGTGTCTGAGGTTGTCCAGTAGTGTGACAGCTGCTCCTGCGGCGTCTGTGTGACTTTCTTGATGGGATCAAGATAGTCATGAGCCTCCACACGTGTTCAGACCTTCTTGTCTAGCTTGCCGCTTCCTTTGGATTTCTCTCTAGCCTCAGGATTTCTTCCTGGGCCACCCGGACCGCCTCGGCCGCCTGTGAGAGCCATTCTGCCTTTAACGGATTTGAACTCAATCAGCACAGCTCCAAGGAGGGAGATGCATGACAGGCATATGCCGACGATGAAGACTTCTCTCAACGCTGCATTGTATGCGGCCAACACACTGTTAAGGATCTCCGGTGGCACGGTCTTTCGGAACTCAGTGGCACCCATACTCACAACGTTAAGCTCGTAGACTCCAGAAAGTCTCTTAATGAGTTGGATCTCCAGAACGTTGAGTCCGACAGACACAAAGATTGCGCCACCCAATTGCTGCATGAAGAACATAAGTGTCATGCCAATAGGAACATCCTTCCTGTCAAGAACTGTTTGCGCGGCCAGTGTGGCTACCTGCATACCCATCCCAATGCCGAAGCCAAGGACGATCTGGTACCCAATCCATTTCCTAGAACTCGTATCCACGGACCAAGTGCTGATGAGTCCTGAGCCAATAGACATCATGACGGCGGAGGCGATGCCAAACGGAGTGTAGTAGCCGATCTTGGAGGTCAGCTGGCCCGTCAAAATGCTGGCGATGATCAGAGAGAGTACAAGAGGGATCGTGTGGATTCCAGATACCACTGCCGAATCTCCCTTAATCGCTTGAAGCCACTCTGGGATGTAGTAGAGCATGAGCATCATGGCCGAAGTCTGGCAGAATTGGAACAGCATGCCTACGAGACCGGTCAGTCCCATCACATGCGGAGCACGGCCATTTCTATATCATCGGTTACTCGAGTACTTACCAGCGATAATGCTACGGTTCTTAATGATTCTAGCGGAGATTGTTGCAGTCTTCTGCCTGAGCACCTCAACGGCGACGAACCCAATCGCACACACACCAAAACCTGTGAAGAGTGCAATAATGCGTCCATTATTCCAAGCGTACATCGTGCCGCCCCATTGCAGAGCAAGGAGGAGAGAGAAAATACTTGGGATAACGAGAAATTCTCCTAGGAGATCAAGATTCTTCAGTCGTTCGACGATCGGCATGTCTGGCTTGACTGGAGGGAAAGGCTGAAGAGTTAAGAAGATGACTAACAGCGCGAAGCCGCCAATTGGGAGGTTGACTAGTGTTAGCAGATTAGCAGGGCCAGGTGATGATATTTCGAGCTGAAGTGACCTACTGTAGAAGCACCAGCGCCAAGATACATTTGAGGTGAAGGCTCCTCCAAGCAAAGGTCCAATGACACCAGACACACCCATAACCCTAGAGTAAAGCGAGTGGGTTCAGCATGGTTTGATGTTGCTGAAGACTAGCTGGAGGACTCACAAGCCAAGGAATCCCATGTACTTTGGGCGGTCCTTTAGAGGGACGATGGAAGTGAGAATGATAACATTGCCAACCTGGACGCCAGCCGCCGCAAAACCTGCAATGGCTCTTCCGATTATGAAGGCAGTTGAGTTCGGTGCAGCAGCGCACAATACGGAGCCGACTTCGAACACGAAGATGTTGGCGAGGAATGTGTACTTCGGAGTGCAGAAGGTGTACAACTTGCCGATGAGCAGCTGACAGCAAGCGCCGGTGAAGAAGAAGGCGCTACCGTACCTAAGAGAGAGAATACAGTGTAAGATAGGTAAATCCAGTTGCTTGGCGCAGCCGTTGACTTACCATCCGATATCGTCCAAGCTGTGGAAGTCATTTGTGATTGCTGGGATGGCTGTTGAGACGATTGTCTTGTCCTGAAATAGTCGACGATGTCAGCGTGCAGTTGCTTAACGCGCAACAATTTGATACACCTACCAAGCTGACCAGGAATACCGCGAAGAGGATAGCGACCCATGAGAAGAAGACTTGCTTAGGACCATGTGGGTATTTGGGTGCAGGATTGCCCATCTTGTCGACTTCTGGAGCTCCTTCCTCCTTCGTTACCGCCTGATCTTGGGGAGAATCAGATTTGGCGTCATCATCAGCTATTGGCTGAGAAGCCAATTTTTTGCCGCTGGTATATTCTTGCTCAGCGTTTGGGCTAGCGTCTGGGCCATTCTCGAGACCTGGGGATGGAGTTATAGGGGATTCCTTCTCCCCAACAGAATGAGTACTTAAAGTCATAGCTGAATAACTTGAAAAAGAATGAGACTCGAGTCCGTCTTTTTTGTATGAAAGTAGTGTAAATAGAAGATGCAAGGGTAGAGAAAGAGGGCGTTTGAAAATGATTGGAAGGTCAAGAACGTAGAGCGAACAATAGGAGATTTATGGAGCTTTCAATTTTCATCTCCAGGTCTCTCGGGACCGCAAAAGTCATGAATCGTGAAATAACTCGTCACCGAGAAAGATGCATGCCGTTCCGCGTCTGATTGACTGAACGTGGCTTGAATGAAGACCACTTCGGAACCAATTTTGGAGAGCTCCGTAACTAGACCTCTGCCTTGAACCGTCATGACGTCCCATTTTTGTCCATCTTTACTTTCTACAATGGCCACGACCTGTTGGCTAGTAGGACCAGAGCTGTGGCCATCATAATTACTTCTCACAGTAGATACCAGCATTTTGAATGCTTGTTGTCGCCTCCCTCGCGAGTATTTTCTATCCTAGATGCTCTCGAAGTTACTTCAGAGAGCAGCAACAATCTGCTCAAAGCGCATGTATTCTCGGCTTCGCGCCTCAGCGTCGACCCCGAAATTAGCGCCCGGCGCTCAACAATCTCTCGGTCCCGTCGCATCGTCCTTGCGCGAAGCGGCGGGTGCTAAACCCGAGGTGGCCCAAGGGCGAAGATCTTTATAGTACGTGCATCCAAGAAGCACGGGAATTTCCTGTTCTCCCGTAGTATAAATCTCATCGACCCCGCTATTACTCTACTTCCTTCTCAACATTTTATTAAACTTTTTAAATAGATCTTCCTTTATATTTAATAGCAGAAATATTATTTTAAATATTACTAAAATAATTTCAAAAGAAATAATATTACTTCTAGTATTTATATACTTTATAATATTATAGAAATAGTATAACTGACTTTTAGTAGAAGATTTATATTTTATAAAAAACAGTAGTAATAGTTCGTATTAACGAAACTACTAAATCGAATTACTTTTATAAGTAATAGACTCTAACTACTACTTTCACATTATATATACATTTACACAATGCCGAACCATTTGAGATCCACGTCCTCGTGAACTGGAACAGTGTGGCCTACCCCAGCGGCGCTATATGCTATAAAACGAGTGCCGTCTCCATAAACCATCTGGGTGTAGCCGGACTGAGGAGTATTGGTGACATTCTTTGTAAAGGTAAGACCTATTACGCCGGACCACTCCTTTACCGCTTCAGCGAGATTTGCATAAGAGACGAAGGTGTCGGCGGTACCATGCCAGAGCTGAATTCTAGGGTATGCACCACTGTATCCCGGATACATTGCCTTTACCACGCTTGTCCACTCTGCGGATGTCTTAATAACTTTCCCGTTAGCGCAGGTCGGATCAGCAGCCTGTGGACTAGAGCTAGGAGAGCCAGCCAGGCAACCAGCCGCAACTCCTGAGTAGCCGGATGCAGCGGCGAAGACATCTGGATACGTAGCGGCCAGAACGTTCGTCATCATAGAGCCGGAAGATGTCCCGGTAACAAAAACTTTCTTGGGGTCCGCATTGTATTTAGAAATCGTATAGCTTATCATGTTTGCAAGGCCGTTGCTATCGCCACCACCGCCATGCGTCAAAGTTTTGGTTGACGCAACGTCCCAGCAGCCGTTGTCATGATTAGCGCTTGGGAAGATGGTAATAAAGCCATGTGTATCGGCCAACGAGTTATATTTTGTCTGTGAGGCGTAGAATTCCCCAGTTCCTGAGCAGCCGTGCAGCTGAATGATGTCATTAGCTACGTACTTTCTTGCTTGCGTTGGATTGGAGCAATACTAACAGCCAAAATAATTGCAGGATTGGTTGCCAACTTGGATGGGACGTATATGTTCATCAGGAGGTTGGTTGGATTTGCCCCAAAGTTGGGGACCGAGACTAGAGCACCATTTGCGGACAGTGAAAGCAGCGAAAGCGCAGCAAGGCCGCTGATCTTGAATGAGGAGAGCATAACTGAGGACCGTATTTAATATGTGAGATTTGAGACGTGAGATGTGAGGTAGGAGATGCAAAGAATTGCGCTTGCTTTTCCATACCGGCGAGTAGCTTTATAGCAGCCTCGGGCTATGGCACACTTAGGCTGATCCTCCAGGACATTATTTGCCCACAATAGCTATAAACCATACTATGAGCGGCGACGGCAGAAATGTGCGGCAAGTCGGTCGTAGAATTTTAGTTGAGGTAAAGACAACTAAGACACAACAATCGTGAACGAACGCGTGGAAATATATTAGGATAAAATAGGCTGGAAATTGCACACTGATACGACGAAGTACTAGACGCGGGGGATCTTGCGCATTTGATTTATATCGACAAGGGAGGAAAACTCGGGATTGTAGTTCGGCAAAGGGCTGGGTAATATAGAAAGCTCCCTTCCTTTTCCCCTTCCCCTTCCCCTTCCTTGTATTGAGATCGAAGTACGAAGTACTAAGTACCTTCTAGACACGTCTCTCCAAGTAACACCAGAGATACTTATTAGTTGCAGCGCGCAAGCGAAAAGACGCGGGGTTTTTAATTCAGGTCGTCCTCTCGAGCGTGTTTCTAACACATGCTCAAGCTTAACCCCTTGCGCCTCGGTATCCGACGTCGGGCCCCCCGCAGATAGTATCTGACGTCGCGCGGGGTAGCTTGTGCCCGCTCCCAGATCGTGTCGGAATGACTTCAAAATGAATACATTAAAAAAAGTTAAATAAATATATTCTAAAACTACTTTTCTATATAAAATGAAAGCCGATTTTAGTAAAAATAAAGTTTATATATTATAGTAAAGATCTAAAAGACTACTAATTATTTAGTTTGTTTTTGTATTTTACTTGTACTAGAATTAGCACGTAGATAAGTGGAGTTACTTGAGTATATAAACTCCTAACACTCACTCTCTCTTTTACACAACACGTACGACGACTGACATTATATAGACTGTACAATAATATAGCTGGACTAAGGAGAAGTTAGCTAGTTGGGATAATTACGAATACAAACTCAATTTACTATACTTATATTAATAACTAGATCTTGTGACTATTAGTCGTCCTGAAGTGTTACTACTTAAGTACACTTTGAATATTCACTTCCTCAAAAGAACATTAAACTATAATTTAGACTTCTTTAGTTAAATGACGATAATCTAACACTGCGCTTGAATGCCCAATTGAAGCTATATCCTTTGACTGTAGTCTTTTAGTTGTTTTACTTACGATTCTTCCTGATAATCCTAAAAGTCCTTTCTACTCTTCTATAATATTAAATAGTTTATTTTATTATTATTATTAACAACTATTATTTATATATAATATAATTAAACTAATATATCTAATAAATTAGAACTTAGATTATTTAGCTAACTACTACTTTCTTTTTAGTTATATAAAAGTACTCTATTAAATATAATAAACTAGTTAAGAGGACAAAGAAGACTTTGCAATCGATACTAATAACTCTACTTACTCTATACAATTATCTTATGACGAATTCCGCTTTAGTAACAATATTGGATGAATACGATACTTCTTATACTTGACCGCACAAACTAGTAGTATTACCAAAGTCTTACTCGTAGAATATCAAGACGACTGATTCGCAGACGAAGCTTAGTTACAGTCTATGCTGCTGGAGCTCCCCGAGCTTTTTAGTCCATTCGATAGCTTCGCTGATTTCACATCTATGCTATAATATCCTAGGATTTTACGTTTTTAGCTATTTCCACATATTGGTGTCTTCGAAAAGTTAATTGAGATTACACATAACGGAATCTAAATTTGTATATCAGTATCTACAGCTATTTATGCTCGTTATGAGTTAATAGCAGAGACCTTGTTGATCAGAATCTTGAATTCTTTTCAATAATCTAGCACTCTACTTTTCAAAAATTTCAAGGGATTAATTAGGTCTACGAGCCGATGAGCTTTTTGATTTCCAGTACAGTGCAATGTCTTTCAAGAACGCCTATTTTTTATTTTTTGGCCCAGCCGCGTTCTTTCCAATTTGTTAATAAAAGAGGAAAGTGATCTACAACGTCTCGCATGTCCCTATCATAGGCTATAATTACAAATATGTTTTTGTCGATATCTGTTTCGTGCAACTTGCCCAACGTGCAGATGTTCTGCGCGATGTCATGGCCAAACGTAGGAAGTTATATTGGGCCACAAGAATCTAATGCTCGCTGCGCTTGTAGCTCCTTAACAGCACTACCTGGGCAGAAAGGAAGGTTTCTCTCTAGCTGCATTGAATGTGGCATAATTGATGATGGCATCGGCAGGTGTTTAGACGGCCGGAATATGGCATCGTGGTGACAAATATCTCCTCCGAGTACAACGTATCCGGATTGATAGTCGTTCACGCTAGGCCGCAGATATGTTCAATTGCATGACTAGGGCTGTCAAGTATGTAGAATGAACCGTCGCCAAAGTAGTCAAAAGCCGGAAAGCCCCCAATTGTCAGAGTCGCAGGGCTATTGAAGTCTATCTCGCGGAGATTCCACCCTCTATACATTTCAAACGAGGTCGTCAGTGTCAACTTGAGCAGAATGTCAAACAGCAGCTATCGTTTATATCGGAAGACTCACTCGTAAGTTAGTTGTATGAGGAAAGGTCGAGGCATCACCAATGTAATCTCAATGCGAGTGGCTATATAGTGTCAGCAAGTCCTATAGATTATCTTATATACCTAACAAATCAATGTACAAAACACTAGCAAACGATATTGTCGCCCTTACCTCTAAATCACGGCCTCAAATCGCCTCCCCTTTGATTCCGGTATCCTCTAGGACGTCAATAACATTCTTCGTCACCTAGATATCGTACTCTCTCGTTAGTATATACTCCGCAATAACAGGGGCGTGATTAAGGTAGTCCTTCCGGATACCCAGGTCCCACACCAGCTTTCTGCCGGAGCTGTGTTCCACCAAGAAAGACAACGAAGGTGAAGCTGGGAACGAAGTTGCCCCAGGAATGGGCGGACCTATGAGGCCTCAGGTGTGTCTAGAACCTGCATTGGCTGTGCTGATAAGCTTGGCCGCTGTCAGTGCGTGGCTTAAGGGGATCTTGAAAGATGAGGGTGCAGTGGAAATGATGTTCAAGTCTCAAAATCAAGAGTGGCGAACTTTACGCTCCGAGGTAAATGTTTGCACCTAGATATACCAAGATATTAATTAGACTGAGTATCGTCTCAGTGCATAGACAAATCCTCACGAGTTACGTTTCCGTGAAAGTGGCGGCTATGATAATGAGATTAATACCCCTCTTTGCGGGAGGAATAACCATTTTTTAGTACAGAACGCTTATTAATGTGCCGCATGAAGACCATTGCATTCGGTTACAAGGGGCCGTTGTCGCCTCGACGGCTAACTAGATTAGTTGGATGACCGGTACCGTAGCAGATGGAAGTCTGACCGCGCGATGGCAATCGCGATGATCGCAAAGGAACTTTGATAACTAATTAAAATAGCAATTGCCGATACTCGATACAGTGACCGTTCATAATAAAAAGCCATATTTGCATGTGAATTAAAGTCATTGGTGTACAAGTTGTGTTACAAATAATGATCTTAATACTCTAGATTTAAATAGGAGGTATAGCGCATTCTTAGAACAAATCGGTGTTTTTCAGAAATAACATTCACACTTAGAAAAGATATCAAAGTTAAAACTAATATAGAATCGAGTATATATAGATAATATACTGAGTTTTATATCTACTGTGAAGAAGTAGAAGTAGTTGTTTGCGAATCAAGAGTTACTTGGAGTTGTAGCTACTTAGAGAGAGAATAAGAATACAAGTATGCCTAGAATTTCTTTATACCCCTATTCCCCCTGTCGCACGCTCACGTGACACCTGCAGTTCCACCCCACCACATTACAGAAAACGTTATATTCCTAAGTTGTAAAAAGAGTAGACTCTCGGGTAGTTCGACAGTTTTCTTACTTCTTAGTAGAAGTTAGATGTCTATATATTTATAGTACGCTAGCATTAGTATCGTGTAACTAAAGTAGAACCTAGGCTCAAATTGGCTATAGTCCCCTTAAAGCTTTAAACGCGACGAGTCGACAGCTCTCGTTAATCGGCACTACGTCTAGTGTACTATGAATACTTAGACACTTAACCTCCGTGGTCGAAGTACGACGCGTATAGCTAGTTCGCCTACGCACTTGAATTGCTTGTGCCTCGGCGCACTTAAATTGCCTGTATGCCGGTGTGCTAAGACAGTCTCTACTACTATAATTTGTAAAAGAGTTGCTTGCTGTGGCTATATAGTCGAAGTGAAATGTGTGTACTCGTAGCTAGTATTATATTAGGGAGTGATACCGGTTGTATATGTAGGTAGCGGCTAGGTGTAGTAGTATTTCCAAAAAAACACCGATTTGTTCTAAGAATACGCTATTAGGGAGGTTATAAGTTTTAGACGATTATATATGTAAAATAGGTAAAAAGAAAACATAGATTTAATACTATAAATTAAGTTAAAGTAGAAGTATAATTTTAAAGTAAAATTTGAGAAAGATGAGAATAGTTTGTAACAGGAGATACTTGGTTCTAGGAGCACTCTATGTTGGTTATTTTATGAGCTATGGCTGAGCTATGGCTTCAATAGAAAGAAAGATCATCTGAACATGATTCAAATCCACCTGACAGTTCAGTATCAAAATTTCCTGATCCAACATTTGTAACTCTGTACAATCCGACCACGGTTATCTTCGACATTTATGGGGAATATCGGAAACCCTCGACGCCCTCCAGAGGACCAATCTTGCCCTCATCCGCCAAGCGGTTTTGTCTCCTGAGGTACATACTCATTGAAAAGGTTGCGACGATTAGTAAAAGCTGCGTTACAAGAGTTACACTAAATGCAAAGATTAACAGGTGCCTATAGATATGTTCAAGCGTAGAATGGAAAGACATACCAAATTCCAGGCAGGTAAAGCTGTTCAAATACGGTCAGTAACGGGGCATTGACAAGTCCAAGAGTCTCAAATTACGTACCGGAGCATCTTGAGAACGGAAAATAGTGCTACCAGTCACACCTCCAGCCGCTCCTGCAGTAACCATAAGTGCAGATAACATGGATCTCTTTTCAGTCCCCACAGTCTGATTCTGTGCATAGGCAACCACAGCAGCACTAAAATTCAATCTATAAGTCTTGTATTTTGAAAATCAAGAAGTAGGGTAACTTACGCATTTGACTGGCATCCGAATACAGCCAAAAATACCCTGTGACTCGGTCAGAGAGATCGAACTCGGCAAATGCTTCAACTGTAGCTTACCCAAAGAGGCGGACTCCTGGAATCTTGGGCAAAAGGATCAAGAGGTATCCGGCGATTCTACTAGGGTTAGTAACATCTGATAAGTGCTTCCTGAGATTGCCGAAGACTTACGCAACTGAACCCTGAAAGACTATTATCCTGTGGTAGAGGTTAGTCTTAGATAGAACGACGATGGGGGTTTTTGTTGGGGGAGGGGGGGCTGCTTACGGCCACCGCATACGAATTTTATCCGATAGCCAGGCCAATCCCAAGCTCGCGATGATGGTAAAAATCTATAAACATAAGCAATACATTCAAAAGTAAAACGTGCATATCAATATACATATGGAGGGCTCGTCAAGATTAAAGACGTAGTGTAGCTAAAGCCTATTCCTTCGTTCAATATAATAGGGAAAAAGTAACCAATGGCATAACCGCTAGTAGAGGTGATAAAGTATTGGAGACAGCTAACGATTTGCATTAGTTCAAGATGTTTTTCGAGCTTCAGTCAAAGATGAAAGATCTGTAGACGAATAAATACATACAATAGGAGCAACTTTGGATCCCTGATCAAACGCAAAGTCTGTGTTAAAGGCACTTTTTTGTACTCTGCTTCACCTCGATCGTTTAAGATGCGCATCCTAGCAATGTGTGCCTCTCGAGGTTTCAGCCATCGTGCTTTCTCCGGAACTGTTGTTATCTGATCAGTCCTAGGCTCACGAAGGTTCATCTATTGGAATGGTGAGCGTAGGACGCTTGGGCAGCACTTACACTCGCCTATGGTAAAGAAAGATGCGATGCCAACAGCAATGGTCATTAACCCTTCAATAATATAGATCCAACGCCAACTCTGCTTGTACATGCCATTTCCCACATGTATCGAGGTAAGCCCGTATGCCAGCTGAAAAAAATGTTAGTTTATTTGCAGGTTTGACCCAAGGACAGTTAGGGATATATACAATGCCGCCAAAGCCAGAAGCTACCAAGGCACTCGTATAGAAGAACGCAATGCGACTTGCAGTTTCAAAGGTTTTATACCATGATGCAATCATGTAGATGGATCCGGGAAGTACTGGTGATGATTAGTGAAGCCCCATAGATAGAACTGAAAATGACCTCACATCCAGCTTCGAAAGCACCTAATAATGCTCTTAAAACCAACATTGGAATCCAACTTTTCACGAAACCCATTCCTAGTACAACAACACCAAACGCAGTGATGAGGAAGCTGAGCCAGGTTCTTGCCCCTAGTCGGCGAATAATCAAATTTGATGGAATCTGGCAGAGGGCGAATGCAGGAAAGAAGACAAGAAGGGCGATAGAGTAGCGAGCACCTGTTAGGTCAGTTCGATGCATACAATTAACCAGTTATAAAGGAGATCAAAAACGTACCGATGTTAAAATGAAGATCAGTCTTCATGCCAGATATGTAGGCAGCGGAAATATTAGATCGGTCAAGTAGAGAAAGGGCGAATACCGCGCATAGCATAGGGAAAATATGCAGATCAATTCTTCTCAGCAGAGCTTTCTCTTCGGCCGGCGTCCAATCCTGGTTGGGGTGTAGAGCAGAAGCTTGAGAGAGGCGGCGATTGTCGTCATCGCTATTGACAGTTATATCAGCTTTCTCCACTATTTCAGGAGGGGATTTGTCGAACGACATGATTATGACTGTATTGCAGACGTAGGGGATTATTGTTTTGCAAATCAGCTGAAGAATGAATAGTAACTTAGATGCGAAGATGTCGAACTCTATATAGCCCGCAAAGGAGTGGAGACGACCCTTTCCCCGGTAATCGGTTAGGGGTAGGTCGGGGTAGCTACGAGGGTTATCCACTTAGTGAGACTAGTACCCCGCACTCTATTTGAGATGATGCCCCAGACGCAAGCAGTATCCTCTGCCAACCCCATTGTTAATAGATATATTGGGGGTCTAGCCAAATCTACTAAACGCTAGACTCATATTTGCGGTAATGATGGTGGTGATGACACGCTCGGTTAGTGTACTAGCATGCTCATTGCCGCTTAGGCGATATCAATTAAGGATTACCGAGTCGGCATGCACGTCGACTGGCTTCTATTCTAGGACGCATTCGCGCTAGTCGGTAGATTAAATATCGGTGCACAAAAAATAATCATCTTGTAAGTTACAAACATTATATTTCGCAGAGATTACTGCAGCCAAAGATGCTCCAGTTATGCATGCTATAGCCAGGAAGCTTTAAATGTTTATTGACAAAGCTATAGCTACTAGATGAAGAAAGTGGGCTTGTGAAGTAAAGTAATATAAGGATAAGTATCAGCAAAGCACGGAGGTGGGGTGTCTACGTCTTCATAGTACGCTAGAAGTAGTGTGCGTGTAACTAAAGCAGAACTAGGGCTCAAATTAGCAATAGTCCCTTTAAAGCTTTAAACGCGAAGAGTCGACAGCTCTCGCCAACAAGTACTATGTCTAGTATACTATGAATACTTAGACACCCAAGTTCTGTACTTTCCGAGATCAACTCGGGTTAGATAATAATAAAATAAAACAAAATAAAGAAATTAAATATATACATAGTACTTGAGCCTATAGTCAAGGAGCTAGTCACAGAGCTACAGGTGTCAGTCATTGTATGACAGAACCTAAATCTACTATAATAGATATTTAATAAACAGCTCTCTGAAGCTGTATATTCGAAAACTTCAAATAGTTCTCAATCCTGGACATTTACTTAGATTATACTCAGAAAACTAAGTGACTAAGTACAAGTCCTGTTGATATATCTTGTAATATTATACTTTGTTATTCATATAATAGTTACAGGTATAATAATATATCTTGTTAGTAATTAAGTAACAACTATATCTCTAAGTCTACTTTTTGGCTATATTGTTTAGTCTAGTTCCCAGAGATAATAATTATAATATTAACGTATTTTTAAGCCTTTGAAAATATTCCACTAATCTATTCACGGGAAAATCCTTCCTCAGGGGCTCAGTCGAGTCTTGGGCGATTCCGGTACTTCAAAGTTTAGGGGAATCGAATCCGTTAACAATAGTGCTTGACTACTGGCCACTAAGCTATTACAATCATTCGCACCTGTTTCAAGAAGTGACAGCAGCTACTTTTAGGATAGACAAGCTATTGTACTAACACGAAGTAGTCAGATGGAATAGAAATGCGAGAAGATCAAGAGCAACGAGTATAGAAGTAAAAGGCAACATTTCGAGAGATGTGAAACAAGGAAGACCAACGAAGAGGCTATGTCTTTTGAGAGAATGGGGGTTTTATGAACAGAACAAAGATAAATATAAAAGAGGGAGAAGTGAGAGCAAGCAAAGGAGGCGTGTTTGTACTCAGCCTGTTGTTTACAAACCTGAGGTGGGAGTAGCTATCTTAGAGTAGTTATTTCCTGCAAATATAGTTGTGTAAAGACAGTAAACTATAGTAAGCTTTGACAATCGTCAGCTGGACATACTTAGTGACTTATTCTAAAACTTTAACATCTGTTTATAGAGCGAGGACGTGCGAACAAAATCTCGTCGCCGCACTATTTATCTACAATTGAACTCATTTAGAAAGTATTGATAAAAAATTGAAGCGTAGTTGTAAGTAATACTTTTTACAATAAATTCAAATTGCAGGCAACGATCATGAGGGCAAGACTGAAGAGAAAAACTGTCGAGCCGAGGAGCGTGACTTTATAGACCTGGAAAGTCGCGGCTAGTCTATGTACACACTTTTGGAGATATACGAGTAAGCGACAGCCGGGGGAGTAGTTACAAAGTACTGTGTTAATAGTATATTTACATCAATTTGTACTGTGAACGCTTGAGCATGTTGGATTATATAGTAGATCTAGTTCCTTATTTCTAATTTCTACTTTGCTAAATAAACGAAGGGGTTTTCGTGTATATAAGTAACAATTGTATACTTAGAAGCTATTGACTAAATCCGATAACGTAAGCGGATATGTTTATTTGCTCAGTTAACTAAAGTCATTATAAAGAAAGCTTAAGTATTATTATTAATAATTTATAGTAATCAAACTTAGATATTAGACTTAGTAGCTATTATAGTATAGTACTACACCGCTTTCTATCGAGAGTAATAAAAGGGACAGGTACTTCAAACTAATTTTATAAAGTGAATTACATGTCAAGTATTATATGATAAAGAAATTACACAAGCTAGCTACAAGCGTTTGTATAGTAGTTCCGCTATAGTATAAGTACTACTTAAACTACAAAGTATCTTTACTAGTACTTTTACTACCCTTCTATGAACTATTATTCCAGCTACCTTTACAACGGCTCCAGCACTTCGTAGCTATTACAACTTCTTTAAATACTTCAATAACAATAAGTTACTTCTCTCTTTTCGCCACCTGTCATTGAAGAGCTACATCGTTGCGCAAGAACGCTGGCAGAATAGACGCCAAAGTACCACGAAACTTCAAGTTACTAGAGGAGCTTGAGAAGGGAGAGAAAAGGCTCGGAGCTAGTAAGTAGATAGTTGGGCATGTCTACCAGGTACTGTTACTGACACCGCGTTCTTTTTCGGCAGAAGTATGTTCCTACAGCCTCGCAGACGAGGACGATTTACTGATGTCTAACTGGAATAGCACTATTCTTAGCTTACTATATGTACGTCCGCGCTTTATCTTCATATATTTATAACTAAACTCTGACTAGACTTTTCTCTGCAGTCTATCTATCAAAATCGAATCTATTCTCTCAAGATATACTACAGTGACTAATATCCAGATAAGCTGCTTACTATCCAATTTATTAACTAAATGAATATTCCCTGAGTTAATTCGAAGAATAACGTAGTTAGTGCAGTATATATGCTTAGCTCTTGCAGTAATACTTTTACTTGAGAGTAAGATTATTGCGATCTTCTTATATTAATCTTACTAAGCTCCTATATCTTGCGAACTAGACCCTAGATATAATAATAGAAACAGTATTAATTGAGCTGAGAAGATATATAGTACATCCTAACTACAAGAAACTCCCTCAGTCTCCAGAAAGCTCGACTTACTAAGTCCGTCGACGTGTTATATATTACGAACTCGAAAGAAACTCTGCGCGTTCGACTTATAATAGTACTAAGACAGTAGATTTTAATCAGTAAGTATATAACACGAATAGAAAGTCACTTGTGATAGCTAAGTCTGAATAGCAACGACGAAATTGATGAAACTAGTTCTTAAAGATAACTTTAGGATATATCAACGCGACGAACTTTGTTCTCTACTCAGATATATATTCTACTAAAGATCGCGGAGACTACATCAGACATTATGTTCGCTCCTCTAGTCGTTATATGCCGTAAAATTTGTGTAATAAGAATTTATATAGACATCTCACTTCTTCGTAAGCAAATACAATACACTATATATACTCCTCTATAGCAGTGACCAGCATGCAATAAGCACCTGCCAGCAGCTGCAAGTTCAACGCAAACACCAGTATCTTACACGTTATACTTCATATCTTCCTCGCTATCATTTTTCTACTTCTCTCTCTTCGTCGCTATCTTCTCCTGATACTTCGCATGTTTCCTCTCCCTCCTCCCCTCCCCCTATAGTTTCTCCTCCTCATCCTTGATATCTATCATCTTCGTCGCTGTCACATATACCTTAGTAAACTCACCTTTAAACCTCTCAGCGACAACCTTCTGCGAGCTATGTAAATCCTTCGTCCAAGTTTCCTCTACCCCCCACCCCCCGGATCATTCTCCATCAGAAGCTTGGGACTCACGCTCTCAGAAAGTAAGGCGCTCTTAACTAAGCCCTCCCACTATACCTCCAATTTCACTACCTCAATATCCTCTTCGATAGTTCTCAAGAAATAGAGCTTCTATAACCTAGTCTTGTTTTTCTGTCTGATTATCCGACCGAAGTATTCACTCTACAGCTTCTTGAACAGCAGGAATACAATGTAGCTCGTGTTTGCGAATTGTACTTGTAGCACATAGTGTCGGCCAGTTAACTCCTCTTTAGATAGTAGGCGAGTTTCGAGGACTTTCTTTGTACTTAGATATAGTACAAGGTGTTGTAGTCGGTACTAAGAGATAAGCGCAGGCGTTCGGGAGTAAGCGAAGGTTATATCGGCGTACAACATGGAAATAAGCGCGTGTACTTAGGATAAAGCAGTGGAATTACTATCACTAGCGCTACAGAGGAGTTCTTCGGCCTATTCATTTCCCAACTTCGTGTTAGAAATTTCAAGCTTTATATACTATATATAATAAAGGAAAGGAGCAAAGGTAGTATCAAGAATGAATACAACGGGGTAACGAACAGTATATCTTGTCTTTAACCCTTTCACTACTATCTTCGGACTTATAACATAGATACTCTACTGGAATTTCTTGCGTATAAAATGTTTAAGTGGATTTATAAGACTACGAGAGGACAGCTCAGGCAAGAGGGGGATCCGGGGATATTGTCCAAGGAGTGCTCGGTACAACGCCTTGTCTAAGGGGGTGCTTGGTTAGAAAGTCGAGAGTATTGAGGGACAGAAAAGCTTACAGGCTATGCGGTGAGCACTTGATTTACGAGGGACAAATTAGGCGGGCATTCATTTGAACCTGTAGCACGTGCGTATAACGTTAATTCACTGGGGATATTTATTAAAGCTGTATATATATTTAGAAAACGTTTTTTAATTGTCTTAGCAAATGTTCTTTAAAGAGTCAAGTGGGACTATTGGAGCTCGGATGACCGGTCATATGAGCACCGCCTAAGAGGTGTATGGATCATGAGGAGCCTTGGACGGGATCGAAGTTGCAGGCTGGTGGCCGTCGAGGCTTGAAACTATTACACTGGACGAAGGTCGTAAGCTCGCCTGGGCCGCCGCCGCTCATCCCCCAGCGGATGCATTGACCACAGAGCTGAAAAAAGGCGGCAAGGTAAGCAAGGGGAAATTAAGCCCTTTCTTCCTCCATCCTTAAACCCTCTCTGTAGGCTTGCTTATTGAGGGTGGACAGCGCGCGTGTCGTTGGTTAGGATCAGCTATTGAACGCGCGCGGCTGTGGAGACTGTTGTCGGACGAAGGTTATGGAGCAATCATAGCACGTCAACCTGTCTACGCCTTTACTCCAGGAGCCATGGTGGGCGTCTTTCAACCCCCAACCATTCAATCGGTGAGAGCTTGCGCGTAGATTGGGCTTAATGTCAAGGTTAGAGGTCCTGCGACGAAAGTCAATCGTGTCACCAGCCTTGAAGACTATTTCTGGCATCGCCCCGCAGCCAACTGGCAAAGTCACTTACGAACATTTCGGTTGAGCTCTTTTCAGAGGTACGAAATCTCAATAAAGAAGCCCACAAAGTATCATCTACCAGTAGAACTGGAAGAGTAGGGGGATGGGAATATTTGCTCGATAAAATAGTGGTCGTTCCTTTGGAGAGGTGTGGCATTTTTAGCACGGTGTGACTAGGCACTAAGCTAAACTTGAGGCCAAAGGAGCTACAAGACGGGATTCTTGCTTACAATGCAGCCTACCGCTTTTAGGTGAAGCTTGCTTGTTGCTGTCTTCAAGTTGCTTGACACCTCGACAGCATCTTGGTATTCGTTAGCTTCTAGTCCGACAAGGCGCGACCAACGTGGCGGCCGGCTACAACCGCGAGGGCGATACGGCCTCTTGGCAGCAAAGGTGACAAGGCCAAGGTCTTTTATGTTTCTTACCGGTGGCTATTCTCCTTGGTGTGGAGTTGAGCCTCTTTAAGGCTTTTATTTCCTATACGAATAAAATTTCCACTCGCTTAGTTTCGTTTCCAATTTAACTGGCGCTTATGCGACGAGTGCGCGTTTCTTACAATTATGCCCCATGTTTCCCTCAAATCTGTGAGCAAGTCTGAAAGTCTGCAGAGCTCCGATTACAGCCATAAATTTTGGTGGATGTTCATATTTCCTACCTTTTTCCCTCTCAAAATGCTTCCTGTTAAAATTGAACGATGTGCCAATCCTCTCGTCGTTCTTGTTATCCACCATCGACTTCAAACATGATCCCCCACCATGATCGAGAAACTGATAAAGCCATTGATTCGAGTCCGGAAACAGGTCCTCCTGTTCAAACTACCCGTCCATCGCTGGCCGGATCACCGTCGCATCGAGTTGGCACTTCTGTGACTTGCTCTTCAGAGGGGGACCAACGTGTCGAGCAGGGTCAAAGGGCTACATTTGGCTGGTAAAGAAGAGCACGGGACACGTTTTCATCTGGGGATCAGCTGTACGACTGAGGTCCGCTGGGCCCCGGGCAAAATTAGTTAACTTTGTCACAGTCTGATTGGGCATTGGCCGGGTTTATTTACCAAACTAGAGTACGTTATCAGGAAAACGTGCAGGCTCAAATGACTATGACGGCAAGCGTGAGATAATAAGAAAGGGTTAGGGGAACGAGGTGTAAATTCTTCGAACATGGCGGGGAATGGGAAGAATAATTTGTTACTATAAAGGCCACCGAAGCAGACTAACAATATTCTTCTCAGCGACGTAGCAATAATTGGTAAGTATAAAGTTCTCTAGCCATTCACGCCGGTGTTCTTTGCCATATCCGTGCCAATAGCAGCAGTTGCACCTGCATCAACTGGGAGAATGGTCCCGGTCATCCACCTTGCTTCATCGCCGGCAAGGAAGCGGACCGCCGCCCCAACATCCCATCCATTGCCTTCTGTTTTCAAGAGATTCCTGTTCTTGCGGGCCGCTCGTGCTTCTTCACTCATCCCCTTGGCGTACATCATCGGCGTATAAACCATGCCGGGACAGACGCAATTGACTCGAATGCCGTCGGGTGCATGATGTGCGGCCATTGCTCGGGTCATGTTCACGATCGCGCCTTTGCTTGTGGGATACAGAAGATGCGCATTTCCGCCTTTTAGACCAGCAACGCTAGCCATGTTGACAATACTCCCGGTATAGCCCAGGGAGCGGTCGTTCTTCGCCATTTCGGGGATGGCATACTTTGACATAAGAACCATCGATGATACATTGATCTCCAAACTCTTTGCCCAAGCCCCCATATCAACATCGACCGCCGTGCCAGGCGCTCCGCCCACGCCCACGCAATTGAACAGAATATCAACCCTGCCGTATGTATCAACGGCCGCCTTGACTATTCTTTGGCAGTCCGCAGCGGAAGTGACATCAGCCTCGACTGCAATTGCTTTGCCCTTGCCCTCCACTTCAATCATCGCCACCGTGCGCTGCGCAAGACTGATATTCATGTCGACACACACGACTCCGCAGCCATCCTCAGCGAGAAGGATTGCGGCTGCACGCGCATTTCCAATGCCATCACCGATGGCTCCGGCTCCTGTGATAATCGCAACTTTACCCGCCAGTGAGCGGGTCGGTCGGCGGAACAGTGGATCCTCCATGTTCAATGACCGTGTAAAAAGTTAGGAAGTTGGTATGGTTTGGCTTTGGAAAATATTTAATTAAATGGCTGATCTAGTAAGATATACAAATTCATTTAATCGTTGGCGGATATAAAAAGGCTATTGTCGTAGTTCTTGTAGATTAGGCATAGCAAGCCGGTTGAATAAATGGGCTTCAGCCGCAACCAGCTGCCTCGGTGCCAGTCTCAACTTAAATTAACAAAAGCGAATCCTGATAGGGTGGCAGCAAATATGGCTAAGTGGTATTCTCTGTGTGATGGCAGGTCAATTCTTTGGGTGGATATCTGAGTGCCGGCTATTGAGATGACTGGACCCCTCTTAAATTGGGGAACTTGGAGGCTGCTTCGGCTATCCCAAAACATACCGAGCCGACAAGAAGGACCGGTGCCTGTTACTTACTTCGCACCCCGTGTTACTACCGATCATTTCCGAACTGCGATGATGTTGGATTTTTGAATACCGTGTTCTGAAATGCGTTGGAAACCTTAGTACTCAAACCAAGGCTTCGTGCAAAAATCGCCGCATCTCTCGCGAAAGCGGACTGATGCATAGGCGATACTCTTGAGATCAAACGGAGTTTTTATCTATTTCTTCAATATAAATGACTTATCCAGTCCGATTGGTTTTTTTTTTTTTTTTTTGATGTGGCGGCAAATAAGAATCAGCGGATGTTTTTGTTGTTAGTACGAGGTAGTGGTGCTTGATGGGAATGCGATTAGATCTAGACAACACCTAGTACTAGAAAATTTGTGAGACATTTATATTCAATCAAATTTTTCGTACTATGAGTTGCTCTCTATTTATGCTGGTTGATTCTAGAGATTATACTGATATCAGATTGAATAATTTAGCCACTCGCATCAAATTGACTCGTAATCAACGATAGACCGGTTGTCAAGAAATATGGCTTTAACAGAGGCTACCCCTTCCGGACAATGTGTTGCGTGCGGTCTCACACCTTTGGAAATATAAATGTTTTAAATTCGACATTATGTTTTGTTCATCAATTCTCAAATTGTGCATGCTCGGTATGTGCGCAGAATACAAAAACTTTATTTTCAAGTATGGGAAGGGAGTAAAGCCATTCGGCTCTTGACCTTTCCCTCGTGCAGATCTTGCACAATTTTGGGGAAGTCCTTGAAACTGCCTGTCTCGACCTGTGGCCGAACAACCTTCTTGGCTATCAGATCAAGCACTTCCACGACGTCCTCGTATTGACCGCCATAATTGAACACGACGGTTAGCCGTTTTTTAATACAAATCTTTGCGTCAACGGTTGTGTAGTTAGACAAAGTGCCTACATATAGAAGAGTCCCACCGTATCGTACTATAATGGAGAAAAGTTGTCAGTACCGCACTTATAAAAGCATTTTGTAAGGTCATTAATAGTGAAAAGTCATCGACTCACCGATGTTCTGGGCATCGCTGAAAGTCTGCGTCTTTCCAACAAAGTCTGCAACCGTATCAATCTTATCTTCTAAGCCATTCTCCTTGATAAATTCTTGAACGGATTTTCCAACAGGCACGATATCCTTTCGTGGGACACCAAGTTTCGCTGCCTCCTCAAGTGTTGATTCTCTCGTGTCCGAAATGATCACTCTCGCTCCTATCCACAATATAACCTGTAAGGCATTGAAGCCAAGGCCTCCAAGGCCAAATAACACAACTGTTTGGTCTTTTGTGATTTTGCCTCGCTTGACGATGGCTGAATAGGCGGTGGTTCCTGCGTCTGTGGCAACGGCGCCCTCGGCAGGGGAAACACCTATTGCAATGAAAGCTAATGTTAGCGCATGTTCTTATTCTGTAGAATGTGCCATTCTAGCCATTGTCAACAAACCAAAGATAAGCGACAAGGAGAAGAATGATAAAAACAAATTTCACAACTCATTTTACCTTTTGGCAAAGCAACCGCAGCTCTAGCGTCGATAGCGATATAGTCCGCAAAACTTCCATCCTGACCAATTCCATGATGCTCTCCTATCCGACACAGGTGGGGGAGATCCCGTCCGCATTCAGGACAGTCTTTTGACCCGCATCCAGGCACGGCATAGATGGCGACTATATCGCCTAGCTTGTGTTTCGAATCTTGCACCTCTGAACCTACCCTAACAATCTCTCCACATCCTTCGTGGCCCTGGTTGCATCAATTAGCCCTTGTACTTCCAATATTCAGTGAAATGCAGTTTCCCTGTGCGACCATGCAACTTGATCGCAAGAATGAAGCGGGTTAAACATCGGAGATACGTACTAAGGTGTATACATCTCGATAGTGGGGGAAATTTCTCTCAGTATGGAGCAGCGACCAGTCGCTATGGCACACTTTGACAGTCAATATTCAAACTGATCAAGTATCACAACATACTGGGATCACAAAATCCAATTCCGGGGGGAAAGGCGACAATGCAGGTATTATGTGGGGGGAATCGATGTACACCTTACCTCCAGCTGCCAATATCTTCACAAGGAACCCCGTTGCAGGTGTGGGCGGTACTGGTATTTCTTCATAGACCTGCAGAAATAGTGTTAGATAAAGAATCATGTGTGCAATGTTGCAAGAACATGTTGCAGGTTACGGGGATATACTGGTTCCTGATTTCCCTTGTACTTCCTCCAGGCAAACATAGTCGAGGGGATTGGTGGGCCTGTCATGGTTGTAATACTTGATGGTTTCAACGTGGTGGGATTGACTTCAGAAATCTCAATTTCGATGGCCTATTCTGTACGTACTTCACCTAACTAGTATCATATATAGAAGCAGCAGAAGTAATTCGCGGGGACCCCGCGTACAGAGAGCCGAGAAGGCCGAAGCCAAATAGCAATAGAAAGAATGTGGGGAGGAGTACGCTCTACATGCATGAAAACCAGGGGCTGAAAGCTAATTGTTTTCGAGTCATGATTCTTATGGCACTCTAATAGACGGGGGACCGGTTGCCCTAAAGGGGCTAATAAACAATTCTAGTGCCGTCTGTACCGCTAGTGACCCCGGCATGAGCGTGGATGACTTGATTTGTGCACTGGCAAGCGCCACTCTTCGGTAAGCTGGCGTAGTTTTGCCCACTCTCGGTTGCCGTAGTCTGTCCCTCGGCAAACCTGATGTAGACGAATAAAGAATCCGACCTTAACAGTACGGCTGCGGCCAGTATATATATTACCGAGAGCTAGTAACAGATGGTGGCCGTGTTTCCAAGAACCCCTGATTCTTCGAGTCCATGCTGTGCTTGGCTTGCCATTGAAGTAGTGTTTATTCGCAATTGTAGGTGCTTCTAATCGATAGTTCAGGGCATCTGATACGAGAGGGCTTAACTCCCTCCTTGTTCAGATTTGGTATCTATTTTGAGGTTGGTCTCCGCTTCAACGTAATGCCCAGCTCAATTAAATTTTTATTCACTTCTTGCAACAGCCCATACCATGGGTTTTACGTCGCCTTCGTAGGTGCCCGAAACGGTTGCCTCAACCACTAGATTCCATACCAATTTTTGAACTCATTCTAAATGAGAGAGCATGGTCGCAGAGCTCTCGAAGACACTCGGCAGGGACCCTTACACCTGCGGTCTCACCGGAAAGAGTTACACTATGGCTCAAGTGCGGGGCCACCGCAACGGTATCACCCCTCTCGGGCTTAGTCGAGTCCTTCTCTAGCAGATCTATCTGGAAATTAATCTCCGCTACTTCCTCCAGTTGATAACGTTGTTGTTGATGACGGACCATTAACGCCCACTACTAGTGATATGGGCTGGTCAGCAAAGTCTACCATTCCCGCAACTTCCCATCCCCCGTATCAACAATACTATCAATTGCCCAATACCCTCCACTCACCTCGCCGATGTCTCCAATCGCTAATTTCACAGGTATCTTCGCACCCTTCATTGGATCCTTCCCAAGATCCCCACCCAGGCTTCCAACATCAGTCTTGTTCCAACCAGGACAACAACAATTGATAAGTCTTGAAAGTACAGCCGTGAGTGCATTGACGCAGGACTTACCCACATTGAAACTGCCCTTAACATAGTTCCAACGGGATTCTTCCTCCATATCGGCCTTGACAGACTGTAAATAGATGTCTGCGGGATTGTCAAGGCCGGCTAGTGTCAACCAGGAGGAGCTGAATTGTTCTTGAATATCTTTGGGGTATGAGCTAAGTTTGGAGGAACCGGACGCTGTAACATTGATGATTCTCGATCCCTCACTCTCGGCCATCCCCCCCCCTATTTAAGAATAGCTCGACACATATTTCTCGTAGCCCTATAATTCATGTCAAAAGACTTGACAGTGTTTTCGTAGTTATACTCCCGGTCGAGGGCGACCGCGGCGTTGTTGATCAAAATATCCACCGGTGGATTAATCTTTGAGATGAGGCTTTGGATGGATAAAGCTGAGGTGATATCAAGTTGCTCGAAGTGGATAAGGTTATTGTGGAGTGGTTTGATGTCTAGGGGGACAGACTCCCGAGATGTGGCGTAAATTGTAAGGGGTGGGTCGTGAGAAGTTTGAGCGAGAAGACGACGTATTGCTTGGCCAAGTCCACGATTTGAGCCCGTTACTATGATGATCATGTTTTTATCCATTTCGAGGAGTGACCGTGTAAATGTAGTATGGTTGAGAACTGACGTAGGCCGTAGTGAGGGATTTTTGCTGGTGATTTTGCTTGATCAAAGAGGATTGAAACGCCTGTATTTCGTGGGAATGCTCCTGTTCAAGTCTTTAAATTGGTGCTAAAATGGATGAGCGAGAGAACAAAGCTGACAATACCATTCCATATTATATTACCCAGTTAGGCACGGTGAGATAGCTGGCCACCCGCATGGATTATACATGTGGGTCGCTCGCCGAACTGAAATCGGCAACTGCATTCGGTGGTCGATCCCCGTATGCCCAGGCATCATTTTTCTCATGGACTGAGAATGGATTGCTTATTCTCCGTACAGCTGAAGACCTTTAAGGAACTAGTAGTATCTTCTCCAACTCCAATGTAGAGAAATAGCCTATCCGAAAAGCTCTTCGCTTCCTTTGCATGTCTTGTGTTATAGATAAGCGAACCTTTTCGCAGCCGGTCGCGTAAATACAGCATATAAAGGCGTCAGGAATGGACGGCCAAGATCAGCGACGCTACTAACTAATCACGAACTGCATATAACTATTGCTAATAAAGTTGGCTTGGTACCATGACATGTCATAGATACCTTCCGCACTAGCGAGGCTGCCACTCGACTCACGCCTATGAGGCGCAAAACTTTTGGCCGAGAGAACATGAGTAGTTCAATTGCATGCCTGTCTAGCGTCCAGAAAGAAAAACAGGCGACGAAGCGGGATCATGCTTTGAAAACATCCACAGGTCAGCTGGGAGAATAGATTATGAGGATACTCCATAGTTGTTTTCTCGAATTCACGCTACGAGTAAGAGGTGTCCGAATAAAACGCGTGAAACCACTCAAGTGTACTGCACATGGCCTCTGTCAGCTGACGGGTGCACGATACACTCTATTCTTAATCTCATAACCCCTCAAGCCATGAGATATATAATGGTAGTTAACTGGTGCAAGCACTTGAAGACGTCGCCGGAGGCTCCATGAATTAGTGTCTAAGAATCTTACCGGACCCCAGCATATACACAGAATATAGAAGGTCAAGTTCGTTTCGTCCGTCAAGTGACAGCAAGTCACATAATACTCGTATGTTATCCGGCGCTAGTGTCGCCGAGCACAGCCCTTCTAAACCACTATTAGTACCCCCTATATTCGCTATCCCTTTAATCCCATCGTGAATAGTGCCATTCAATTACACTATCCTCTCACTTAATTAACATCAGATCTCCTACAGCTCCTGCTCTAGAATACAATAGTAAGTATATTTTGCAACAAAGCAGCCATCCTATAGTCGCCGTCTCTATATGCCCTAGTCTACGGAGAGCAATACTCCATCAGTTTATACAAATATTCTGGTAGTTAAGGTTCCGAGCAGGGGTCAACCACTCCCATGGCGTTGCATGCCCCCCCTCCCGCCCTCCCTTCCCCAAACACTGGACGGACCCATTCCGGGGTATATCGGACCCCGCAGTTCACCGTGACGACGAGCATAACTTCAATGCCGTGCTTTTAGCAATCGCCAAGACGGACGCCTGTTTGAAACGACATAACTGCCGCGGCGTCTAGGGTTCACTCCCGTCGTGACGGTCAAATGGATATGGTAATTTGCCTCGCCGGCCATCGAACTTTGCCTGTATCCGCCTCTACTCTAGCCAACCACAGCCGCCAGACTCATCTCCTATTAATTGCTTTTGAGGTATCGGTTAGTCATTTAAGCAATCGATCGATGAATATGCAGAAACACTTCTGTTATTTGCTTTCCGGATCTTGGTTCGCCTTTTAAGCATAACTAGTCGATATGCGGAAACATTACCCAGTATTGCCGAATATAGAGCCTCCACGGTTCGGGGCCGGTGGTATTCAATTGGCCTGATGTCCGTAGAGATTGTGCTGAGAAACCTCATTCAAAACAATCTACCAGTTTGTGCTATTCGGGGTGACGTTCACGACTGGAAAGCTGATGACCCCAGAATCGACTGCCCAGCGTGTAGAGGAGAGACACCACCAGAAACACCATAAATGAAGGAAACAGCCAAGTGTCGATTGCAACCGATGTAGCTTGAAATAGTTTATTCAGAGCAGAGTTCAAAGGGAATTCTATGCATGTTCATGCCCCCCAATTCTTGTCGTTATCGCATCCAACATCTTTTGCTCTGTTCTACCTCCCCAAGGATGTTGAGAGGCATATTTCTTTGCTTGATCGATCCAACTCTCTCGTAGAGTAAATATCTTATTACACCCCTCTAAACCTACCAAGAGTCATGTAGCCTCGTCGCTAACTAGACTTGGTATGGAATACGAAAGATCCCGTCATTATCTACACGACCCGTAACATTGAAGTCGTAAAAGAACCATTTAGATGCATCTTTATCCGAATCAATTTCTGGAGGACTATGTAGAGCGCCGTGGCCTCCTGGTTGTATTTTAATATTAAGCGGGCAAGAGCAGACCTGCTCGCAAAAAGTCGCTCCCGAGGGAGTAGACACGATTTACTGTGTCGCCTGGAATATCCTTGAGATGGGCGCGGATGATTACTCGAGTTGGATTGCCGTCCATTTTGACTTAGGTTATCCGATTTGCGAGCGATTATAGTAAGAGTCGGCACTAATGAAAGATGATTGGCAGGCGCGCTTGAAGAGGGCGAAGATATATGGAGGGACGCCAAGTGCGAGCTCGAGAGGCGCCCATTGAGTTCGAGGCCGGATTTTCATTCCTCTGGTGTAACGCTATCTGATGGTCTCTAATTGGTAGGGAGCTACAGGAGCCTATACACTGGTCTTGGCAGCCGCTTCATCTGGCGCTGTTTTCGGCGGGTAGACTTATTTAGCCAGCAAACCGTCACTCTATTAGATCTCACGTGAAACATCTCCCGCTTTCAAGACACAATCCCTTTGGCTCAAGGCAATAAGCAGCGTGTGGTAATTTACGGGCCGTAGAAGATCAGCTACGCCTAAGTTACTATTAGTACTATAATCCAATTTCTGGAAATACTACTATTTGAGTTACAAAACTCGTTTGTATATTAAGAACATCTTTCAATTTAACAATTTCATACCTTTTAGTTACACTTGCTGATTTTACAATATTGTTTATCACTCTGTACAGGATATTGGTAGTGGGGTCTACTCTGTGCTATACATCTCCTGGTTCAGATGTCCGCCTTCAAGGAGACGTTTGGGAATATTCTGCACTATACGCAGTAAACCGTGGTGTTATCACTTGCAGGAAATGCCAGATCTGCAAACTGCCGTCTCGTTGGCTGGCGTTTCACAAGCGATGAGATACCACAAGTCCTACTAGAAGCTGTACTTCCACTTATCGCCATAGCAAGACCAGCTAAGCCTTTTCCTGTCCGTCTGGCCCGCTGACTATACATCGTGTAAACAAGACTAAGCATATGAAACGAACCATCCCCCATTCTAATTCATCGGGATCTGAAGACGGGAGTGATGCAACGCGCTGGGTGCGGGGGACCAAGGAAATTTCCCCTCGTACTTGAGTTCTCCATACGTGTCCATGCCAGTATTTCAGGGGATGTGGATGCGCTGGGATGTGTAAGACGGAGATCGCCACACACGTGCAACGCCCCGGGATAAGCGACCATTATTTATAGGCCAAACCAGCGACCTAGCCCGGAGGAATGATTAGGCGGCGTGCCCGGTAATGGTCCCGGTACTGCGAGTACTGGGACTTCGGACTCAATAGAGAACAGAGGAGGAGTTTAACTGCAAAGCATCCAAACTATTGGCTCAACAGTTTTCACTTGACGTCCCGTCATCGTTCAACTACTTTTTGATCTCCCTCGGAATATTAAGATAAAGGTGCCTGGTGCCAACGGTATTGTGAGTGCTTCGGAACTCCATGATTCTCATCAGATCATATAGTAGGCGTTCGATCCTATTCTTGTACTCTATCCCACCTATTTCATCTGTTTGATTTCCTAACCTTAGCTATGGCGGCTTCGAAAGCGATTCAAAGTCCTGCGGAAACACCTGCGAAAAGCCATCATTCGATTCGTTCCCAGAGCCCATTTGAAAACAATGTTGACTGGTATTTGAAAGCCAAAGCCGAGCATTGTGAGAACGTTGAGCCAAAACAGAGGCCATATGCAACACATACTCATCCGGAACATGTCGACGTACTTTCTCCAGAACACAGAGAATACCTGATGCAACGCCATGGCACCTTGGAATTAGATCCTATTCCAAGTATAGGGGATGCAGATCCGTATAACTGGTCAACTTGGAAGGTATGTCACCCATGCTTAAAGCGTTTCCCTGGTTTAGCTAACCAGGAGTGTACCTCTACAGAAAACCATGAATCTCGCTCTCGTCGCCATTCATGCATGTCTCTCCACTTTCACAGCCGCAGCTATTATCCCAGCTTTTGAACTCATTGCCGAAGACCTTGGGAGATCGCTTCAAGATATAAGTTATCTTGTATCTCTTCAAATCGCCGTCCTCGGAGTTGCACCGCTTTTCTGGAAGCCTTTATCGAATCGCTACGGACGACGCCCCGTCTTTCTACTGTCTCTCATTTGTAGCTCAGTGGGAAATATTGGCTGTGCGAAAAGTCCCAGCTATGAGTCCATGTCTGTGTGCAGAGCCATCGTGGCATTTTTTATCAGTCCAGCTGCCGCCATTGGTAGCGTCGTCGTAACTGAAACGTTCTTTAAGAAAGAGAGAGCCCGATACATGGGCATCTGGACGTTGATGGTTACCTTGGGCGTTCCGCTATCGCCCTTTATTTTTGGTTTTGTCGCCAACCACGCTGGCTACCGATGGATTTACTGGGTCTTGGCAATTGTAAGTCGCTGCTTCGTCTCCTCGCAGCTAGCCCAGCTAACCAATGTTCGTAGTTCAACGGCATCCAGTTTGTCCTCTACATCTTCTTTGGCCCCGAAACCCGCTACATCCGCAACGGTGTCCCACGATACGCCTCGGACTCCAAACAGGAATACCTCACATTTGGCCGCATCGATCCCCAGCCTTTCTCTATGTGGGAATTCATTCAACCGCTTTTTCTTTTCAGGAAAATCTGCATCGCCGTACCCGCGGCCGCCTATGCCATGGTGTTCCTTTTTGGCTCTGTACTTATCGCCGTCGAACTTCCACACCTCTTTGCCCAGAAGTTTCATTTCAACGCTCAGCAGCTCGGCCTCCAATTTCTCGGTATCATCATCGGATCTATCATCGGCGAGCAGCTCGGCGGTATACTCTCAGACACTTGGATGAGTCGTCGCGCTCGTAAGATTGGTGGCCGGCCAAACCCTGAATTTCGTCTCTGGCTCAGCTATTCTGGTTATCTCCTTGCGATATGCGGCCTGGTTGTCTTCCTCGTCCGAACCGAGCAAGCACCAAATCTCCAATGGAATGTCACTCCCGTGATTGGTATTGCAATTGCAGGTGCCGGTAATCAGATCGTCACAACCGTCCTCATCACATATGCCGTCGATTGCCATCCCGAGGAATCGGCGAGTATTGGTGTTTTTGTCACGTTCGTCCGTCAAATCTGGGGCTTCATTGGCCCATTTTGGTATGATACTCCTCACGACATCTTCTCTCACACAATGAGTTCCTCTTCTCAAAGTATTTTAAAAGCTGACAGATCATCTCTAGGTTCCCGGCTATGTTCGAGAATGTTGGTGTAGCGGCAAGTGCTGGCGTTGTAACTGCACTAATCGTCGGCGTGAGTATTCTTCCAACAATGCTAGTGCAATGGCGCGGTCCACCATTCAGGAAGCGCAATAATGAGGATGTGGCTGCTCCACCAAAGACAAATGTTTCAGAGGCCTGATGTCGCTATTGCGATCCAGAGTGTGATAGGTGGAGAAATGGAGCTCTGTTTTGTAATTAATTCTTTAAACTGTAGAAATATGTGTAGTATGAGAAACTCACCGTAGAAAGTATGTCCGTCATATGCTTTAACATACTTTGCAATATTAATTCTTAGTTACGCGCACCTTTATGCGTTATTGTTCAAATGGGACCCCAAATTCAACTTAGCATACTCTACCACCCACCACAATTTCAGTTTGGACTATTTGGAATAGTTGTCACCTTCGTACTACGAGAACCCGTTTATATAATTTCAGCAGCCAAATAACAACATGTTTTGTACCAGAATGTGCTCCCAGCCATCAAATCCATATCCCGCTACCACCACCCCAAAGAATCCACATCCGCCCCTGCAAATTCAATCTACCACTCCTTTTACTCTCGCAACATGGGACTTATACCTTCACATCCTGGCTTGTTACCCTACTAGTTTATTCTCGTTAGTTCTATAATCGATTACATTTTAACTCTATATAATCAACGCGCACAGCATGTTTAGACGGCTAGCCTGTCGCTCGACAATGCAGTGGGCTACTATTCCACCACGCAAACTGCCCTCCAAATATACGAAGGTCGACGAGCAGCCTCCCAAGTTACCGACTTTGCCTCACGCATGTTCGGTACCTGGACTGCCCTTGCCTGCATTGTTCATATTTTCGCGGGCTACAAAATCGAGAACCCAGATGTATACAAGCTCACGTTGAGCACCTATGTTATCGCATTGGGGCAATTTCTAATTGAATGACTCATATTTGGAACTATGAAACCTGGGAAGGGTTTTGCTCCCGTGCTGGCTTTTGCTACTTTCTCAATCGTCTAGATGATACCACAATGGAGATTCTATGTGAAATACTAGACACGTCGAAGGGCTTCCATATTGAAAAGATGATATTGTGATAGTTTGCTCTGTGGGTTAACACTTATCTGGTAGCGATGCAATTGGGGATACATCAATATTAGATAGACCTATAGACCCGAGAGGCTAGATCTCGAATGTAGCTTGTTTGCATAATCACCAGCATTTCTGCATCTTAAGCAACAAGCACACGCTGCAAGGCAATGCAGCCAACAAGGGGAAATCTGTCCATCTCTATGGTGAGGCCGCTAACGGCTGAACATGATTCTGTACCGCTTTAATAATGGAGTAGACTATAGTCGGGGCCGGAATTAATAAAATGAACGAACTACAGAAATGGACAAAATTATACCCACATCCGGCGAGATGTTTTACATCCTACGCACATGGCTGAACGATTGTCGACGACATGGGAAATTCAAGCACCTCCTTGGATAATGAATCTAAAATTTTGCATTCCAGAATCACAGTTGCGATACCCAATATTACAGCCGTTTTCCATCCGGTAGAGGAGGCTGGATGGTACAAATTGGCCAATCATGTGTTTTGGGATGAACCTTCGGGCTGGAGCTGGTAACAACAAGTGCAAACTTTAAGAAAAGATAAATAAATGCCAATTTGATAAGACTCCACCGATTTTATGAGCACGGTCAGATTAACAGATGAGTACTGAACTTTTTTATTGGGCCGAGACGTTGAAAGGCTTCATGCTCGGACTTGGACCACGATCGCCTGAATCACCAGCCACCCCCTATTTGCTATGATCTATAATTGCCACGCTCGGGACAACACCAGCCACTATCCCTCCTACCATTCCGGTAACTCCTTGGCCATTGTCCTTCACTAGATCTTCCTTCTCCTCCTCCATGATCTATGCCTCCGCATCTATAGAGAATATGCTATACGATGGAGCTCAAAACATATACCTTCAAGTCTTACTAGGGATGATTTTTTTCTTTGTTAGACGGCCGGTCTTATTTAATACAGGTATAGTTACAGTCTGATATGTGCTACGCAACAGTTGCTGACAAGCTTACTAAGAAAGCTGTCAACATGAAAGTGTACTACTATCTCCGCGTGTTGGATGCCTAACCCCGATGCTGATGATTTTGCCGATGCAAATAGAAAAGTTTGTAATGGTGAAATGGCGGAATGGCGCTTCAGCAAAGTACAAGGTATGCATCGTGCTTCTCCTACGCTTGGCTATGGTATCTGAATCATGTTCTCGGCTCTATGAGAGTGATCTTTCGTCGCCCGCTATGCTCTATGTAGCGAATCAATGCCGGGTTCAAACCAAAAGCAGACTTTCCTTTGGCGCTGCTGGATTTGGATTCTGTAGGCAACTGGAGGCTGCAGTGCCGAAATCTAGGATGCCGTTCCAAGATTTAAGTCAGTATCAGGAAACTATCCGGAAGGAATTTTGCTGATTACGACAGCTTGCTGTATTGCAAACTCCGTATGGACAGAAACAATGTAGTACTACGAGATATCATGGGTTGAATCTCAAAGATCGGTCCTTGTCGAGATGTTCCATTGCTATTCGAAGCCATAGCGCAGTGCTGGCTCATCAAAGCGTCATTGGCTAGTGGGCAGTTTGAGCGGAAGCAATGATGCTAGCCGGCTCATGCTCGTGTCTAAATGTAAGCCTCTGTTTCAAGAAGTCACGGTGGCAGACATTGAAAGACGAGCATTCCTTATGAGACTTCTATTCGAGAGTTACTGATCGCGAAGCGTCAGCTTTCTCCGCATGCTGGAGAGATTAGAATGGCCGCGATGACACCGCGAGTTTGCCGGGAGTTGAGAGTATGTGCGGTGGATTCAGGTGTCCTTTAAACTATGGGGTGGGCTGGCGTCCCTGCCATGCCGAGGGAGGCGACCCCGACGTTGGCGGCGTTGGTAGCGGCTTAGATGGCAGAGGAATTGCAGGAGAGGGCGTATCGGGATCGGGGGAGACCACAATGGCAGGTGAACTTTGGCCCTGGGGAATATCGACGATGGAGATGATGGGAGAAGCAGGTAGGTTGTTCCGCGTAGGAGTGTGATGGACCGGCGACGGCACCTCGAGGGTGTCTCGTCGCTGCCGTGGTCTACCTCCTCCGGGCAAATCAGTAGATGGAGACGAAGAAGGGATCGGTAGCTCGAACGAGGTTCGCTCGGCCGGCAATGTATTCGCGTGCAGTATTCGAGGCCTGGTGTGCGGTTGAGGTGATGCTGCTCTCGGCGTTGTCCAACTGTTCGCTCGTTCGACACTTCGTCCAGAGGCAACGCTACGAGTACTCCCCGGCCTCGAAGGATGTTCGCGAAGCGTGGGAGTGGCATTCCCATCGGCGTCCCGGGACGGATTGTACTGGTCTCGAATCTGACGCAGCGCGTGATTTCGGTGTTCTTCCCCTGGGATCTCGGGGAAGTCAACTGCCTTTCCGCGTTTGAACTCGGAGTCGTCGAACTGGTTGTGCGCTGCGGTGCCGAGGTGGTTGCCAATCGTGGTCAACACGTTAGCTACTCGACGCCTATTGCCCGCGTCGGAGGCAGGTCGACTGACTGTAGGCACGATTTCGCTCGAGCTCTCTCCGCTCTCGTTGGAGAAGCTACGGCGCATATCGACAGCACCCGGAGTAGCGGCCGAGTGGGAGGACGCGGCAAAGCGGCCTCTCTTGTCTTCCCCCATGGAGACTTCCCGCATTAAGCAGTTGCAGTGGTGCTTGGATGCACTTGTGTTGGCTTCCTCCTTCACAGCCTTCATATTTGCTGCCAGGAGTAGGTACAGTGACCCGGCCACCGCGAGTCCAGTACCAACAATGGGTGCCCATTGGCCTACGAACCGCGTGAAATCTGTTAACAATTGAGGACGATCACGAACAAAGGGGATCACCTACCAATACTAGCTATGGGTTCCGTTTGATGCCAGACTTGAGGACTGAAGAAGTTCCTCTCGCCGATGATGAGGATAGCCAGTACTGCAGCACCGAATACCGGAATTTCCACGGCACTCAGGAACAACCTGATCAAGCTGTTGACGCTCCGCATCTTCTCGATGGTGGCACCATTCGTGCCCTCGATCGGCTCGTCAGTCCGCTCATCTCCATCTCGATCACCAAAGCGCGTCTTCCAGTTAATCTCAAGGATCTTGTTCCACATGGATATTAGCGAGAGGACGGCCGGGATGCAGCACGCAGCGGCCAGGAGCGTGGCCGTGTTGAAGGTAAGCTTGTCCGGCGCAGGGATTACGTAGATGTCCTTCGCCGAACCGCCTCGCATGGAAGAGAACGGACCTTGCGTGACAGAGCAGGTGATGCCACAAGTGGTCCCGTAAGAGAACTCGCTAGCACGGGGAGAGATGGGAGTGCCAGAGTCGTCGTGCGTGCAATCCAATGTTTGGCTCCGGAAGAACTCGACCGTCAGGCTCAGCAGCCCTTGAAAAAAGGTTTGATCAGATCTTCAACAAAATCCGACCAAGATGACCAAGACCAGTACTCACCAGCAAGAATCAGGCCGGTCCACAAGAAGATCATGTTTCGGCCGGGTTCGTAGAAGTACGTTCGGGATAGCCTGACCGTCACGGGCGCGGCCAAGATGCCTATCGAGCATAGCTGGAAAGCGCCGTAGATATCCATATCAACCGCGCCTAGAGAACGGAGCTATTAACGGATGAGGGCACAACGACGACATGAAGAATTTACCATTCACGTGTGCTGCTGCCAGGACGATGGCGTGGAGGGCAGCGACGGCCGGGAACAGCAACGCAGCTGCTACACAAGCATTCCTAAGCCATTCTGCTTTCCGAGCAAAGACGCAGGCTGCGATGAGGACATAATATCTATCACCCAAGAACGAGTTGAGGTACCAATTAGTCCGGCGCTAAGCTTATTTATGGGCGCTTGAATCTGCGCAGTGGAGAGTTGAACTGAACTCACAAGACCCGCGAACCTGGTCCATACTGGCCGGATACTGGCCAGGCGCATACGACCTGCAAAGCAGTACCGGTCACATTCGTGGCAGTCGCATTTCGATTAACGAGAGTATGCAGCAGCGGGATGGAGGTCGAGGTCGAGGAGACGGCGGGCATGACCGCTCGAGTGTCTCCAGACAAGATGGCTTCGGGATCATGGAGAGAGCAGCATTTGCAAGGACGGAGAAGCCGTCTACTATACTATAGCTGTTCGGACAGGCTCATCTTGTCCTGCAAGCATCCGCTCGTGGCTGGAAGGAGGCTCAACACAGGTAATCAGGCCCTGCATTTTGTAAGGCAACAGAGTTTCTAGGTTCGTTGACGGTTCTCGCCACCGCCCCGGTCTCTGGCCACGACCTGGGGGGCACCTCGGGGTCCTGTCATTCCATATGCGTTCCATCGTAACGCCACCTCTCGGGCCGGGGCGTTGTGGCATCCCCGTTCGGAACCCGAGAAAGCGCAGGTCAGCAATGTCACATGATGTTGCGGGGACAGGCCGACGTGTCACCCTACGCGGTGTCATCCTCCCAACCGGAGGGTGTGAGGGGAGCATGCCTTTTTGACTTCTTTGCGCGTGCTTTCGTACATCTTTACGCTGACTGTGATAGGTACCTTGAGGGAGGAACAGGAGGGGGAGACACTAAGAGCAATGCTCGAACACAGCCTGGATGGTAAATTCTTATGTAGGCCGTGCCCAAGGGCTGACTCAGCAACTTTCCCCTATTCCGGCAGGACGTTGAATGGCTGACTACGCCGTACAGGTGGTTAATTATTATAACTCTGCGCCCTGGAGGCGTATCTCGTCAGCACGTGTCGGCTCGATTGGCTTTGAATCTCGGGCACGTACAAGCGTGGATCGCAAAGGGTGGATGTATAAAAAAAGGTATTCACAATGGCAAAATCAATGCGTGGTCTTACTCCGACGGATTGATCCATGTGCTAGGCGTGGTCGTTCTGTTCCTGCCTCCTTACCCCAGCTGAACCGCCGCGAATCCTATGATGAAGGACGAGTACAAGGCATCTTTCTCACCATACTGGAACATGGAAGCCTGTTGGCTGCGGAGCCGCCCCACCACGCGCAGATCCTCCCAGGCTTGATCGTTTAGGCACCGGCAATCGCACCTCCTCCCATCTAAACAAACAAACCCAAAATTGCATTGCGACTCAAGGCTTGATCGATCCCTTGAACTCTCATCGTCACCGTCACCGTCACTCACTCTTATTAATAATCATCCGGCGCCAATGTGGTGTTTCTGTCCTACGGAAAAGCTCCCACTTGCAGGTCGAAGCCCTCTTGAGAGTATTTCAGTGCTCTGAAGTTGGCCCGGGAATCCACCTTAGGCGTCTATCGACCAAGCGCGCCTAGCTGTGACATCGCTCTGTCATGAGCGAGCTTCGAAAATGCAAGAGGTTGTTGATACAAGTCAAATTAAAAACGCGCGATCGATCGTCACGCTCATCGTTTTCATTCTCACTAGTAAGTGCAGGATATGCCTCGGCTGACCAAATCCCGTGCGGTTAACCCTCTCGCTATCGCCCAGATATCTTTGTGCTTTTTCCGTTCTATATCCCGATCTACGTCCCTCGACTAGCTTCAAATGCGGTCCTGGATGCGCTGAGCGCCTTGCGCGTGATATCGCCAAGGCAGGATTGCTCGCAGCACGATCACAAGGATGATCGGAATGGCAAAATCAAACCTTTCCTGCGACTAAACTTCCCGATCAACTTTGTTACGGCCCCCTTGATAGCAGATCTCTTTCTGCTTGCCATCTTGGCTATTGGCCGACAGGAAGTGCACGATGGCACGATCGGGGCGAACAACATTAATCCTCTGGACATCATGATTTTCTTCATCACGCTAGCATACATCGCTATCTCGATTGACGCCTCCGGTCTGATCAGGTACCTAGCATTCAAAGTGCTTCAAAAGGGAGGCAAGGTTGGGCACAGACTGTTCCTCTACCTCTATGTCTTCTTCTTTGGCCTAGGAAGCTTCATTGGAAATGACCCTATTATTCTGTCCGGCACGGCGTTTCTCGCCTATATGACCCGGGTGTCGAGCAACATCATCCATCCACGAGCATGGATCCACACCCAGTTCGCCGTGGCGAACATTGCCTCAGCGATCCTTGTCTCCTCCAACCCGACCAACCTCGTGCTCGCCGGTGCTTTCAAGATTAAGTTCGTCGATTACACCGCAAACATGATCGTTCCTGTCGTTGTCACGGCGATTGTCCTGTTTCCTTTCTTGCTATACATCGTCTTCGCCGACGAATCTCTCATCCCGTTATCGATCAAGATGCATGAGCTCTCCGAGGAAGAGAAAGCCAAGAAGCCCGTGAACCCCAACATTCCTCACGCTAGAGGAAACGATGCGGAACTGGAGAACGATCTTGCGGACAACGAACAAGGCAAGCATCTCTCACTTGAAGAAATTATGAACCCTTTCCTAGACAAGGGCGGCGCAGCGTTCGGAGCCGTTGTCATGGCTGCAACGCTCATTACCGTCCTGGCGCTCAACGCTGCTAGCCAGAGCAAAGGCGAACATCCAGTCTTCTGGGTGACCTTGCCAGCCGCGGTTGTCATGTTCTGCTGGGACGTCTCGTTCGGATGGTACCACCGGCACGAGACGCGGGAAATTGCTCACAGGCGTCGAAGGGAGGTTGAGCTTACTCGAGCCGAACGAGCGATCAGAGAGGAGGACGAAATGAAGCGAGCGAGCCTAGAGCAAAAGGAGCGAGATGCTAAGGCGGCATACGAACCTGCTCTGACGTTGACGCACTCACCGGAAGCCCTGCTACAGAGCCAGAGCGGCGCTACTAGTAGTAAGATCAATATAAAGGCAACGAACGAGATCACTCTAGCGACTGATAGCCCCAGCACAAGACCACAATATCTGGGTTCTCCGCTGCCTCCTACTCCCACGCTTCTTGCATCTGAAAACAGCGACAGTCTAACTCTGGAGTCGAATCCGCCTCTTGAATCGTCGGTTTCAATGCTCGTACCGGGATACGATCAGTTGCAGAATAGCCGACCATCGAGCAACGCGATAAGCACGCTAGACGAGAAGCAAGAATTAGCCCGCGCAGACTCTAGCTACTCGCCTCAGCGGCAGTTAGGTACGACATCGAGCGGGGAGATGGACGAGAAGAAGCCCACGTTCTCCGCCAGGATCTCGCGCGAGGTCGCGCTTCGACAAGAGCGTGGACGGCCGACACTCGTATCGCTTGTCGCGAATGCGTACAGATGGTCGCAGGAGACCTTCCCTACCGTCACAGCAGTGGTAGCTCACCTGCCATTGGCTCTCGTGCCTTTTGCTTTCTCCATGTTCGTCCTCGTCCAAGCGTTGCTCACCAATGGTTGGATCCCGGTGTTCGCTTATGGATGGGACCATTGGGTGACAAAGACAGGAACCGTTGGCAGCATTGGTGGCATGGGCTTCCTCTCTGTGATTTTGTGTAATGTGTGTCCCTGCATCCATATATATGGCGACGACAGTTATTGAGCGTGATCAGCTAACCTACATCACCTATCATTAGTTTGCAGGCACGAATATTGGTACCACAATCCTGCTGTCCCGCGTAATACAAGAATGGCAAAAGATCCATCGCAGTAACGGGATCCCCATCACCGATCGGACATTCTGGGCAACAGTGTACAGCATGGCGCTCGGCGTCAACTACGGTGCATTTAGCACGGCATTCAGCGCGTCGCTAGCGGGTCTCTTATGGCGGGACATCCTTGCCAGGAAGCACATTCGCGTCCGAGGTCTCGATTTTGCGCGTGTAAATCTTCCCATCATCGCTATCTCCATGGCCGTCGGCTGTGCCGTCCTCGTCGGCGAGGTGTACATTATGAGGGATAGTTCTCCTTACGATCTCAGGTGACCACCGCGGCATTGGGGGAACAGCTAGAATTTCTATAGACCTCGTCAGCTTAGCTCGCTCATTCAAAGGTTGATATTCAACGCTGATTCTACAACCAAGTTGAGCAAAAGAGAAGCCCGCTCTTCAGGAAGAACTGCTTTGGCAACTGTGACTGGTGCTGGAAAGGGCGAAGATGCTGAGGACCAATAATCTTGAGAAGAAAGGTAACTATCTACCGAGAGCAAGGTAGGGATCTCTGTGTCAGGGGTGCGAGATGGCCTATTACCGTGAGATGGTCCGCTTGTAGTAGTAATTCAGCCAACGGCTATTTCGATAGTAGTAGAATTACTTAAGGTAAGTTACTAGTTATCTACAACAGCATACTCTAACTGTCCTAGTATCTCCTCAAGTAATTCTAAGTATAGTACCTTATCTTTACGTAGAGTTTATACCCGTAGATATCACAAGTCATTATTATAAAGATGCAAAGGATGTTGTTAATGTTGTACTTGAATTATTACGAGAGTCGCTGTTATTATTATAACTACTATCCATTTTTATTTTTATTTTTCGTAATACACATTATAGATAGTTAAGGAAACGAGAGTAATTTGCTTCGTATTATAACAACGTTTAATAATATTAGCTAACTCTAGGGAATAACCGTAGTAGTTGGGGAGCACTTCGACGCTACTGGCGGGGTGTAGACTGAGGGGTCCATCGGTAACAAGCGGCAATCGCTCTCTGCTTAGTAGGAAGATTCCATACTACCCCAACACACTATCATATAATACCCGCTTCCCGGATGGCTATACATAATAGGAAACTCTCGATGCCATTTAAGCTTGCTGCTGGCGCCAATATTAAATATCTTCATTTGCAATTGTTAAGTATATCCTCAATTGACCTGACTATCAAGCACTCAAACCAGACAGCCAACTAATCTTAACTACTTCTCCATGGCGTCTCTCCATGGTAAGGTGATATCTATTACCGGCGCCGCTTCGGGCATTGGCCTGGCGCTTGCTCGTTTGGCGGGTGCTCGCGGAGCCAAATTGGCATTGGCTGATATCCAAGCGGAACCATTGCAAAAGGTAATTCAATCACTGAATATATGAGCATCATGTTTTGACTCTAAGACAGCTGGTTGAAGAATTAAAAGCTGCGGGTACAGATGTAATCGGCACGACCCTAAATGTAACCTCTAATCAAGATGTCGATGATTGGATTGCTGGGACGGTCAAGCACTTCGGACGGCTAGACGGCGCTGCAAATATTGCCTGCGTCACGAGCAAGGAGGCAGAGTATCCTCATCTGACAGAGGTGTCCAACGAGGAGTGGGAATATGTGATGGGCATTAACACGACTGGCCTCTTCTATCTTTTAAGAGCTCAGCTACGCGTCATGAAAGAAGGCGCGTCAATTGTCAACGCGTCAAGTGGGACTGGACTGGTTGGCCGGCCGGGAATGGCCGCGCACTCGGCCAGCAAGCACGCTGTAATTGGTCTGACAAAATCTGTTGCCAAAGAATACGGGTCGAAGGGTATCAGGGTCAATGCCGTTGCACCGCAAGTCGGGTCCATATACCGCAAAATTGTTACTCTCACAATGCCTCCTCTAACATAAAAATAGAGGCACGATCAAAACTCCAATGTTGGCTAGGGTGTATGGGGAGACTAAAGAGGAGTTAAAATCAATGTTCCCTATCCCGCTAGCTCGGTTTGGCAAACCCTCTGAAGTAGCAACGCTGTTTGCTTTTTTGCTGAGTGGTGATTCGAGTTATATCACAGGGACTGTGAATACTGTTGATGGGGGCTCCCTCGCTTGAGTAATCATTACGCTGATAGGTAATAATGGATACTTAGACAGTTTTGATTAATTATTATGAAAGCAACTTGGGGTTTTCTCCGCTTTCAACTGTAAAAAGAATCCAACGCGTCCCGCCGACTGCTAATCTCGAAGGATAATTTCGGAAATCCCATCATTGACTTGATAAAAATTAGTATTAATTACCCTTGTCCTGTCTTACCGGCTGCTTTCGGCAGTAATTCGCGTAGCCGCGGTGTATGCTTTATAGCGGGGCATCTGAGGGGTAAACCCCTCCCTCCCTTTAGAATATCCTCTTAATACCGGATCTAGTCCTAATCTTGAGGTGAATTAGTGAAAGTTTCAACTTTTCGTTGCTTACATTCCCGGTCCATGCCAAGATAACATTCTGTGGGCAGTAATATAAGTTATATAACGTCACGCCATCGCCGCAATATTAATATTAGTGAGTATTCTTCAAACCTGATTCGCGTCAGCTGGCACATCTAACCCATCTTTGAGTCAAAACTTCTTCCTTCTAAGCGTCTGTACCGTTGCTTCAAGATGCCTGTTTATCACATTGGTAAGTTGTGGTATCTTTCGTAGCTCTGGAGATCTCTAGCTAATACTTCTAGGTATGTTTAAACTCAAGCCAGATGCCGACAAAGCAGGCTTGACAGCTATGAAAAATGACTGTGAAGCATTGGCTACCAAGATTCCAGGTACGTCACTTGTTGCATTCTCCACAGTGGATTTCGTATACGCTGACACAGTGACAGGTGTGCTGAGTGTCACTGTTGGACCTCCCATGCCACCAGCTAGTCGTACTGCGGGCTACGGTCTGGCGATGGTTGTGGTGTTTGATAAGCACGAGTCGTACAAGGCGTACATTACGCACCCAGAGCATTTAAAGTAAGCATACTGACTCAACTCACTGTATTGGCTGACTAACATTGCTCTGCAGTGTTATGCATTTCAAAGACGAGTTGACAACTGAGTCCTTTTCATATCAGCTCGAGTTTTGAGCGGCGTTAGAACAATTGTTTAGGCGAGAAGCTTCATGTGTAATCACGCGTTAGACGAAAGAGAGCCCTGAGACAACCACTAGTACAAGGCGACTCTGCTTTCATATAGTAATGACCAAGTTACATACTTCTGTTAACTCCTTTTGCTGCTTTTGATTGGAAAGAGTCATAGACTACTTCACTTCCAACTCAGTGCTTTCTTGAATTTTGTCATAGAATATGTAAATACGTATTTGCTGTGGAATCACTTTTCGTAGGCAATACTATCGTATGGATTGAGTTTGCTCTGTTGTGGCTTACCCATCGTGAAGAAATATTGCTTTACTCGCGTTGAAGAGTAAAAGAATGAGCATTGAAATTACATATTATTCAATACTTGTTGACGCCCGGGTAATCAACACTGCTGGCCGCCTTCTGCCGCTTGCCACACACTGATGTATCCTCAAAATCATCCAAATTGAGATCAAGGTACCCAGATGTGCTTATCTCCCTGGGGACAATAGCAATTGATCGACCTATTCTCAGATAAGCTACAAACACAATGCAGAATGCAGTTGGAAAACTGTAGTACTGTACATACCGTTGATAGATGGCTGAGTTGCAATACACATCGCAGCAGTTGCTGCATCCTCTATATGACCGAATACCAGCCTGTGAGCCTCAAACTTCGCGAGGACCGCATCTCGGAAAGTTGGGTGCATTCCAGGTGTTGGGGTGAACCTTCATAGTGTTAGTCATAATTTTCTGTATATCATATATGCCTTCAAAATTCTAAGTCGCACGTACTAGGGAGATATTGAGTTAACCCTCATCACTCCTTTGCGTCTCATATGGACCATCAGGCCTCGAATAGCGTGTTTTGATAGCGCGTACAGTGCTGCGCCTTCCGAATCAATGTAACCCATGATACTGCTAAGTAATATAAGACACTTTTCGGACGGGGCTCCCTCCTGTTTGTGGAAATAGAAGGCGGCAAGATTTGTTGTGTAAATGACTCCAAAAAGGTTGACGTCAAATAGTCCCACATTGGGCTTCGTGGGCTTATCGTTCTCAATTCCTATCTATAATTAGCCTGTACGACATAAGTCGGAAATAGTTGCCAAACCATCGAGGATATCAGGACCGTAGACACCGGCATTTGCGATCACAATATCGATTTTATGCGTTGGAGATTTGGCAATGGCAGTTTCGAACATGGCGACCTGATCGTCCCAGGAGGAAGTGTTGCATTTAACATATATTGATCTTGGACATTATTAATCACGCCCTTCCACGAAATGTAATTCCAAGTTGTGGTTGTACGCAATTTGAAGGATCATATTCTGCAGCTGGTGGATTAATATCTCCATTTACGACATATGCTCTGCTTTGAGTTAGCTGAAATGATAACATCAGCTGAAAAGAGTACAACCCCATTTTTGAGGAAGATATTGACGAAAGCGTTACCCAGTCCGCTGCTTCCTGGAAATATGTTAGCATTCAATCAGAATGCGACGGTATCAGCAATTCATACCCCCGGAAATGATAACCGTTTTTCACAGCGCTCAGATCGATACTTGCAAGGTGATCAATAGGGCCACCATTTTTGTAGAATCGAGTAGTCATTCTTAAAAGAACTTTTATCGGGCAGTTTTCTCAAGCGATGGCAAACAATTCAGTCTACTTTAAAGGAGCCGCAAAAGAGTTGAAATAGCTCGTTTTAACGCATTTGATATGCTTCGTCCCTTTATACATTTAAATGAAATACCCTGACCATATCTCACTAGTTTGGTTGTCAGATGTTTACCGTGAAACTAGCGACGTCGTTGAAGCATTACCGCAGCACGATAGTGGTTCCAATAGAGTTACCGGCGCGGAATGCGGGGTAATCTATTTCCTAGTCAGCTTTAACTTGCCAACTACCTATCTCTAAGTTACCAATTTTACTACCTAGGTCTAATTGGTGGCGGCGCTGGTGGATTCCACAGACTCCAAACGCTCACGGCGATTCATGTGTGGACTTCGGCAGGGATCGGCACATGCAACGACGATTGCTCTACCGAGAATCTAAACTGGTTTTCTGAACATCGAGACAAATAGATAGTCCAAGTCTAGGGTATATAAACACTTTGCAATCGGGGGCGCGGGTTGGTGTCTGCAGTACGGATGGCGCTTCTGATATATTAAGGAGTTAGATTTTGCTAGGGGTGGGCTAAATTGGAGAACGCTGATATTTATCGCATGTTACGCAGTTCGCTAGTTACAATGCAATAGTGCAAACAAGTTTTAAAATACCTAGGTAGGTAGATCATTTATTCTTTAATGGATTCGAGATATGGATGTATGATGCACGCCATAGCGGACTGGGATAATGATATTACAGGAGTTTGATTTGCAAGAGTTCGATATGCAAATATGAGACTAAATGAAAATAAGTACTCTCAGAAATAAAATGACTGGAATCGACGAAGTATAAGCAATTTTCTTTTTATTCTAAATCGGGAGTAAAGTTACTCTAAACAACAAATTACTACCTAGTCTAGGATTACAGATCCATAGTATTACAGTTGATGCACATTATCCACATTCTCCTGTCAATCTTATTAACACATAGATCCGCAATGGTATGGAGCTTCTGTCTTGAACAATCGCCACACATATTATAGTCTTTTGGTCATCTACAAAGACTGGCCCCTTACAGCAAAGCCAAGCAATGGGAGGTGTATCTGACTAAGAGTGATCACCACGAAGAGTGGAAATATAGGTGTTTATTTCATTTAGATATTGTTCTGCATGTCTTTGTACTTTGTCTCAAAACCTGTGGGCATGTTGATATTGCCATACTCGGTGTTGTGCTCCTCGTTGGCAAACTCCTTGTCACTGCCAATGTTGCTGTGCATGTGTGCAGTTGAACCGCCATTTATAGCAAGATGTTTGGTCTAGAGTGAGGCTATTGGTCTCCAAGTTGAAGAGCACTTCAGTAGTATCGCTAAATAAGGAGCGAGGATAGTAATGTCAGGGCGCGAAAAGCGACGGATCACTGTAAGGCTCACGAACACTACGTAGGAGGGGCAACCAACCACTGCAAACACATATCCAACTGCTCTTACAAAATACAAACCCAGGTTCAGAGGTGAGAGGCTATTACGAGAACACGATTCGCACACGGAGTTCTTCAGAACACGGTTCGGGACTACTGCACGAAATCGGCACGGTCGACTCTAGCTGCATAACCTACGGCTTACACAACGACCATGAAAAAGCAAAGGCAGAAGGCGTATTGTGGCCGGCGTTATTTCCGGTTCCAGCTATAAAATATGCCATGGTACGACTAACACAACATTCAAGCCGACAAACGACAAAGTGCGACGACTAAGGGAGAAGAAAACATTGGGAAGGGAATGTACCGGATATGCGGAATAGCCCACTTTGCTCGCTCACCAACAACCACCATAAAAATCATCACATAAGCTGTGATGTTGCCATGGCGCTCTCCCCACTTCTCAATTGGAATAGCCGACGCCGAAGCCGAAGCCGAAGCCATCAGTGTGCTCTGCACGATTACGGTAGTACTCGTAATGGTCGCTTCAGCCGCACCCCGCGCCCCGTGCCCCGCTCTCCCCCATTCCCCGACTTCAGTCAACTACACAATCTGCGCTAAACAGTTCTGAGCTATTCCCGCTTTAGACTACTTAGATATGAAGTTCTACAATTATAAATATCCTTTGGGCCTCAAAATGCGTATGTGCGCAACATTTGGATATATTTTGCAATCTCAACCACTACTCCTACTCACAATCACTCATCACTCATCACTCTGCCTGGTTACATAGAAACCTAGCTCCTCGCTCCTTGAAGAGACTCAAACAATTGGAAAGTTGTCGCCATGGTGCCGGAACCGCCCCTGGACTATGATGTGATTATTATCGGAGCCGGACTTTCCGGTATTTACTCGCTCATAAAAATGCGAGAACTTGGATTACGCGTCAAGGTTATTGAAGCTGGTAGTCAAGTCGGAGGCACGTGGTATTGGAATCGCTATCCCGGTGCTCGGTTTGATTCCGAAAGTGTTTCTTATGGCTTTTCCTTCTCGAAAGAGATCTTAGATGAGTGGAAGTGGGATGAGAGTTTCTCCCCGCAGCCGGACACCGAGAGGTATTGCAACTTCGTTTGTGACAAGTTCAATCTTCGCACTGATATGCAATTCGACACTCGAATTCAAACGGCTCAATATCATGCAAGAAGTCGGTCCTGGCAATTAACAAGCGAGAGTGGAGAGACCTTCACCTCAAGGTTTCTCATCACGGCCTTGGGACCATTGACATCAGCTACTCTGCCAAATGTACCAGGCGTACATGATTTTAAAGGACAGTCTTTTCACACTTCTCGGTGGCCCGCGGGTGGCGTGGACCTTTCAAACAAGAGGGTGGCGGTCATTGGAACTGGAGCCACAGGAATACAAACCATCCAAACAATTGCGAAGGATGTTGGCCATTTGACCGTCTTTCAGAGGCAGCCGAACTGGTCAAAACCTCTACACAACACAAAGATATCCGACGAAGAAATGGCAAAGATTCGACTCCGCTACCCAGAAATTTTCCAGCGCTGTAAGGAAACCTCTAATGCCTTTATACACAGCGAAGATCCTCGAAACACATTTGACGTCAGCCAAGAGGAACGAGAGGCTCTCTGGGAGACCTTGTATGCAACGCCGGGATTTGGTATCATCTTGTCAAACTTCAAAGATATACACACGAACAAGGCAGCAAATGACCTCGTTAGCGAATTTGTCGCGAACAAAATCCGCTCACGTGTCAATGACCCAATCGTTGCAGAGAAGCTGATTCCGACAAATCATGGTGTTGGTACAAAGAGGTTGCCGCTTGAGACACACTATTTTGAAGTTTACAACCAGCCCAATGTCGACCTCGTCGACCTTCGCGACACTCCTATCGAGTGTATCACCGAAAAGGGCATCAAAACTACCGAAAAAGAGCACGAGTTTGACATCATTATCTATGCCACTGGCTTTGACGCCATCACTGGCGCCTTTGACGCGGTCAATTTCATCGGGGTGAATGATGTGAAACTGCGAGACATGTGGAAGGCCGGCCCACAAACATATCTTGGCATGACTGTTGAGAACTTTCCAAACATGTTCATGATCATGGGTCCACATCAAGCAATGGGCAACATCCCGCGAAGCATCGAGTACGCCGTCGGGTGGGTGTCACAACTCATAGCGTATTGCCACAAACGCGGTATCACCTGGGTTGAACCCACACCAGAGCTTACGGATGAGTGGTCCACGCACGTCAATAATTGCGCAGTGGGCCTTCTCTCCAACGATGTAGACTCGTGGTTGACGGGCGTGAACAAGAACGTGGCAGGCCGGCAGAAGCGCATTATCCTGCGCTATCAAGGTGGAATTCTTGTATTCAGGAAGTACTGTGATGGTGTGCAGGCAAGTCAATATGCTAAAATGAAGCTGTTGTAGCGAGTTGAATTTGATTAGATTGAGGATTACATAGATCGCGGAACGACCAAAGAATTCTTAATTAAACTTTTCAATTACATACTGCTAAGATCGTTTCCGTGATATTGCGTTCCTTGATTACATATCGGATTTTTTGATCACCTTGCCTATACTGTAGAAGACACATAGCACCCACTGAAGGTACTTCATCCACATATTAACGCGTACAATCGTGGTCTTATATTGAGTTACAAGTGGCCGCTTTAGGAAATGGGTTCGCGTGCAACTCGCTTATGGCCATTAAACTGAGTCACGCTGAGAACCCGCCGACGGTCCATCAAACGTATCATCGGGCTTGGGCTGCCGAGAGATTTGGTAACAGATAGAAAACGCAGTTGCATCAATAACAATTTATTGGAGAGTTAAACGCCTGCGTCTCTCGCAGCAAAAGTACCTAGGTAGCCAATCACTGCGGCATTTTGGAGAGTCCAATAACTTAGGCAAACACTCTCAGATATGAAATAGAAACTTTTAAGTTACTGCGGGAGCTGTAGAATAGCGCGATGTCTCATATCATGGTTAAGGGGGTTTGCTGCTTCAGAGTAGCTCAACCCTTCTTCCATTGAAATTGTCATGGATAACTGATATACCGACGCTGCTGGCGCCGAAACAGTTTTTAACGCCTTAAATGCAAGTGATTTATTAAGCATCATCATGGAGACTACAACTGCGAAGATTGAAAGCATGAGATGCTGCTTCGGGGTTGCTTCTCTGTCTCCCTCATGCAGATATTGGAGATGGCCCATCTGTCGCTTCCGCTGCTAGCTGTTCGATACAAAGGCACAGCCACTGGCCTAGTTGAAGTTCTCTGTACACCTACGAGTAACACTCTCGGATCCTCGCTAGTTTGGAGTGCTGTCGGCTGTCGACGGCAATCTACTTTGAGGTAGCCGTGCATGACTCGCTAACCCTGCCCACCAAGCTTTCCGTCCTTGCGCGACTCAGGCAGCGGTTAAGGGTAATTTTGGGGGCAGGGAAATGGGGTGCGCTGGGTCTAGTGTACCTCTTGCCGGTGTATCTTTTGCCGTACTGTTGACGGCATCTCATCTTTGCGACGTTAAGCTCGGCTGTTTGCTCTGGCATCTAACTCCTCAGTGCAGTGGGCTGATAGATCTGATGTGGTTAGCCAAGTCAGTGCTGGCTGGCTCTGCAAGAGAGCAGATGTATATAGATGTCTACAATTGTTTCAATTCAGTTTAACAAATCACCATAATCTACTCTTCGTTGTGTTCCTGTTACCTCCACCACATCCGCCCACATCATGACAATCAACTATGGATCAAATGAGGCGCTCTCAGCCAAAGTCCCCGATAATGGCGAAGTTCCCAGTATCGGTGCCCCTCAAGCAGATGGCCATCTCAGCACGATCTTGAATGGCACGAAAGCTTCACATACCAACGGCACATCTTCTCCTAGCAAATATGCCATCCCCTTGAACAACCAACTAGCGTTTACTCCCCGCAAACTGCGCGTCATTACCATCGGTGCAGGGTACTCCGGTTTGATGGTAGCGCATAAGTTCCAACATCGCTTTCCGGAGATGCAAGACATAATTGAGCACAAGATATTCGAAGGTCGATCTGAGGTAGGGGGCACATGGCTAGTTAATACCTACCCTGGGGTTCAATGTGACGTGCCAGCTCAAATCTATGTAAGCAATAAACTCTCATTTTCCCTACTGATAGGCGTTTACTAACTTCTCGTGTTAGGCATTTCCATTCGATCCCAATCCAAATTGGAGCCATTTTTATGCGAGCGGAGCGGAAATTCAGGAGTACATCAAAGCGACCGTGAAGAAGTGGAACCTCGACAGAGACATTCAGCTAAATACTCAAGTTACCAAAGCTGAGTGGCAAGCAGAGGAGGGAGTCTGGAAAGTGTCTGTAGTGCACGATGGTAAAGCCCGCGACGAATATGCTGAAATTTTGATTTCAGCTCAGGGAGTACTTCTGTAAGCTGCAGGAAAGATGGAAATCGCAGAAAGCTAATACGTTACTCAGTCATCATCACTGGCCTGAGATCCCGGGTCTGAAGGACTTTAAAGGTCATGTCACGCACTCAGCAAATTGGGACCACGATTACGATTACTCTAACAAACGCATAGCCGTCATTGGCAACGGATCGTCGGGAATTCAAATCGTGCCTCAAATGGCCAAGCTGCCCGGAACAGATGTTACAAATTTTATACGGGGCCCAACCTGGGTCACATACAGAGTATCGCCTTCAACCCATCTGGGTCGACCATCTGATGAGTCCAATCCAAGTTACCTAGAATCGGAAAAGAAGGAATTTGCAGAGAATCCCACAACCATGAGAGATCATAGGAGGGCGATTATTTCACGAAGTACCAAGGCCTTTCGCATGGTAATATTTCATCGTTCAAGCCATATTTTTATTGGTTGCTGACGAGTTTCGCAGTTCATCAAAGGCTCAGATACAAATATTGAGGGCCAAAAGTTTGCAGTGGCGCAGATGTCAGAAAAGTTGGGCCACGATCCAGTCCTCTGCGAAAAGCTCATTCCAAAATGGGACTTGGGATGTCGCCGAGTGACTCCAGGCCCAGGTTACTTGGAATCGTTCCTCCTGCCCAATTGCCACCTCACAGACAGCGGTATAACGAAGATTTCTGAAAACGCAGTTCATACAGCGGACGGCAAAGTTCATGAAGTAGACGTCGGTTAGTTGATATTCATCTATTCATCAATTTAATTGAACTATAGCGGCTAACATGTCGAAGTGGTTTGTGCAACCGGATTCGACACCTCACATTGTCCTCATTATCCTATCATCGGCGCTGGAGGCGTTGACCTCGCAAAAAGCTGGAAGGATGACGCACGGTCTTATTTGTCTGTGTTATCTGCAGATATGCCCAATTACTTCATCATGAGTGGACCTAACGCTGTTGCTGGTCACGGGTCGCTTATCGAAGTGATGAACTGGACTAGTGATTACTTTGTGAAATGGATCCAAAAAATTGCGACGGAGGATATTAAGTCAATTGCGCCCAAACACTCCATTGTGGAGGCATTCAACCAATACGGTGATGAGATTCTGAAGACGTTGGTATGGACTTCAGACTGTAAGAGTTGGTACAAGAGAGGCACTGTTGACGGCAGAGTGACTGCACTTTTTGGAGGAACGAACATCCTGTATAAGAGGATTATTGAAAATATCCGTGGAGAGGACTTTGACATTGAGTATAGAAGCCCGAACCGCTTCAAGTTCTTTGGAACTGGCTTCACTCCATATGAGGTAGACGACAAGAACGATATGGCATGGTATGTGGAGAAATAAGCGGGAATGAAGATTAGATCTATACCCAAAGTGTAATACGCATAGAATCAGAAGTAGAGGCGTTATATGCAGAGCAACATTTGTCATTGAGAATCGGTATCCTGAACCTCCTACCAGAACCACTGGAGAACTGCTTTGAACCGATCCACCCGAATAGTATTTCGATCGCGACTAGGCTTAACATCGACTCGTACAAGAAATCCACCCCCATGTGATATTAGAGCATCGATACACACTACCTATAGCTGAGGTACCTACTCCTTTCCACTATTTTCACGTGAGCACACTAGCACTCCACGGTACCCGAAGCGGGGGGGAAAGTCCCACGCATTCGGGCTAGCCGAGGAGCGGGGGTTTCTTAGTAAGGCGGGGCCCCAGTAAATCGCCCCCCTGGAACTTTCCGCTTGCATGCTATCAACCTCATCCCCAGCATCACAGTGCCGTCCCTGGCAACCAACATCACCATCATCTCTTCCGTCCAACTCTAATACCGGTCGAAGCCAACCGTGACAAGGTCAATAGCTAGGATCTAAGTTGTCGCTTCATATTGCTGTCAAAGTCACGATGACGGCAACTATGTCGGCCAACAGCTGGATTGAGCAGAGTGTCAACGCACCAAAACGGAAACGTGCAGGACTTGTCTGTGTTACATGTCATGAAAGAAAGATCAAGTGCGACCTGCAGAATGATATCGACTCAGTTCACAAGCGCTGCTCAAATTGTGCTACAAATGGCCAGGAATGTCGGGTTCGAGCATCGAAGCGTGGCTATCACCGCGCTCAGCAAACGCAAGCTCCTTCACCCAGGGCTCAATCGGGACCAGTCGATGAGCTTCCAAGTGCCCTCTATACACCACCTCAAAGTACAGCAACCGATGAAAGGATATCTATAGATTATACACAACCAACGATCACGCCCCGCGGCCCAGATAGCTATCCTTCGCGCCACGAAGGAAGCCATGACCAGTACGCGGCGCTGGCGATTAACCCTATCGATGTACCTGCTGCCTCCCAGATTGGGGCAGGAGCTCCGGCGGAAGGCAGGTCCGTAGCGTCGCCACAGTCAAGCCGCAGCAAGGCCACGGAAGCCTACCTTGGTGATGCCGGGTTTCTCCAGGTCTTTACCCAAGATTATCGAGACTACGCAAGTGGCCGGCAGCCAGGTCCCAGGGGAGGATCATTGAGTCTAGGCCTTCCAGGACCCGATCTGCAGCAGAGCTTCACCGAAACATATTTTAAATACTGCTATCCTTGGTGCCCGGTTCTCGATCAGGACACATTATTCACTGATCTAGCACGATCCCCTCTTCTTGCAAATGCTCTTGCGCTTGCCTCAAGTCATATTCAGCCCCCCGTGATTCCGTCCACTAAACCAGCAACGTACTATAGTCAGGCGAAACAAATGTTTTATGATGATGACGAAGCCGACCCAGTCACTTGTCTTCAAGCAATCTGTTTATTTTATTGGTGGAGCCCTCGTCCATCGTCACAAGTGCAGAGGGATGGTGCTTGGTGGTGGAGTGCGGTAGGCATAAGGCAAGCCCAGCAGATGGGCTTCTACCGCGAGCCCAAGCCTGACCACCCCAACAGTTCAAGCATGGATCGTGGTTTGCGGCGAAGGATCTGGTGGACCTTTTTCGTGAGTCAAGTAGCTTTTCATCACGACACACTGCTAATATATTCTGTAGGCCCGGGAACGTGTGACCGCGATATGCCAGAGTCGACCATGTCTTATCGATCCTGCGGACTGTGACATCCCCCTACCAACTCTGGAAGACTTTCCAGACCCTACCAATCCTAAAGCGGAGATTTTTATATACTGGGTTCGACTATGCGCTATCATGGGTCGAGTGGCAAAATACCGATCTCAAGTTACTGGTGTTGCCGGCCTTCCGTTTCCGACTCAACTCACGGAGGAATTGATTGACTGGGTTCAGTCACTTCCTTCGCATCTTAAACTGCCAGTTGAATCGAGCTTTACAACCAATTTCAATCGCGATGTACACCAATTGCACTTGCAATATCTCGCAGTGATTATCGTTCTTTACTTAAGCCCATCGTCCCAGCCGCTCCCCCGGGCACACGTGGCAGCGATGATGGCCGCCTCCTGCGTCGCTCGCATTTTTAAGGATTACTTGGCTCGAGGTGGCATTCGATTCCTTATGCCAGTTTCAGGCTGGATGTGCGGGATAGCGATGTTGGCTCTATTGCGGGCTAGCCTAGAGCAGCCTACCCAACATGCAGAGGAAGATATGAAAATTCTAGTCTTCACCCTCAAAGAGTTACGGGCCTCATATCCAGTTGCGGATGTGTTTCTGCAAGGTTTTGAGCGCTTGAGAGCGGAAAGCGCCTCTGCTAGTGGCGAAGATGATAATTACACCGCTGCGAGCGACCCCACCAGCAGTGTAAACGAGTCCATTGACTGGATACGGTATTTCCCATTTATGACCGCACAAACAAGCGGTCTCGCTAGTATACTGCTTTCCAATCATAAAGACGCTGCATTACTTGATGATCCATGGTTAGGAACGATGCCGCTGCAACTACAAGATCTCTTCGGCGCCTTTGAGGGCTTCCCGAGCTATATACCAGTCTTTTAAGTGGGACCCGTTCTTAACACCCCGCTCCGGTCAATTGAGTATCGCAACCAAACTAAATACTGCTACGTCAATTTTCTTGCGAAGAGAGGAGAAAAACAAAGACAACAACAACGGTGAAAGACTGCCAACGCCAGACTTCCGTTGCTACTACGGGTGGCCAGCGTTCCGACTCCTACGAATACTCAAGTCTGTGTAATTCCTGACCGACAATATTGAAGTGCCGGTAAATGGTTTGGAACCAGTAGCGAGCATGCTTGTCAAACCATTAAATCCCGGCCGGCGAGATCGTGTGACGGTTCGATATGACGTCTCTTCAAGATAGATAGATGTACTTCACTTACGAGCTTTGTTCCAATTGCCATTTATGAGCTGGAACACGATTGTAAAAATCTTGAGAATATGGGTGGGAGCGTGATATATATACCACCTCCGGGCGCCATCACATCTTACAAACGGAAAACCTCCGTCAACCCCAAAGAGTACTAATCTGAGCGATGCATCGTTTCATCCACTGCGTCCCCAACTCTAAGAGTCCATCAGTCCCGTCAATGGACATAGCCGCCGAGCTTCCTTATAGTCACAATAATCATCAAATCAATGCTAGCATCAGCTATCGCATTCTTGGCACCAGTACGCATAACATATGGATTCAGCCAGTGGTTCCGCCGGGCTCGGCTTCTACCTTTACGACAGTCAACGCCACTCTAGCATTACCTACTCTAACCTCATCAGATATATCAGCAGCTTGATATAAACGGCATGTTGATGGAACTGGTAGATTATGTGCAAGATTTTTGGTTTCTATCAGAGTTTCAACGTTTAAGCGCAGATGATCCTGGTACATCCATGCAGGTCTTTATGGCATCATTGTCGGTCGATTGCGCAAATGAAAATGAACACCGGCATACGACGACTAGTAGTTGGAAATTCCTGTTGCGTTGTATGGGAAGGCGGATTGAAATATGTATCTATATGTATAAATAACTGTATAGTTTTAGACGCCAGCGTGCCGGTCTAACTCTAAACCTTGGAGAAGTCTACACATCAGCTCCTAGATAGTAATCCTCCACACTCACTTCACCCTCGCGGCAGGTCTCGTTGAGACCTTGCCCATCTATCCAGATACTGTTGAAAATATGAACCGCATCAGCCTTAACTTAAAGTCTTTAGGGAATCATTTTGCCAAATGCATTATATCGCAAGAAGCGAAACAGCTCTCCAGATCTTCGAATATGCTGCATCAGCCTGACTCCTGTTTATATTCTTGTTTCCATACCAAGTGATAGACGTCGGTTAATATGGAAGAATGAAACGCGGGGGTTGGGGTTGAGGTGGTTTGTTCAAGCAAAATTTCTCCCTCACGCATGGCGATACGAACCCTGCTTTGGGATAAACCGCTGCAATCGAGTTACCAAAAATTCAAAGCCACACTGATATCAGATTCATTGAAAGGTATAGCTATTTATTCCAAATGACGACCGAACTACCGTCTAATCTGAAACTACCCCTTTCGATCTCCAGTACGGCTCGAAATCCTTTAAAAATGCCCATGTTAAAGTCTTTCCCCAACCACGCTCCTTCCACGAGTTCAACGAAAGAGGGAAGTGGTCAACAGTGTTCCTAGCATACTTGTCGTGAGCTATTATCACCAGAATATTCTCATCCACATCCAACTCCTGCAACTTGCCAATCGTGTGGAGGGCTAACGGAATCTCATGGCCGAATTCGGGCTTGAGAATTGGACCTTGTGGATCCATCCCACGGTCCTTCTGGAGCTCCTCATAAGCGCTTCCTGGACAAAATGGCAAGTCTCTTTCCGGGGTGATGGGATTTGGCAAGATTGACGAGGGCAGGGGGAGATGCTGCGACGGGCGGAACACGCTGTGGTGGTGGCATATGTCCCCGCCGAGCATCACGAATGTGTCCGGGTTGGTGGTTGTCCGGACGAGGCCACACAGATGACCGATTGCGTGACCCGGGCTATCAAGGAGATAGAAAGACCCGTCGCCAAAATAATCATATGCGGGAAATCTTCCGATCGTGAGGCTTTGGGGCCCGCTAAATTCTACCTCGCGCAGGTTGCGGCCACTATCCCAGAAGACTCAGTCAATTACCAGTTTACTATTACCCGAGCGGGTAACGTGGGATAAAACTTATGGTTACTTACGTCCAGTCGCTCTCAAGCAGCGGGGAATCGGGATTCAACGGTGCTCCAGGCAAAAATGCTTTCTTGAAACCAGGTCCCACAATCAAGTCCGTCGTCGATGGAAAGGTTGACGGATCACCGATGTGATCCCAATGCCAGTGGCTGTACACGGTGTCAGCTGGTTTTTACATATCCCCCCAGCTCAGCTTTTTGAGAGAAGCATTTCAGAGCAAGAAATTGGATGTAACTACTTACCTCCATATGACGGCCTCGACGGAGCTGCCCTTAATCCCATTCTCCTCCAGCACATCAATGACATTTTTCGTGACCTCAATCGTGTAATTCCTCGTCGGAATATATTCTGCAATCTTAGGCGCGTGATTGTGCCAGTCCTTCCGAATTCCAAGATCCCAAACCAATCGCCGGCCCGAACTGTGTTCCAATAAGAAAGACAAAGACGGAACTAAGTCGGCGCCAAACGTAAGTACGTGCGGGATGGGCGGACCCATCATGCCTTTGAGAGTGGCAGGGCCGAAGTTGACTGCATTGATGAGTTTGATGGCTGCAATTGATTGACCCGGAGGGATCTTGAATTTTGGATGTGAGGCTGCCATGATGGTGGAAGTGATGCCCCTTGAGAAAAGTCTCCTGAAGAAATCAATAACTTGTCTATGCAAATGAAAGAGTGTGTTCCTCCAAGTAGCTCTTGCTATCTAGACAATGATGCAGTAGTATAAATGCAATGTAGCTGTTGCTATCCCGAGAACCCGCTAAACTCTATCCCGATTGTAGTAGACAGCTCGGTGCCCGATCTCTCCTCAGCCGAAAATTATCCCAGCTATGAAATAGGCTAGGCTACTGCCTTGAAGCCATGCCACTGTTTACGGGCCCAAGAGCAGCAGCGGCTAGGTGTTTCTGTATTGCACTGTGCTATGCTATGCTAACCCCATGTATTAAACTGGAATTCACCCCGCACCGTGCCTATACCCCGCGCTCGCTATGCGGATGCGGAGGTGGGGGAAGTGGTGCACATGCTTCGCAACGCTAATTTCATATTGCCACGTTCATGCCCGAAAGACGGGCGGCCCGAAACCCCCATTTATGGCAGCGCGATGCCGTGCCGTCTCAATAAAATAGCGGTAGGAAGCAGTTCTCCGAACAGGAGCTAGTGGTGGTCCGGCAGGGACAGGGCCGTTAAGGGAGTTTGAACTGGGCCATGTTACATTACTGGTACGGATACCGCTGCTGCTGGATATTGCTCTACCACGTCGTATGCCAAGCGTATTACCATCTGGTGGTACTCGTAATGCGATGCCGAGGCAGAGAAGACGAGAGCCGCTTGGCCGATGTCTTCGGTAAAGCCTTTTGCGATCCAACCCTCAACGGCGCTTTCCGTTTGCGTCCTTCCGCTCCAACCGACTTAGTGTAGTATTGGCCAATCAATATCGTCACCCAATGCTGTATGATAATAAGCCCGTGAGATATATGAGCTGAGCAATTGTCCAGCACAACTTTATTGTTCACTGTAATATTCCAAGATGGTGCAAGAACCTCAATCTCAATTCAAAAACTCACCTTTCAACCCCAGTCAATATGCCTAAGCTCGAACAATACGTGTACACGGGCGCCGTGGACAACACCGTCCTCCCGGACAAGAGTCAGCTCAAAGGGAAGAGTGTGATTGTAACCGGAGGTAACTATCTCTGTACTTGGCCCCCGTGATACTGAATGGCTTATTATACCTCACAGGCGCGAATGGAATCGGCGAGGCGCTTGTCCGCTCACTGGTAGCTTCCGAGTATGTAACATGTCTAGAAGTACGTGACATATATAACTAATGTGTTTTCTGCAAATATAGAGCATTTGTCACCATTCACGTCGTTGCCATTGATTTCCTAAGCGCTATGTAACGGTTCTGTTATTCTTCCGACGGGGAATCCTAACAGAGGTGTTCTGTTTCGTTTGCGTAGCGAAGTAATGCAGTGATCTCTTCTAATGA